ATCTGAAAGCAGCTATGGCTCTGAGCTTGTGCCTGGCCCAACCTTGGTTGTTGGGGGTCACTTGGAAAATGAATCAATGGATGGAAGATTATTTCTCCTTCTCTGCAATTCTGCCTTTCAAGTAAATAAATACATCCTACAAAACAAGTGCCCCCTCCCCCCGCAAGAGCCTTTAATAATCAGGGCCAGTGAACTGCATAATCTAATGACATGACATTTAAAGCTGAATTTTATAGGTGCTAGTTAGAGTTGTGTGGCTCCAACAGCTAAGAGCAAATGAGGCTAATGTAAAGTGAGAGGCAAGTCTCCCAAGGGGCTTGCATGCCAGTATTTCGTTTACTTACTAATATTCATCTACTTGGAACTTAAGAGTGACAGAGACAAAATGTATCTTTCCTTTGCCACTTCACTACCCAAATTCCAAAAGTAGCCAGGGCTGGGTTATACCAAAGCCAGGAGCCTGGAACTTCATTGGGTACTCAAGTGGGTAGCAGGGCAGTAAGTGTCTAAGCCACCTTCCCCAGTGCATTAGCAGGAAGCTGGATGTGAGGCAGAGTAGCTGGGGCTTGAACTGGCACTCCTCTATGTGACGGGGGTGTCCCAAGCAGTGACCTGACTTAACCTGCTGTGCCAGTATTTTATTACTATCAGGGGCCTTTTGTTTGCTAAGCAGGGCATGTTCAGTTCCCTATCTAATATATTATATCTGGCTCAACTGTTATTGCATTCACTTTAAGAGTGGCCACAATCATCACTCATGTCCCAGTTTAAAAATATTAAAAAGCCAGAGCCCGGCATAGTGGCCTAGTGGCTTAAGTCCTCGCCTTGAATGTGCCGGGTCCATATGGGTGCTGGTTCTAATACTGGGGCCCTGCTTCCCATCCAGCTCCCTGCTTGTGCCCTGGGCAAACAGTCGAGGACAGCCCAAAGCCTTGGCTTCCTGCACCCATGTGGGAGACTTGGAAGAAACCCCTGGCTCCTGGCTTCAGATTGGTGCAGCACTGGCCATTGCAGTCACCTGGGGAGTGAATCATCGGACAGAAGATCTTCCACTCTGTCTTTCCTCCTCTCTGTATATCTGACTTTCCAATAAAAATAAATCTTTTAAAAGTCCTATAAAGTACGTGTCACCTTATGTGAGAGTGGGGAGGCTGACACCCAATGGACCAGGAAATCTCATATAACTTCCAGAGAACAGCCAAGCAGGACTGAGAGGATTAGTAGCCAAACTGCAGAAATCCAAGCAGGGAGGCATCCAGGGTGGAGACTGGTGAAGACGGGGTACAGAACACTACATGCAAGCATTACCTGAGCCCAAGGTATACTTCCATCACTTGTTACTACTGATGGGATTCTAGCCAAACCATTTCATGCTTTTGCTGCTCAGCTTTCCAATGACTAAACGGGCAGATCGTTTGTACCAGAGGAAAGCTGAGGGCTAAACTGAGATAAAACAACTGCTTTGAAAATGCAAACTACTGTACAAATAAGTATTTTTGGGACAGTGTGTTGGTTCAGCTGGCTAATCCTCCACCTTCAAGCATTGGTAACCCATGAGCTCTGTTAGTGTCTCAACCACCCTACCTCCCATCCAGCCCCCTACTTGTGGCCTGAGAAAGCACCAGAGAATGGCTCAAAGCCTTGGGATTCTGCACCTGCATGGGAGACCAGGAGGATGCTCCTGGTTCCTGGCTTCAGATCAGCTCAGCTTCAACTGTTGTGGCCATTTAGGTAGCGAACCAGTGGATGAAATTCTTTTCTGTCTCTCCTCCTTGTAAATCTGCTTTTCCAATAAAAATAAATCTTAAAAAAAAAACAAACCAAATAAAAAAATGACGTATTCAAAAACAGATTGAGTTATTCTTACAAATCAGGGCTGAAGAAATACTTTGAAGTGACAAGAGAGGACTGAAAAAGGAAGGAGAACCTGGTCTCCAAGGAAAGGAATGCAGAGATATACAAAGGACTGAACACGCAAGCACTTTCACATTTGTTTTGTCATGATGAAAGCCCAGCAAACCTTCACTGTTTGACATTTATGTTGAACAACTTACTTTTATTTGACAGGCAGAGTGAGCTATGGGGATGGGAGAGAGCTTCATGCAGCAATTCATTTCTGACATGTATGTAAGATCTGGGGCTAGGCCAGCTGGGAGCGGGGAGCCAGGAACTCCAGGTGGTTCTCCTATGTAGGTGGCAGGAACTCAATTACCTGAGTCCCCACTTGTGCTTCCCAGGGTGTGTTTTAGCAGAGAGCAGAATCAGAAGTGGAGGTGGGACTCAAACCCAGGCATTTCAATATGGGATGTCTGTCCCAGGGAACCTCTTACCTACTGTGCCACAATGCCCACCCCAGAACTTAGCTTCCACAGTGGTGATTTCCTTAGGATTCATCCCTTTGGAACCTAGTGGCTGATATTTGTCTAACTGCCTGTACTTCAGCAATTGTAATCTCCCCTTTCCCCACACCTACTACCATGATTGCCTGGTACCTCACCTGAGAAAAACGCAGCGCAACTGGTGTTCTTAGCTGCACCCCATGCACGTTCCTATCCTAGCACTTGTTACATAAATTTGCCTTTTGTCAGGCAGACTAAGCAAGTTGTTGAAGGAACTTGTCAAAATCATACAATGGCATTCTATGTGCTTTAAGTCTATCCCACTCTTGAGGCATAAAGGGCACCTCCCGTTCTGCTCCTTACCATTTCTGGCTTTACCCCTCACCTCACTATTCTCTACCCAACGACTCTTTGACTGTTCCAGGATCTCCCATGTGCCAAACATAAGCCAAGTGAACAGCCTGCATAGTGGCGGTTTGCATTTGCCTGGGATACCTTATCTTAGTCTTCCTGGCCACATCTCCCCCGGTTCACTACATAATTCCCTCTTCGGACAATCTCTCTTGAACCCACTTCTCAAGTCTAGGCTGGCTTCTTTCCTATTTAACTTTCCTTCAGTTCAACATTTCTCACATGATTGCAATTGCATGTTTATCAGACACACCAAATCCTGTGAAGCGGGTAGCATTCTTGTTTCTGAATGTTTCCAGTTTAATAAATGACTGGAACTTAGGATGTGCACAAGAGATATCTAATCTATACTGACGAAGCTAACAGCAAACACTGGCACCCTGAAATTTAATGAGAAGGCCCCAAGAGTTCTGTGAGAGCAGACAAGCCATCTTGGGTTGGCAAAGACAGAAAGAAACAAGGCTGGTAAAGTGGCCTCTTCATGTGGTCCACCGCTATTTTCATATCCTAAGAAAAGTTTGTACACGCACCATTAACCACACGGGAGAGTAGAGGTGTGCTGCATGGCAGAGGAGGAAGGAGCAGTCAAGTGAGCACTGCTTATTTTAGCACTTCTGGTGTGACTATGTGGTTTAAAATAGTCACATCACATAGTATCAACCAACTAGGTGTCTGTAGGTTCTAACTTGTACAGGCTGATCTTAACCTTCTGCAAAGACCTGGTTTCAGTTTTGATCACCTGTGTTTACAGCAGAAGCAGTAAGCTGGGACTATTTCCTATTTCAGAGCAGCAGCAGACGCTATAGAGACCTCCTTGCCCTCCACTATGCTAGAGCAGCATGCTCAAATGGAATCCTCCATCAGGTCCCTAGATTCCATTCTTGGCTCTGGCTCCAGTAACAGTGTTCCTGCTGCCCGTCTGGGAGGTCAGGATTGAATTTCCAAGTCCTAGCTGAAGCCCAGCCGCATTCTGGCCATTGCAGGCACTTGAGAAATGAACCAGCAGCCTTCCTCTCTTCTCGGTCTGTTTCTCAAATAAAAAACAAGCAATGCATTAGTTGTATAAACACACAGGATAATTTGGGACTGATAAGGTTCAAACTTATTAAAGGATTACCATTCTGTGTGTTATAATACATTTGTTTTTTTTTTTTTAGATTTATTTTTATTATTTTTTCATTGGAAAGGCGGATATACAGAGAGGAGAGACAGAGAGAAAGATCTTCCATCTGATGATTCACTCCCCAAGTGAGCGCAACGGGCCGGTACTATGCCGATCCGAAGCCAGGAGCCTCTTCCAGGTCTCCCACGCGGGTGCAGGTTCCCAAAGCTTTGGGCTGTCCTTGACTGCTTTCCCAGGCCACAGGCAGGGAGCTGGAAGGGAAGCGGGGCTGCCGGGATTAGAACCGGCGCCCATATGGGATCCCGGGCGTGCAAGGCGAGGACCTTTTAACCACTTGCGCCACCGCGCCGGGCCCAATACATTTGTAACAGAATGGAAATCGACTCCCTTCTGGTGATCAGCAGCTGGCACTGCACGTTTTGCTGAGGCTGAAGAGTTAATGATGAATTAATTTACCAATGTACCCATGAGCCAGCCACCGATGACAGAGTCCCAGAAAAAGCCAATGATCAGTCTCTTTTATCTTGGACAAAGTTTCAAGACCACAAATTGGAATTAATCACTTCTACTCATTTCAGGACATAATGTACTATTTGAGACCCATGGAGGACACTTGGTCATTGCCCTTTCAAACAGCTGCAGGCTACTTTATTTTTGTAAAGACAGCTACTAAAATTGGTAAACCAGGTTAATAACATATTAACATGAGAAATAAAATGTAGATCACGGCTCTCATCCACTGTGTCCTACTGTTAGAGATGTTACAAGCTTACTTCTTAGATTACTGCTCTGCTATTCTCTTAGGGAGGCTATTTGACATTAAGTATCTCAACATTTATAGACAAAGCCATTGTTCAAGGAACTTTATTAATACCAAATTCTGATTTTTCCAAAAGCCTTTTCTTTGATTTTGCTGGAAATAAAACTTAAACATCATAAATGGCAAACCTCCAAATGAAAAATGTTATCCTCCTATGTCCATATATCAAGTTGATATATTTACATACATCCGTTCCAGCTTAAACCCTGCATGCATGGAGGGGTATTATCGTGTCAGAGCAAAAGAACACAATCTAACATCAGGAGAAATTGTGACTCCGCATGTAGCATCTGAAGAGAGAAATTTATTTTTGACATATTTTATTCAGATAACAGTTTCAACACACATGGTCCAAAACCATACAAATAATAAATCAATGTTAAAGATTGGTCTTTAAACATTATAGCCAACGATGCCACGCTTGCCTATGATCTCTCCGATATAAAACCACATCCACACCTCAGTGGCCACCAAGCCATTCAGCATAGCTTCCTAAAAAAAAAAAAAAAAAACAGAAGCTCAAATTTTAAGGTCCTTTCTTTTTTTCTTAGCTATGTAAAATGATTTTTTTTTCCCACAATTAAACGACAGAGTATAAGGATGCTATTTGAAACCAGTGGATAACAAAGTTGAGTTTTACTGAAGTTGAGTTTGTTCAACTGCTGAGAACACTTTAACTTTCAATTTTGTAAGGTAAGTAGTCCAGAGCTTATAAATTCTTTCAAAGCATTCTTTAAAGGCCTAAACTGACTTAACCCTTTCATTATAGTTTATGAGACACTTTATAGGCCCTAAAACCACCCACATCCTGGAAATAGCTGACAGAGTTAGAGCATTCATATGAAAGGATGGCTACAGGAAGGCTATGTCTGCCCCCCACCCCAAAATCTGTTCCAAAATGAAGGGCACTATCCTCCTCTGTAGACAATTTTTATTCATTTACAATAATTTAGTTTAATTCTTCCCTAGTACTCAGCACTTGATATATAAGGGCCTTTAAAACAAAACCCACACAAATGAGTCCAGGGAGCATTATGTTACACAAGCACAAATTAGGGTCTTGAAATTTTAGTTGAAAAAAGACTTTTCCATAACAAATCCAGGCTTTCGTCATTTAGCACTTCTGGAAGTGGGTTTTCCCCTTCAAAACAGACCAGAACTTATTGTATCTTGTGCTTGAATTAAGTAAACATAAAAACCATGCAATGATTCTTATCGTTGTTTGATCTTATCTTCAGGAAATTCAATAACCCCAGCTTTGGTACTTTTATCTTCCACAATAAGCACTAATTTTCTGATGCTGCTACTGTTTGAGATCACATGGCTGAAGTAGACTACCGAAGAATAAAAGCACAGATCTAGCAAAATAAGCTGTCTTGTTTTACCATACTAGCTAAAATAAACGGAGCAGAACATTTTCCTGGTAAAAATGCTTACTTTTTTTTTTTTTTTTGCTACAGTGTAAGACTACTAGGAGGCTAAGGCATAAAACAGGCAAATTATTGCTACCCAGCAGGACCAAATCAGAACAGCGGGTTTCTCCCTCAGCAGTTTGGAAGACTTATCTCTCATTCCATGGGATCCAGCCTCAGTGGAAAATGCATGCATTAATCAAAACAATCAGAAAAATCCCAAGGGCACACATTTTCTGTTATGCACAGACGTTTTCATTTTAGCCCATGGTTACCTTAACTGTGAGCTGTTTGAAGCTACCAGTCTGAGCACTGTGGATTATTTTTTTCAGGCTTTGAATCGCTGTAGGGATCTCAGCAGGGGTTGGAGGAACCAGCTCAACCTTGGCATAGTGCCAAAATGTGGCCAATCGAGGCTTCGAGTAAGTCACAGCAGCTGGAAAACAAAACAAAACAAAAAACCTAGGATGAACTCACCAGAGACCAAAAGAAGCAGATGTGTGGGCTGGACACAAATATTTATTCATGCATTGCATTCATTCACTGCTCGTACCAAATGTGCAGCCGGTGTGAAAAGTCAAAGCTGTTCCCTGGTCACAAGAGGCTTTTTGAGATGCACAGCACCTGTGTCACAGGGCATCCCAGCAGCAGGGAGCTAGAAGCGCACTCGGGGATGCCAAGGCTTCCCCGTGGCCTGCCAGTATATGACTGCATTTACGAACGGCAACTCCAGTTAAAGTTACTAGAATTTGGATTCAATGACAAGAAACCTGCAGGGATTTATTCACTTTCTCGGTACAGACGCCACAAACTTGGGATGGCAGAGGTGTAGAAGGGGACAGAAGGAGCTATGTAGAGCAGCAAACCTGAAGAATGAGGTTGAAAACATGATTCAGATGCAGTTCAGACAGCATCCATTTTTGGTATCCTCATCAGTTTCTGCAGGATAAAGTGTCCCTCTTTCAAAAGCACCGCAAAGACAGCAAAACCCCAGTGCATGATTCAGAGCAGTGTGTATTACTTATTTTCCTCAAGGTATTTACTACACCCAGACAAGAATCTTAATAAACGGCAGAAAAACGTGACTTTAGCAAAATAGTCTTACAAAAAAAAAAAAAAAAAAAAAGGAGAATGTAATAAAAATAGCACAGTGGCTGGTATTGTGGCTCACCCACTGTGTGTGATTATAACATCAGAGTGCTAGTTTGAATCCTAGCTGCTTCACTTAAAAAAAAAAAAAAAGATTTATTTATCTTTATTGGAAAGGTAGATATATAGAGAGGAGGAGATACAGAGGAAGATCTTCCGTCTGCTGATTCACTCCCCAAGTGGCCACAATGGCTAGAGTTGACCCAATCTGAAGCCTGGAGCCTGGAGCTTCTTCTGGGTCCCCCATGCGGATGCAGCATCCCAAGGCTTTGGACTGTCCTCAATTGCTTTCCCAGGCCGCAAGCAGGGAGCTGGATGGGAAATGGGGCCACCAGGATACTAATTGCTACCTACATGGGACCTCAGCCACCAGGCTACCATGCCGGGCCCTGCTTCACTTCTGATACAATTTCCTGCTAAGATACCAGAGATAGCAGTACACTTCTGGCCAGGTACTTGAGGACCCTGTCACTTAGGTGGCAGACCCAGGTAACTGCCTGGCTCCAGGGTTTGACCTGGCCTAGGTCTAGCTGTTATGATCATGTGGGGAGTCAATCAATGATTTATGGAAGACCTCTCTGTCATTCTGCTTTTCAAACAGGTGAATCTTAGTAAATGAAACAAACAAAACATTCAGAAGCCAAACCATCCGCTAAATGCCTATTCAAAGATGGATTATCCAAAGCCTTTCAGTGGCTATCTTATCATTAATTGCCTGTATTTAGAGGTCTGGTTATTAGAGTTACCCATTTCACCGTATGTACTTGGTGACATGGTTCACTGGCTAAATCCTTACTTTGCATGTGCCGGGTCCCATATGGGTGCTGGTTTGGGTCCTGGTTGCCCCACTTCTTATCCAGCTCCCTGCCTCTGACCTGGGAAAGCAATAGAGGATGGCTCAAAGCCTTGGGATACTGCACTTATGTGGAAGATCTGGAAGAAGATCCTGACTTTGGATTGGTTCATTTTTGGCTGCTGCAGCCAGTTGGAGAGTGAACCAGCAGACAGAATAGCTTTCTGTCTCCTTTCATCTGTAAAACTGTCTTTCCAATAAAAATAAATCTTAAAAACAAAACAAAACCTCACCCATAGCTTTGAAAAATAAACACAACTGCTAATGTCTCCAACACAGGACAAAGAAAAAAATGTCAATTATCTTTGAAACTAACAGCAGATCATTTAAAAGAAAAAAGGATCGGGGCTGGTATGATGGAGTGGCAAGCTATTCTTCCACATGTGGCATGGCATCCCACAAGGGTGCTGGTTCCAGTCCTAGCTGCTCCTCTTCTGATCCAGTTCCCAGTTAAGTTTCAGACCAGTTCAGCTCTGAACCAGTTTATGGAAGACGTCTCTTCTGTACCTCTTTAAGAGAATCAGTACACTGTACATAAACATTACTTTAGTTGGTTATTTTTTTCTTGGGGGTATACAAGTTAAAAAGCGGAAGTTGCTTTACATGTACACAGGGATGTAAATGATGGAGTGGAGTGGAGCCTGTTTTCTCATAGAAGAAGAGACTAACAAGATAAATAAGCCCCACAGTACTGGTTAGAGTTGGAGATATCACAATGACCTCCTATTGAACTTACTATATGGATAAATTACACATCTGCATGTATATAAATGCATTAGTATGACACACAACACACATACACCCCTCCTCATCTCTGTACACCAAAGAGGGACTAAAAGCACAAGTTATTCTAGTAGCAAGGAACCGACTCAGCAGGTTTACATCTTGCTTTCTAAATTCCATTGTCCAATAAAAGGAACTAGGGCTCTGTAGGAGTGGCTGATTAATTCTAAGCGTGGAGTAGGAAAAATACAAAAATGAAGGAGGCACGTTAAATGGCCAGAGCCCCCAAGGGCCTAGACTGGAGTAATTTGATCAACATAACTTAATACTGGGTGTTGGAGGTGAAGCTTGAAGCACTAGTGATGTCCTGTCACATGGCTATCACTGACCTGATATGTGACTAGGTACCACATCTCTTTACAGACTAACCACGAGGAAAGCATCAGGAAAGCTCAGCATGAGGAACATTGTTTTCTAGGATTCTCTTGAGTAGATCCTTAGATGTCTCACGATAATCAAGTTCATGAGAAACAAGAAAAGATTGGAAAATTGCCACAGATTAAGAGCTGAGATAAATCTAAGAACTAAACACAAGTAAATGGGCTGCCCTGGTTTGAATTCTGCAACTGAAACAGATTAATAGAAAATTAAAAAAATGGAAGTTCAAACAAAATTTAGAATTTAGTTTTGGAGAATAAAAATCCAACTCTGAGCTCCTCAAAGAAGTCTAAGGACAAAATCACACACTATTATAACCTCCCTCATCCCCTGAGGGGCCAGTGAATCCAACCTACAATTTTTACCAAACATTTATTATTTGTTTAATGCACAAACTTATGTCACAAAGCAAAATACACTTTTACATTAACTCTGTGGCCCTGACAGACTCCTCATTTCCTAGGACTTTTGGAAGAGCAGCACTTGAACAGAGGAGGCTTATACATTTCCTAACAAAAAAATTTTTTTTTGTTCTTTTGAGACTGGCACTATGGCTCAACAGGCTAAACTCCCATCAGTGTGTGCCAGGAGCCCATATGGGCAACGGTTCATGTCCTGGCTGCTCCACTTCCCTTCCAGCTCCCTGCTTGTGGCCTGGGAAAGCAGTCAAGGACTGCCCAAAGCATTGGAACCTGCATCTGTGTGGGAGACCAAGAAGAGGCTCCTGGCTCCTGCCTTCAGATCAGTTCAGCTCCAGCCGTAGTGGTCACCTGGGGAATGAATCAGTGAACAGAAATTTTCTGTCTCTTCTCTGCATATCTGCTGTTCCAATCAAAATAAATACATCTTTTAAAAGTTTATTACTTTTTTCTTTTAAAGTATTCCACAATTTCTCAACCAGCATCACTTAGGGGATGGGAAAGCCGTACTGTGAAAAAACGTCACTTTGAGATATTAAAGCAAGGCCTAAAAACATCTGTAGGAGCTAGAGATGGAAGTTTTTTTTTTTTTATGTCTGAGAAATTGTAGGGCTTTACAAGAGCCTCTTAGGATCCTAGTAAAATCAAAGTGGCAAACCTAAACTCTGGACAGCGTTCTGCACGAGGGGGGAATGGCACTGGGCCCTGAAGACCTGCCACGGTCCTGTTGGATTGCTGCAGGGAACGGAGACCGAGCAGGCATCAACAGGCTCCCCGTTCCTCTCCGGGGGAGCGCCGAGCTATGAAAAAAAAAACATTCCGAGAACGCTAGTTTGCAGTAACAAGGATGACTGCTGATAGAAACCCCAGTCCCAGGCTTACTGCGCCCGGGGCTACTGGACCGCAAAGCCCAGGGTCACCTACCAGTCAGCCGACGGGGCAGGACGGAAGAACGTCCCTCAGCATTCCTGCTGCTGCTGCCCCTCGGCTCCTCCGAGAACCAGGCTGCCATAAGAGGCCGGACCCGCGTCAGCCTCCCCTTCCACAGCCACCCTTCCCGACGGCCAGGGTCAGCAGCGCTCGGGGACCGCGGGGTTGTGAAGAGACCCCAGGCGGCTGCGCAGCCTCCGGCCGGCTCCCGGCCGCTTCCCCGCGGCCCTGCCTCGTGGGCCGTGTCCCCCGCGCTCACCGTTCACCAGCGCCGGGGCCTTCTCCGCGAGGTTTCGGACGAACTGGGCCATGGTGGCAAGCTGCGGAGTCCGTCGCCCCCAAGGCCGGCTGAATGTCACCCCCGGAAGGACCCGCTACAGGACCCCGTCCCATTTCCAAGGTCCGGTCGCCTCTTTCTGCGCCTGTCCACGATACCTCGGGAGTCCCAGCATCTCCGTGAAATCTAGTCTTTCCACTTATTTTGTTCAGTCACGGAAGAGAAAGTGGCTAACAAAAGATGAGACCAGAGGATAGATGAGAAGCAATCTGTTTCTACAGAGAAACAGGCATATCTTGGGGCAGCCACTCGTGGAAGCCCGGAAGACCAGCATGGCAACAAAATGCGCATGTGCGCGGGCTCCTCTGGCCCTCTGCTGGCCTGGGCCTCTTTCTTTTTAAATGTGTAATGCTGTTTCTGAGCTTGTTTGAGGGAGCTGAAATTCTAGTGATGTAACATGATCGTTTTAGAGGTCGAAAGGGCCAAGGATAGCCTGTGAAATGAGGTGCCGCCTCTTGGCACCGTAGTAACGCCGTCAATCGATTTGTCTCGTTTTCTTGAGCTTTTATTTAAATCCCTGTGTCCCCAGCATCCTGTCAGTGTTTGACTCCATTGCCCAGTTCTCTAGCCAGCCACAGGAGTCATGCAGACGGGAGGGAGGACACCGCACTTATAGTGCCCTCGGACGTTTTGGAATTGAATGACACTCTGGGCGCGGGGTCTGGATTCCCCATGGAGACTGGGACTGGCTAAAGGCTAGAGTGCGGAGTGGCCGAGTTGGGACCTGAGGAGGATTCAGTGTAGACAGGGAGCAGGTCGTCAGTATGGGATCAAGGTGCTGATCCCCGATGGTTCCTTAGAGATCCTCGAGTTGATGGTCAGGAACAGCGGGCTGAAAGGGAGTCTGTTGCCAAGTGGCATTTGATAACAGAACTCTAAGTAATGTATCTTGGGGGAAGACTGAGCAAAAGTAATACTCAGAGAAAGCTTAGAGACAGCAAGAAATTTGAGAAGTTACATGGAGTGGACCGCATTGTGGCCCAGCAAGTTGGGTGGGCTACAGCCTGCAATGGCATTCTGTATGAGCATCAGCGTCCTGGCTGCTCCACTTCTGATCCTACCAGTGTCCCCAGGAAAAGCAGCAGCAGGTGACCCTGTTAGAGTGTGGGTAAAATGTTATTGTTGGGCAGTGTGAGGTTCCTTTGTGTAGAGAAAACTGTTACTTTGCTAGGCCAGGAGGCGCCTGGACTTTGGGAGGATTCTGCTTTAGTGATAAATCTGTTCTTTGCTGTCCTGCAACTTTGTGAACCCAGGTGCAGGAGGGTAAGGGCATAATTCTTCTCCGGTCCCAGGAACAGGAGGAAGATAACGGTGTGAGAATGGGATGAGCCATACAGATACTGGGTATGGGAACAGGCTGCCTGTGCCTGAAGGCCATAAAAATGAACATGTCTAATGTTACCTTTGATGTATTTCCCAGCTCAAAAGGGCCTTATATAAGCTTCTGTCTTGGATTCGTTCGAGGTCCGAATGCCAGGCTTGGCTGGCCTGCGTGCCCAAAGTGCGGTCTGACCCCAGCATGCTGGCGCAATAAACTCTGTTTGCATTACCAGTGAGACTCTGTCCTTCTCTGGGGATTGACTAGCTCGCACCCTGATGTCCGGGGGCTTTAGCCCGGACTCTAACAACCCAAGTAATTGGGCCCCTGTCTCTTAACTTTGGCCAAATACAGCTTCTGGCAGTTGAAGCCATTAGGGGAGTGGCCCAGTGGATGCCCGATCTTTCCTGACTCTAACCCTGCCTTTAAACACTAAAAGAGTTTAAAGCAACTGTGAGCATTTTTTCAAGGAGGAGTGATTCATTTGCCCTAGCTGCTTCAGAAAGCAAATCATGGATGGAAAAGTTAATCTATCAATGTGAAAGCCTGGCATTATTAGTTAGAGCAGCTTCAAAAAGTTAGGCTAGAAGTCAGACCGAATCTGTGAGCCAATATGGCTGTAAGGAATACAAGTCAGGCAGCTGGAAGGGAATGCAGCGCTCCAGGGAGACAGTGAAGGTGGAGAAGGGGGTTTGAAAAGAGCCTTGCTGAGGAAGGGTGGCGCCTTCTCTCCACCTGAGGTGATGGCACAAGTTTCCACGTAGAGGCTCTTGTCTTTCTTTGCCCAGTGAAGTAGAAGGCAAAGCCACCCTAGTGTGGAGGGAAAATGGGAGGGGAGGAGAGAACCTGAGAAGAGGGGTTAAGCTTTGGGAATACCTGTTGAGGTTAAGAACACATGGAAAGGGCCTAGTGGCCAAAGTCCTTACCTTGCATGCACCAGGATCCAATATGGGCACCAGTTTGTATCTCAGCTGCTCCAGTTCTCTTCCAGCTAACTGCTTGTGGCCTGGGAAAGCAGTCAAGGGTCCAAAGCCTTGGGACCCTGCACCTGTGTGAGACCTGGAGGAAGCTCCTGGTTTCAGATCAGCTCAGCCCTAGCTATTGTGGCCACTTAGGGGAGTGAACCAGCAGATGGATGATCTTTCTGTCTCTCCTCTCTGTAAATATGCCTTTGCAATAAAAATAAATCTGGGCCTGGCTTGGTAGCCTAAAAGTCCTTAAATTGCATGCGCCGGGATACCATGTGGATGCTAGTTTGTATCCTGGCTGCTCCACTTGCCATCCAGCTCCCTGTTTGTGGCCTGGGGAAAGTAGTCTAGCATGGAGCAAAGCCTTTGGACCCTGCACCTGCATGGGAGACCTGGAAGAAGCTCTTGCGTCCTGTCTTCAGATTGGCTCAGCTCTTGCCATCATGGCTGCTTGGGGATAAACTTCTCGGAAGATCTTACTCTGTACGCTCCTCCTCTTTGTATATCTGCCTTTCCAATAAAAAAATAAAATAAATCTTTAAAAAAGGGCATGGAAAAAGTGGTGGGCAATACTATAGTCCTTGGTTTGTGGCTGCAACATTCTAAGGACTGTGCTGCTTTGAACCCCACAGCAGTGTCCACCTTGGACATGAGCTGAAGTTAACGGCTGGGCTTTTTTAGGCTCGAAGTCTTGCATGGCTAGGGGCAAGAAATGGGACCATAATAGTAAATTACCAAAATAAGGCTCAATCCAGTTGAAGAAGAAAAGTAATGCTAATAGGGAGTAGGTTAGGGAAGAAGCATGTCCTGAGATTGATGTTCTGAAGGTAATCCAGGATCCCTTCCAGAGGCCTACTGCATAAAACAGAGTTCAGTTGACTCACACCCTTGAAACCATTAACAAAAAGTCAGTCAAGAAACCCCTATGTTTCAGAGGGATTTTTCAAACTGTCCACTACTGCAATAAAATGAGAACAAAAGTTGTAAGTCAGGTGGTTCATTTATTAAATACAAGTTTTGAACAAACACCCTCAGGCAAGTTTGACAAGAAGTAACCTTCCTGGAATGTTTCAAAATATAATTATGTTGATCAAGTTTTATTTCAATCAACCTCTTCTCTATTTTGATCTTCTTTATTTCTAGGCTTCTTTTGCTGTTGGGCCATTGCAGCATATGTGTTGTTTCCTCACAGGACAGCTGCAGCATAGCATCAGCCTCTGGTTCGTCAGGTACCCGGCAGATTTAAGCTCTGTGGAGTGGCTGCTTAGCAACCAGCATCAGATAACGAAATGTTTCTTAAGAGTGTGATACCAAATAGCAACTGGCATCTTCACTTGTACTATTAAAAAAAATCTTTAAAGTTTCTTTTAGTTTTTACACGTCCATTAGCAACTTTATTTAAAAACAAAAAACAGAAAACAAAACAGACTGCTTGATAAAACCTACTTAAATAATTTTCCAAGTTTAGTGTTAGCCTGTTGGCAGGCTAGGAGCACTCCAGGGCTGCTTCAGGAATCTTCACTTATCCCACTGTCCTGAAGAGCCAACGTGTAACACTGGGTGTATTGGAAGTCTCTCTAACACATTCAGAGCTGCTTCTGAGTCGAAACAACCACATTCAGGTGTACCAAGGTGGGGATTTTTTCAAGGCTCATTTTTTGGATATCCTTAAATTATTTCACAGAAAGAAAAACAAAAAAAGGCACAGAGGACACTTAGTTTCTTCAGCAGTAGTGGCCTTCAGCTACACTCTGGACTTTGTGATGAGTAGAGAGAGCCAGCGGCATTGTTGCTGCCACAGCCATTCATTGAGTTTTAGGAAAAGTGCTTAAAAAAAAAAAGATTGCCAGGAAAGGCTTCTAGTTTTGAAGATTAAATATAGAAGTACATGCAGACAATAGAGGCAGCATAGTGCGTTAACTGGAAAGCTGCTGGGAACAGCTACCTTTGGAGGGTCTATGCCCATTTGCTGCAAAACTTTGGCCTCCCCTACCCTTTTCTTTTTAAAATGAAAACATCTTATTAGATTAGGCTTGGGAGATAAATGCAAGTGGATAGAAGCAGATTTCAGACACAGTTCGGTCTCAGACAGGTAAAGAAGGATAATAAATATGAAGTAAAGCTTATTTTCAGCAAATAGACAAATTCTGTCAATCTGTGCCTCAACAATCTGGGGGGCACAATGAAATTATTTTAAATTCCAGCATTTGCAAAAGTATCCTAGATTTGCTTCTTTTACTTATAAGCACAGCATTAGGCAATGTCTGTTTATATTCAGGCTGGGAGGTTTTCACTGATGTGAGGTTCCCTAGTTGATATCAACAAAAATCGAGGACTGACTTATAAAGCCCTGTGTTGCAATATCCTAAAACTATTATCACCTAATAAGGAGGCTATGTACTGTCCTCTGAGGGGACACCTGTTTAAAGATCATATCTCCTTTTTCAGTTATGCTATCATTAGGCATACAGGGCTGGAGATAGAGACAGTGCCCTGCCTCACTCAGCACATTAACTTGGACAAATGAGCAGGGCACTTAAGCTCAACTTAGAAAAGTAAGGTCCATCTATTTACTAACTACTTAGGTTTAAGTGGATATTATACTGAAAAAGGCTTGTGCACAGAATTTTGCTCACATTCCTATTTTGTTAATTGATGACCCAAAGCTGTGTCCAAAACAGCTCTCAGGAGTTAAGTCACAAGCCCAAGCAAACATTAATTATATACATTTGACAGCCTTGGAGTTTTATTAATTTATAATGAGTTAGTAAATATGGCTGTATACTGCCTACATCTTATGTGGAAGAGGGAATATAAAGTGGTACTTGGTTTACACTAGAGCAGTATAAAAACGCAGTGTGCATAACTATACCCACACTGACATACAATGCTGATATTAGTACCTTAAAGTGACATTTTTCATGGTTACAATATTTGTTGCTTAACTCTTCTACTCAGGCCTAGTTTCTGTAGCAACAAATTTCATAGCCCCCTTTATATTTTTTCACCCCAGATTTTTTCTGATTGAAGTGCTAAAACTAAGCTTGCACTATTAATTTTAATGAAAAAGACTATAGGGCTGAATTTTCAGTGATGAAAACCACAGAGGACAGCATCTGTGATGCCATCTTTGAGTTATAAGATAACACAATTTGGAGTTACCAACAAAAGTTACATAAGATTCCTCTTGCCTTTTTTTTCCTTTAAAACCTCACCTATTATTTTAGAAGCCTACACAAACATCAAGGCATCTGCTTTCATGCGAAAGGAAAAGGCTTATGTTTAGATTATGAGAACTAGTGAACATAAAGGATTAACATGGTTTTCTGAAAACATTAGCTGTGACCAAAATATGTAACTTACTACTAGACAGAAATATCTGAGCAATGCTTGCAAGAAAAGTAGCAAGGTGGCAGAAAGCTTTAGTATTTAAAGTTAATATAATTTAAAGTAGGAAAAGGGAAAAGGAAGAAAAGGACGAGAGAACCAAAGAGTGAAAATCAGTGATTATGTCTAAACATGGTGATGTTACATGAAGTATAATTTCCTGCAAGCTAGGGGAGCATTGTCAAGTTCTTAGGAATCTTAATTATCATAATTTGAGCAACAGCGGTTCTCTAATTTAGTAAAGGGGAAGGAAAAAAAAGGGGGGGAGGGAGGAGAAAAAGAAAGCAACAGAACCAGAAGGAGAAACCACAAACAATTGTTTATCTGTATTCCGGGGTTGGTTTTGGCTTGTTTAGTCCACGGCATCTATTCAAGCTGCTCCTTTTGTTGCTGCTTTCGCTCTGCGAGCCACCGCTGGATTTTTTCTTTTAGTTCTGTGTTTGGCCGAATCTGGTCCATGGTGAGGGGACTACGGTTAAAGGGATCTGTTTGGTCACTGAGACAAAGAAAAGAAAGAGAACGTTGTTTCTGTAAATTCTAAAATATTAAGTCAAAACATAGAACACCTGAGGAGCTCACTTTACGACAAGCTTGGAGTGCATTACAGCTCTGAGCCAAATGCCAGATGGTCACTTAGGGATTAGAAAGAATGAGAAAAGGAATGACTCAAAGTGAGTGTGTGTGTGTTTTTAAAGCTGTGTCTCTGCAGCTTAAACAAGCAAACAAACAAGCAAACAACCGTAGCAGATAGATGGCATTTGTTCTCCGTGGCTTAAAGTGCTCTTCTTCTGTCACCAACTTGTAGATTTCCCTAAGGTATAGCCAATATAAAACACAGAATTTCACTGTCACCTTAAAGACATACCACCTAGCACAGCAGCATGCTTTGAACAAATGTTTAATACCAAACACCACTGAGACAGAAAATTTGTTTTCTGAATATTAGAAATTTTAAGTTTGGATCAACTGAGAGGATTAAAAAATGATTTGAGAAGCAGAGAAAGTGACGAAGATAAATAGACACACGGAGCTCCTGGGTACTGGTGATCATCTAAATGCTTGTATCAGCCTGGGCTGTACCTCACTGAAGCCAGGAGCCAGGAACTCAACCCTGAGACCCAGAACTTGAGTTATCTCAGGGTGTGCATGAGCAGGAAGCTAGAACCAGGTGAGGAGCTGTGACCCAAACCCAGATAATGCAATACGGGATGGAGGTCTTCCAACCAGTGTCTGAACCACTAGGTCAAGCCTTTGCCCCTCAATGTGAAGGGGGCTATTCAGGCAATAAATCAGCTACTAATTACTATTTTGCACCTACAGATGTATTACTTTGTTTTCTGTAGATAGTCAGGAGGCTGACTGTCCAAGGGCAGGCAGACTTGGGGCAAATCCAGGGTTACCGTGGCTGAGTACAATGAAAACAACAAAATGTGTTAGCTCACAGGGTGAATATAAAATGAGAATCATGTCATGTCAACATTTACTCCATGTTGACAGATTATATAAGATATGTTCTGAATATTTAAACCTTTAACAATCAAGTAATTACAAACTGTGATGTTCCAACATATCAATAAATTAACAATTACAAGGCACTAAGTGTGTGCAAACTGCTGTAGTGGGTACCCGGGAGAAAAAAACAAACAAAAAAACCACACACACAAAAAAAACATGGTCCAGGAGCATGGCCCTGCATGTCGAAGGTTACCTCTGGGGACTGGCATACCTCAGCAAATGTCTGGCAATGGTGGAGCGATCCACGGTGACTCTGGAAGACGGCAGCACCACAGGGTCAGACATCAGTGTGCTCATGATGGGATCCAGGAACTCGTCACAGGCATCTGCATAGGTCTCCTCCTCCTGCTGCTGCAGGTCTGCCAGGGACTGAGCACATGCGTGTCAGTGACAAACAACAGCTACATTCAGAATCCTCACAGAGGACCTCTTCATCTTGGTCACTAACAACCCTTGACAAGAGTGAGGATCTTAGCTTTATTTTCTTTTTCTTTATTTTGATTTTTTAGGATATAATTCCGTAGGGTGTGGGGTTGCCTTGGCTCCCCACCTTAGCTTTATTTTTTAAAGAGTAAGACAGGGTAGATATTTCAGGTGCAAAATTAGCAGCAGCTACCCCCCAAATCTGAAACTTCCGGCTGGACTGGCAATGTGTCTCAGTGTTAGCAGGAAGAGAGGTAAAAGTACACACACAGCATTCTCCAGGCAGCAGTTCTGCTGTGTATGCCACCATTCCAAGCAGGGTGAGGCTGAGCCGGGCAGGAGGGCACTGCTGGCACAGTCAGATCATGAGCTTATGTATGAAAAGCAGTTTCCGGTGTTTGGTCCAAACAGGAATAGGCATTTAAAAGTGACTTCAACACTGGATTCCTTTGCAGTTCTAGCCTCGCTAGGGGTCTGCAAAGCTGCAGGCCAAGATGGAGCTCAGTTCAATTAAAAAAAATGCAATCAGGGAAGACTGTTATCAATAGGGAGAATTTTTCATGAGTCTTGTTTGCCATACTTTTTCCTCCTTTGCTTCTTCTAATGCTATCAAACTCCAAAGGGATTAGCTAAATATCAATGCAGCATTTTTCAATTGTATGCATATGCCAGTATAAGATAACTACCAAAATCAACAAATGAAAATGAGTCATCTTGAATATAATTCTAAAAATTTCTTTTGGACTAACATTCTGAATTTTCTTTCTGTTTTTTTTTTTTTTTTAAAAGATTTATTTTTTATTTGTTGGAAAGTCAGATATATAGAGAGGAAGAGAGACAGAGAGGAAGATTTTCCGTCTGATGATTCACTCCCCAAGTGAGCACAATGGCCGATGCTATGCCGATCTGAAGCCAGGATCCAGGAACTTCTTCCAGGTATCCCACACAGGTGCAGGGTCCCAAGGCTTTGGGCCGTCCTCGACTGCTTTCCCAGGCCACAAGCAGGGAGCTGGATGGGAAGTGGAGCTGCCGGGATTAGAACCGGAGCCCATATGGGATCCTGAGGCATTCAAGGCGAGGACTTTAGCCGCTAGGCCACGCCGCTGGGCCCTACATTCTGAATTTTCAAACCTACTGATGGCAGGTTGAGTAAGCTTTGCTTGTTTTTTTTTTTTTTTTTCTTTTTTAAACGGCCTAACTGAATGCTTATATTCCCCTCTTCTGGTAGAAGTTTAAGTGTGTTCTCACTATCATACCAAAAGTAGTGTTAGCAATAAGAATGTTAGTTTTATTTACTAACTAACCAGGAAGCACCTGTTTCTGCATTTTTCAAGGTAATGCTGCTTTACTTCCTGAAACAGGGTTAAAAAGCAGCACAGCTGAGATGACCATATGATTTTTAAAGTTTGACTGATTTGAAAGGCAAATGAGACAGAACGAAAGAGTGGGAGATAGAGAGACCAGAGATCTTTCATCAGCTGGTTTGTTCCCTAAATGCCCACAACTGTCCAAACCAGGCCAGGCTGGAGCCAGGCACTCTATCCAGGTCTCCCAGGTGGGCAGTAGGAATCCTGGTGCCCAGGCCATCATCTGTTGCCACCCAGCATAGGAAGCTGGGTCAGGGTTCAATCTTAGGCACTTCAAAAGGGATGTAGGTATGCTAAGTGGTGGCTTAACCCACTTTGCCACAATGCCCAACCCTTATAATGTGATTTTTTAAGGGACATGTTAGCAAATAAACTCTCTTCCTTACCTTGACTTTCTCTGCCAAGTTGCTAAAAGCCACAATCATATTCCCAGGCTTATTTATTTTCTTCAGGACTCGAACTGTCTGTGCGAAGAGAGTTGGGGAGTAGGAGCGTCCATCCTTGGGCACAGTGGCACAGAAATTCTCCTCATCCCTGCAAGGCCAGCACAGAAGGTCAGTGAGCCCAAGCAGGCAGGTGAATGGAGGAGACGACAGAGATGCTGCCCAGCAAGCATTCTCACTGCCTGCAAGCCCTCAGTGTTCTCATCTGGGAAGACTGTGTGTGCGTGTCCTGGGAATGAGGCCTATATGGTATACCTTACCCGTAAAAGAATACTCGTTCAGCAACAGTACAACCAGAAAAGTTTCTCTTTGCACAGATCAAAGCAGAATGTTGGAAATCCTAAGCGATATCCCCTGAGTCACACCACATCTCCTTACTTAACACTACAGAAGATTCCTCCAACAGCCAATTAGAAACGCAATGTTTTCTTTTCCATTTCCACACAATGCCAAACAGTCATTCAATCTTCAAAGCCCTGGAACAAAACATTAAGCTTCCCCCTGGCTTGCCCCATTCCAGTCTCGCATACCCAAGATTTAAGTAGATGGTGCAGATATCTGAAACGAGCTGCTGGGGTTTAAAGTCAAATTCACTGAAGTCCTTGACTTTCAAGGCACCCATCTTGGGGCCCACCAGGTGCTGCAGGAAGTAGTTCAGCATGGAGATGATGCGCTCAGCCAGGAAAGGATGTACAAATAGGGATTTGATTTCTGGGGGAAAAAAAGTCTCTTATTAAACTCAGCTTTGCAATCTTTAACTTGCTACGTCTAGTTTTCCTAGAAACCTCTGGGGACTACTTTTATTTTACCATTTTAATAAATGTATAAGCTGGTGCTGTCCAAAATAGTACCCTCTTGTCACATGTAGCTTTTAAAATTTAAATTGGCAAAATTAAAAAATTCAGTTCTGTAATTGTACTAGCCACATTTCCAGTGTTTAATGGATGCATGTAACACGTACTTACAACACTAGACAGCTCAGAATAGTTTTATCAAACAGATGATCCAATCTGCTCCCCCACATACCTTTTTAAAAATTGTGAGGTGGAGAGTGAGTGAGCAGCAATGTGTTGGTAACTCCTCAAAAGCTTTTTTTTTTTTTTTTTTAATTTAAACATTTATTTATTTTTACTGGAAAGTCAGATATACAGAGAGGAAAGTCTTCGGTCTGCTGATTCACTTCCCAAGTGGCCACAATGGCCAGAGCTGCACTAATCTGAAGCCAGGAACCAGGAGCCTCTTCAGGGTTCCTCATGCATGTGCAGGGTCTCAAGGCTTTGCGTCATCCCGGATTGTTTTCCCAGGCCACAAGCAGGAAGCTGGATGGGAAGTGGGGCCGCCGGGACACAAACCAGTGCCCACATGGGATTCTGGTGCGTTAAAACAGTGAGGACTTTAGCCACTAGGCTACTGCACAGGGTCTGCCCCTTACTAGCTTTATTGTCTCATTTTGAGGGTGACTCTTATTTTCAGCTTCTCCAGAAATGGTATATTAGCAACAGATCTCACACCTTCATGGCCAAAAAAATGCCCTTATTTTTACCAGCAAACACATCTGATGGCTGACTGCAGGATTCTAAGCTGAAAAAAATATTTTCCTTCAGAAATATTTTCCAGCTTTAGCTGACACTGCTGAGCATGACATCGTGACCTCCCGACATCTCACAATGATGCATCTTCCTGTGAGCTTTAGAAAAGGTGCTGTGCAGGACACTTAGCACTGGATTTAGAGTGTTTTTGAATCTGGGAGAAAACTTTTGGTATTATCTCATAAATTCCTCTCCATTTTTCTCTTTTGGGACCTTCTTAGGCCTATTCCTTTATTTTATTTATTTGTATATTGTATTGTATTTTATTAAAGATTGATTTGAGGGCCCAGTGTGTAGTCTGGTGGTTAAAGTCCTTGCCTTGCATGTGACGTGATCGGTTCATATGCTGGCTGCTCCACAAACCTTCCAGCTCCCTGTCTGAGTACTGGGAAAGTAGCTGAGGATGGCCCAAAGCCTTGGGACCCTGCTCCTGTGTGGGAGACCTGGAAGAGGCTCCTGGCTCCTGGCTTTGTATTGGCTCAGCTCCAGTTATTGCAGCCACTTGGGAGTAAACCAGTGGATGAAAGATCTTTCTGTCTCTCCTCTCTGTAATTCTGACTTTCCAATAAAGAAAGAAAGAAAAAAAAAAAAAAGGCTTTATTTGAAAGGCAGCAGAGTGAGAGAGAGATCAACACTTAATTGGGTGAACTGGGTACAATGGCAAGGGCTGGACAAGGCCGAACCTAGGAACAGGAATTTCTGCAAGTTAGGCCATCTTTTATTTTCTTATCCTTTCTTATTCTTCTAATTTCCATCCTTTCCTTCTGTTCTACTTTCATGGAGCAGTTTTTTTGAGATTCTCCCGAACAGTTTAAATTTCTGGTGAATGTTGTTTTCAGTATTCACAGGTTCTTCCTAATTTTTCAGCCTCTACGGTCTTGTGATATAAGTGTTCTATTTCTCTCACTCCTGAGATTATAAGTTTTCATGTATTATCTGTGTTTCACATTACAGCTAATCAGATATCTTTTAACCGAGACATTATAAATCATCATTTTAGTATGTGATTAATATAAAAACTACTAAGATTTTATATTTAACCAGGATTCCTGACTATGTTTCAGAGGAACACGCATGCGTGTGCGCGCACACACACACACTCATATACAGCTAACCTGTCCTCAAGAAAAGATCTGAGTGACTGATGCTTTCTGGGAGTTCTGCGAGTGGAGCCATTTCCTCAGCCCCATGTCAAGAGCGGGAAGCTCAGCCAGTGAGTCAATTCCCTGAGATGGGAAGGGCGCTGCCACTGGAGTCCGAGTTCTTTGGTTCGGCTGGCGGGTCGCTCACATGAAATGGATCTTCTGGGGAGGCAGTGCCTTATTTATTTACCTGATGTCAAGAAGGCCAGAGTCCCGATGGTTTCATTGGACATGATGTTGTGGAAACGTGCCAGCTGTCCAAACATTTGCAGGCCAGCCTCCTTCTCTCGGCGGGCTTCTGGACTCAGACTGTCCCATTCCCCCTGGTCCTTTTCAATCTGCTGAATCTTTATCTTGCTCAAATACTATAGAAAGCAGAGGGGGCACAGATCAGAGAAGACTAGGTGGGAGGAACATGATACTTAAGAGGTCCTATTTAAAATCCAGCTAACTAAGCCTGGAAAATCAGACACCAGAGGGAGAGACTTGGGTCTGCCAGCAAAGGGGTAAAGATCAGAAAGAACTTTATAAGGAAAAAAGTTCTTCTTTCATACAGATTTGTTTCAACTTGTGCAGATTCACACGGGTTCTCTAGAAAGAGTATAGCACCGTAGAATAGAAATTAGGACAAAGAGTGTAATACTGAAAACCCAGGCCAACAACAGCAGGCTACAGTGAAAAACTGATGCCAATACATTCTCTCTGAAACACAAAACCACTCCAGCACCACTGAAAGAAAGTCACCCAAAATATCAAATATGCACAATGTCTAGAAGGAAAACCACACATTTTTAAATCTCATCTTTCTTGCTGTTGTACCAAACAACATGCTAAACTTAAATCTAGGGGCTGATGCTGTGGTGTAGCACACCAAACCTGTAGTGCCAGTGTCCTATATGGGCACTGGCTCGTGTCCTGACTGCTCTACTTCCCATCCAGCTCCCCGCTTATGGCTTCAGAAAGCAGCAGAGGATGACTTAAGTCCTTGAGGCCCTGCACCCACATGGGAGAAACGAAGAAGCTCGTGGCTTCAGACCAGCTAAACTCCAGCCATTGTGACCATTTGGGGAATGAGGCAGCAGGTGGAAGACCTCTCGGATTCTCTTTCTCTCTGTGTATCTGTCTTTCAAGTAAAGACAAATAAATAAAAACAAGAAAAAGTAATAGTGCAAAACCACAAAGCTGTATCCTCTGATTTCTTCTGTAGTGTTGGCCTGATTACTTCTGTCCATACACTTCTTGTCAAAGTATCCATTCTAGCGTAAGACACTTTAGTTTATCAGAACACTAACGTAGAAAGCTCTGGAATGGCAACCTGGAGGTACACTACTATTCATAGGTTTTGGTATTCAAGACCTAGAGGCACAACAACTGCTTTACTATGATCAAAAGATGGACAAATACTAATGATGATTTGATGTTATGTAATTAGGTATTTTTTACCTGTATGGCTTCATCCAAAAGGAAGATGGCATCATTCATCAGCAGGTTAAGAAAGCGAAGGAAAAGTGGGGGGTTCATTGCTTCTAAATTCTTGGAGGCATAGTCAGCCAAGTCCTGTAAGTGCCAGCCCAAGAGAGACCAGCGTGAGTTCTGAACCACAGCTAGCTGGGCCATCTGAAGCAGCTGGCTTCACACAGATTCTTACCTTAATGCTCTCCCGGTAGTTGTCTGTGTCCCACATGTATCTCAGGATGGGATACATGGGACGGCGGTAATTAAACTTCTGTTCAAATTGATGAGGGTCTCCTGGAATAAAGGTAAGAAAAGCATATCAGAAAGGTAGTGCTTTTAGGGAAACAATAAGAGCTCATGTCTGTATGTAATCTTTTTGTTGTGAATGACACAGCCACTGGCAAAATCTGCCCTCTAAAGTCAGGGTTGGGAAGATGGGGGATGATGGAGAGAGGTTAGTGGAACAAGGTTGTAGTGAGACAGAGAGAACAGGTTTTGGTGCTCTCTCATACAGTGGGACTGTCTGCAGTGCACACTGATGGGTCATATATTTCCAAACAGCTAGGAAAAGATCTGGAATATTATCAGCAAAGACACAAACATTTGAGGGTACCACTACACAATATATACATTTACTGAAACTTCATAATTTACTCCATAAATGTGTACAATTAGTATATGTCATTTAAAAAACAAACAAAATAAAACAAAACAAAAACTGGGGGAAAAAGTCTACACTGGTCCACTGCTCTTTACTGAGAACCTTGGAGAGACTGAAGTACATAATACCTTGTCCAGCAAGGTCTAAACTTGGAAAACAAACAAAGAAAAAGGAATGAAAGCCAAGGGAAATGAATGTGTCCAGAACCAAAGGTGGCATCCTCAGCAGATGAACGAGGCCTTCCTGGGCTACTCATCCTGGCAGTGAAAGCTTTGTGGCCAAGGGGACACTAAGAAGTCCTCACATTCTTCATAGTCAACCTCCCTGCAGAGCCAAATAGTTCTTGATTACTCTGGAAGAACCAGGCCAGGAGCAAAAATACCCGAGACTTTATATAGTTTTAAAATATTAAAGGCATCACGAGCGTGCCACAGGAGGGGCAGAATCAAGGGAGAATAAAGGACTTAAGTCAGAACAAGGTTTACTTTCTGGCTCTGCATCACGCAGGTTTCTAGCTTTGTTCAACTTCTACTCCTTGAGAGTTACTGGAAAAGTACTTAAAGATAACCCTTGGGTTCCTGGTCACATAATGGGACAACTGCAGGGATTAACTATACATCTTTTTATGTATTATGAACTATTTTGCTTACTCATCAATCATTTTACAGGTAAGGAAACCAAAGGTTAGAGCTAACAGATAAAACCAGAATCCAAATATGGAAAGGCAGCTGGCAAAATATTAAATGCCTCTGTAAATGTTACCAAATGTACTTACCATTGGATGGTAAGACATTTCCTTTAAAAGCAGTCTTAACAACTGCTTAACTTATTCTGTCTGAGTCACAGCACTGTTTAATCAAGCCTAGGGGCTCAGGGTTAGAGAGAAATGGAACTTCGTTGGTATCCTGGCTCTTGATTGTTAAACAGTTAGTTGAGGTTAAGATAAAGGAAGGTAAAGGTAAAGGTTAAGGTACTCAGTACCCAGTTTCATTATCCATTATTCTGGGAGTCCAGTGACAGTCCATGTTTAATTGGACAGCCTAATTTTTTTTCAGTATGATTTGACCAAGTCATGCAATATAGGAAGTAAAAATAATTTTAGGTGAGACTGACCTGGTTCTATCACACTATTGCTTATTAGTTGTAGACAGAGACAAATAAGCTTCTTGGAAACCCCTGTCCTCCAATGTAAAATGGGCAAATCTCTGAGGGATGTGAGAAGTCTGGTCTAGAGGAGGTACGTGGCCAATGGTGGCTTGACAATTCTCTGCTCTTCACAGACTGAGCTATGGATCCCACCAGATCAGTCTCTCAGGTCTGATCCTGGCTGCTTTACCTGTGAACTCAATGTCCACAAAAACCTTGATTAGCGCTTCTGCAAGCTGTGGTGCATGTGCAAAGTTGCAGAACACACGTTTCCGGTGGAACACACTGGACACCAGAGGATTTGGGGCCTGATCCAGGTGGGGCATCACTGCTTCCAACACCTCAGCCAGCTTGGCCCTTAGGTGGGGATTCTTCATTCTGCAAATAGGGCAGAAAGTGAGGTAAGTAAGTGTACTTACCTCCCAAATGTACAACTTTGTTTTTTTCCATGCGAGGACCAATATTTCCTACACCATCATGACAGGTGAAACCAGATCTACTTCTACTGTGCTGTTAATTTCATGGATTAAAAAGGTGGTGGTGATTCAGGATTTACCATTTAACCTTTAAGATGACAGCTTACAAAAGTAGGAGGGTGAGCTTTAATGTTTAGCCATTCTCTCTTCTATTTTGTAACAATCCATTGTTTCCTGCTTGCTATTATTCTCTGGTAGCTTCATCCTGGATAAACTTGCCTTTCCAAACTTTCTGGGGGTCAAGACTGGGTTATAAGTATATTACCTGTAACGCACACAATGTGTGCCTAATAAGAAACTGTAGACTGATGACTTCTCATCCAGTTTGCAAACCTGTCTACTTCTCACTGCCATGGCCTAGGAAACTGTGGGTCATTGTCTTTATTGTGCAGCAAATATTCCCTTTTTAAAACTTTCTGCTTTCTTTGGCCTACATACACAATACACACAAAATATTTAAATGATAGCATATTCCTTTGGAAAAGAGGATTAAAAGCTGTGAGTGAGAAGACTTGAGATCAGAAATAAAGTGACCCAAGTTTCCTGATTATCCCATTGGGAAAAGAAGAGCAAACTTTGTTGTCACATGATTATTACAAGATCATTGATTAGCATCTGGCTGCAACTGGCAAGGCTTCTGGCACTACTGTAACTAGTTTGACCAGGGACTAACAGAATCCCCATCAGGTACCTTATCTGCAGGTTCACATTCTCTGTGGGCAAAGTCCTTTGCTTATTAGGCCTCTCAACAGTGGGATTTCTGGCTATCCATAAGGATGGTTAGGTGATTCATTAATGTAAACATAACTTCTGAAGGCAACCCTTTATGATTCAGGCTTGTTTATTTCTGGGTATAGAAGTTTCCTGAATGTTTTTGCAGCTCTAAACAGTGACAGACCCAAGCTTTCAGCTCTTCACCTTTCTATGCTTCCGGTGAAAATAGTGATAAAGTGAAGGACATGTTCCAGGGAATCTGCTGATGTCTCCAAGATGTCATCGGCGAAGCGACGGAGAAAAATGAGGAAATCACCAAGGTTATCTGCAAAGAATTCTGCGAAAGAAAGATACTCCCTGAAATTAGTCATCCAGCAGTGCCACACTTCAATTCTTTCTTTTCACTCCACTCAGTGAGGTTAAAAAGCTGCAAAGTATCAGTGTCAGGGACGATGGCAAATTAGGAAATATTCTTTTACACATAAGTCAATTTCTATTTTTATCAAGGTAAATACATGAACTCTAATGACAGAAAAGATGATTAACATGCCAGTATACTAAGATGCTTCTCACTTTCAAGGTTAACTGTGATTCCAACAAAGGTTCAGGTGTTTGTAGACATGCTAATGAGATTTTTACATTAGATGGTTGGGGCAGTGAGGCTCCAAGAGGATCCTCTGATGTTCCTTCTCCTGTATTCATACCCTTGTGGGCCTATCTCATTCTTCCAGGGTAGAAGATATACCCAGAGGGCAGTGAGACTGGTGGATGTCACATCCCATATTATGCTGTAAAAGGCTTGCCCTTTGGTCACCTGTACTGGGGGAAGCCAGTGTCAGATCCTGACTAGTACTGAGGAGGGATGCATATGCACTGGTGAAGGGGCTGCTGGCCAGCAACATGAGTTAAGTGTTGTCTGTGAGCAACCACATGACAATGTTTGTAGGTGGATCTTCCAGGCTCAACCGTGTCCTGACGGACAGCCTGGCTGCAACTCTGACTCAATCATGAAGCTGAGTGTACCTGGATTCCTGAGGTGCAGAAATGGGGAGATGTTTGCTGTCTTAGGCTGTAATATTTTGGGGTGATTTGTTATACAGCCATATATGACCAAACCAGTGTTCTGGGACATGGAAACTGACTCAGTGGATAATGCCTGCTGCCCCCTTGCTGACATTCGTATCCATATACAACTGCCCTTCTGGGTTAACTGACACAATATTTTTTTTCTAATTATAGCACATAAATTTTCTAAGTTAAATAAACAATATTATTGATAGAAATCCTGAACTGCATTTAATCCTCTGAAGACTCATTTTCTGATATGCACAGCAATGGCGCCACAAGAGTGAGGAACAAACCATTTGTTCCCTCCACATTTTGATCAGTAGGTATCCTATATAAGTTTGTTTTTCCAAAAACAACTGAATGATCATTAAAGAAGGCTGTTTTGAAGAGTAAACTTGCAAAGTGACCCAGTTACACTTAGATGGCTATAAATAGAAAGTACCTCAGGGGAGAACATGCTTACCTGGCACATATGCCAAGGAGTTGTAGCCATCTGGCAAAGGAAAAGTTAGTTCTACGGGCTGTGAGCTCTCATTGCCTATGGCCAGCTGAACCAACAGAACAGCCATGGACACCTGCAAATTGAGGCAATTTTGCAGCATCTGCGGCTCAGTCATGGCTGTCTTGGTAGAAAGATAGATGGTCATCAGTCGCTCAAACTGCTCACGAAGACTGTCAGCAGCAGGGCTAGAACTTTGCTGAGCATCCCGCCAGGCGACCTGTAGCCGATGCAGATTTTGGTTGATTTTTACCATCTGATCATGCAACCTGGCCCCAAGAGAGCAGAAGACATTGGGTCAGGGAGGGTCATACAGGACAACCTCGTAAAGTTTGCTCCTGATAAACAAATCTCCCTTTACTTATTCTAACATTCTCTGTGAGGATGTGGAGAGCAGCTATTGTGATGACAAACAGGGCACATACACAAGTTTCAGACGGGACAGAAGCAGGGAGCTTGGCCCTGGGGAAGACGCTACAGATGGTAAAGGTAATTACAAATAGCCTTAAAACTGAAATCTACCACCCAACAAACAGCTGAGCACCATGTACAGTGGGCTGTTATCACACAAAGCAAATATTTATTAGGCAAAGTACAAGAAGGCCTCAGGACAGCTTTACATCATACAAGTGCAGTGGGGATATTTGGATGATCTTCCTAGGATTAGAAGAAAACTAAGCTGGTGCGAAGGGACTTTCAGCTAGCAATGGTCAGGTATAAGCTAGTGACCCACTGGAGTGCAAGCTAAGTGCAGTTCCCAGCTTTCTGTTGTTCAGTATAAAATTATTCTTCACCAAAAGTCATCCTAATATTCTCTACTAAAAGGAAAGGCCATAATTTCAAGTTATGGATAATTTTCTCCATGTACACAGTTCCATATCATCTCCTTTGGCTCTGTGGATATTGTCTAGTGTTAGTTAGTTCAGAAACTAAGTGACATTCATTTCTGTGTTGGATCCAGATGACTGACCAGCATGGAGAATGTTTATCTCCTGTATCACTTAAAATGTCAAGGGTTCTAGAAAACTCTCTCATAAAGACAAATTTCATTTTTCCTTACTGATTTATTAACTGAAGAGATGTGAAAAATGCCGTGTCATTTAAGTATCTGGGAAAGGGAATAAAAATCCTCCTGTATTAACATGTTCCTATAGACTATAACTATGGCTGGATTGCTATGTTTTTCCCTTTTAGACTCATCTGATCCAAAGGCTGAGAAGCAACATATTTTTCCCTTTCATCTATATTTGTAGCCATCATCAGCTAAAGCAGACAAAAAAATATTGTCAGACTACATGGGGCTAGCCATAACCAGAATCATTTTTTGGAACCTATACATTCGAATTCTCAAATCTACACATTTCTTAAAACTCTCTTATTTCAGAGCACAGGTTTTTGTTTTTAATGATCCTATTACTCTCATCAAAACTTTATATTTTCTTAATTTTTTTTCAACTTCATCTCTACATTATAACTTTCCCAAATGAGAACAGGAAGATGGTGAATCAAAAATTTGCAAATGTAGAGAAAAATACTAGATATCTTATACTTTTCTAAAGTTCATAGGCTAAAATTTCAAAACAAATTTAAGTAATCTGGATGAAACTGAATTATGTAAACCTAAATATATACAATGCCTTTTTTCTACTAGATAATAATGAGAGCCTTAACAATACAGTGCAATCTTCTCCTAAGACTCACTTTTAACCTTCTGGTTAGCAGCACAATGAGTTCTTTCCTAACGACATCAGGAGAGTTACCTGTGAAATCCCAAGTACAAGGTGTATTCTGTCAGGGCAAGGTTCTCTGTCACAAGGTTGTAGCTCTGGGGAAACTCTGGCTCCTGCACAGCTGGGATCAAACAGGTTTCCTTGTCCAAACCTCAAAAAGTTAAAAAAATAGTAAAGGGCTTGTCATAGACATCTGTCTCTAGTGTCTTCTTCCTTTCATTCAGCTTTCAGACTGCCACTGCTAGCAGTGATCTCTTTTATTTAAAGAGAGAGAAAAAGAGAGAGAGAGAGAGAAAGAATCAGGCAGAAACTGTATGGCTTTCTCTAACTTAGCTGAGGAAGTCCCACAGTATGATTTCCACTCACCCTATTCTTTTTTTTTTTTTTTTAAGATTTTTGTTTTTATTTGAAAGGCAGATTTATATAGAGATGAAGAGACAGGAGGATCTTCCATCCACCAATTCACTCCCCAAATGGTCACAACAGCTGGAGCTAAGCCGATCCCAAGTCAGGAGCCAGGAGCCTCTTCCAGGTCTCCTAGGTGGAGACAGGGTCTCAAGGCTTTGGGCCATCCTCTACTGCTTTCTCAGGCCACAAGCAAGAAGCTGGATGAGAAGTGAAGCAGCTGGGACACGAATCAGTACCCATATGGGATACTGGCACGTGTAGGTGGGGGATTAGCCAATTAAGCCACTGCACCAGACCCCATAGATATAACATGTAAGGTGAGGATTTAACCACTAGGTTATCGCTCTGGGCCCCAGTGATCTCTCTTTTTTTTTTTTAAAGATTTATTTTTATTATTATTTTTTCATTGGAAAGGCGGATATACAGAGAGGAGAGACAGAGAGGAAGATCTTCCGTCCGATGATTCACTCCCCAAGTGAGCGCAACGGGCCGATACTATGCCGATCCGAAGCCAGGAGCCTCTTCCGGGTCTCCCACACGGGTGCAGGTTCCCAAAGCTTTGGGCCGTCCTCGACTGCTTTCCCAGGCCACAAGCAGGGAGCTGGAAGGGAAGCGGGGCTGCCGGGATTAGAACCGGCGCCCATATGGGATCCCGGGGGTGCAAGGCGAGGACCTTTAACCACTTGCGCCACCGCGCCGGGCCCCCCAGTGATCTCTCTTTAACAAATCTTAGCATATTACTTCCTTGTCTACAGAAATAGCTATATTTCTTTTGCCTGATCATGAAATCACCAAACTTACAAACACAAGAACCAGGATTTTCAAGTGAAAGGCAATGGGTTTGCTTTTATTTTGGGCTTTCTATATTTAAGACTATATGTTTTTGAGAGTTATCACTTTCACACTTAGAAGGAGTTCAGGGGTTAGTGTTGTGCTGTGGTGAGCTATGCCAAAACTTGCAATGCAGGTGTCCAATACTGGAGTGCTGGTTCAAACCCTGGCTGCCACGCTTCAGATTCAGTTCCTTGTTAATACGCCTGGGAAGAGAGCAGAGGACTTGGGTCTCTGCCACCCACGTGGGAGATCCAGATGGAGCTCCAGGTTTCTGTTTTCAGTCTGATGTATCCCAGACCACTGTGGCTACTTAGGGATTGAACCAGCAGATGAAAGATCTCTGCCATTTTGCACGTCAACTAAATAAAACAAACAGACAAAAAAAAAAAAAAAAGAATTATAAAACTTGAAGGAGGGCCCTGTGTGAGAGCATAGTGGTTAAAGTCCTCTCCTTGAACGTGCCGGCATTCCATATGGGTGTTGGTTCTAATCCTGGCAGACACGCTTCCCATCCAGCTCCCTGCTTGTGGCCTGGGAAAGCAGTGGAGGATAGTCCAAAGCCTTGGGATCCTGCACCTGCTTGGGAGACCTGGAAGAGGCTCCTGGCTCCTGACTTGGGATCGGCTTAGCTCCAGCTGTTGTGGCCACTTGGGGAGTGAATTGGCAGATGGAAGAACTTCCTCTTTGTCCCTCCCCCATCTGTATATCTGCCTTTCCAATAAAAATAAATCTTTAAGGAAAAAAAGCTTGAAGGTAATACAATCCAATTTTTGAAAGTGATTCACTGTGAGTAGATCTGAGTCATTTGCTTTCACTATTTTGCATCTATGTTCTGATTCCAGTTTTCTTCCTTCCCAGAACCATTTCCTCCATTTCCCACCTTCCAACCCCAATCTGCTTCCTGTTCTACCCAAACTGAGCTTCTCAGTATTGCTCAGTCAAAAGTTTTCTAGGTCTTGTACCTTTTCATTTGTTATCCTCTCTATAAAGAGCTTTGCTCTTAAAAAAAGAAAACCTTCTCCTTCTGCAGAACTCTTTACCCCTTTTTTGTTCTCTCAGTTTAGTCCCATGCCATATTATGATAATCAGCTAATATATCTGCCTTCTCCTGGAGCTTCTGAGTTAAAAAATGAACTGGGACTATGCTTTATTCATTTTTATAAAAAAATGAGTGAATGGAGCTGGTGTGGTGGCATCTAAGGCTAAGATTCAGTCCATGGTGCCAGCATCCCCTGTGGGCAAAGGTTTGCAGCCTGGCAGCTCCCCACTAATGGCATGGAAAGGCAATTAGTCTTGGATCCCTGAGGACTGTCAGGTATTGTCTTAAACGTTTAAATGCACAGGTCAGCCCTGGGATGCTAGCCTAGTGGCTAAAGTCTTTGCCTTGCCTTGCCTGCACTGGGATCCCATATATCCACCGGTTTGTGTTTCGGCTGCTTTACTTCACATCCAGCTCCCTGCTTGTGGTCTGGGAAAGCAGTCAAGGATGGCACTGTGCCTTGGGACCCTGCACCTGTATGGGAGGCCCAGAAGAAGCTCCAGGATCCTGGCTTCAGACTGGCTCAGTTCTGGTCATTGTGGCCACTTGGGGAATGAACCAGTATGCAGAACTTCCTCTTTGTATATCTGACTTTCCAATAAGAAAAACAAAAAAACCCCAAAAACACCTTAAAAAATCTTTTTTTTAAAGTCTCAATTATCTTTAAAGCTCTTCTTCAATAAAACAAAACAAACCCCCTTCTTTCTACCTTATCATTTTTTAGAAAGATTGTATTGCTAAAAAAAAAAAGAGAGAGAGAGAAGGAAGTGAACATCTTGCATATTACACACACACACACACACACACACACATACACACACGCACAGTTTAAGAGGCCCAGTTCTCCCCTACCTCCCTACCTCTCATGTGTACATTTTTAATTTTTCGTTCTTCATCATTCAACTCCTTCAGGGCACAGTAAGTGGGGTTAAAGGTGAGGAGCCGAGAAGATTTGGGCTTGCAAAATGGCTGGCAGAGCTTCAGGAGAGCAGCACCCAAATTCAAAAAAAAGGCATCCGAGGCATACATTTGTAGGAAGATCTCTGGCATCTGATTGGCCCAAATCTTGGTGCGTCCTGCATTTGCATGCAAACAGTTTCCAAGCCAGGACAAGATACAGTGTTTGGTTTCTGGAGAGAGCTGGAGTAAGTTCTTCAGCATCTGGTAGATCTTTTCATGGAACTGAGCCATGAACTGTTTAACCAGAAAACACAACCACAGAACATTCCAGTTTCACAATCCTAATATTTTTTCACTTCTAAACCTTAACAACTGGCAGTTTCTAAAAATATACTAATCCAAATCTTTCTCTTTGGTGTCCCTACCCCTTAGGCTCTGTTTCTGATTTCTAAAAACTACATTTCTGCGCACTTAGGAAGGGGATTTTTCTGATCAGCTGCCAAACTGTAGTTAGTATTAGAGTTTCAGAGCAGTAGTTAGCAAACTTCTGCAAAGGGCTAGCTGATACTTATTTTTGGCTTTGCTTATTTTAAGTCTCTGAAGTAATTATTCAACTTGGTCACTGAATAAAGTCAAGCCATAACCAATACATGAATAAACATAGCTGTATTTAATCACAGGTTATTTGCAAAAACAGGTGGCAGGCCAGATGTGGCCACTGCTGTAATTTACCAACACCTGCTTTAGAGAATTGTGCTGAAGCGGTGAATGAAAGATTGAAACTTTCCTTGCTTCAACCATTTAAATGTCTTATGTTGGCCCAGACATCTAATTATTATAACTTAGGCTAAAAAGCCCAAATAGAGTGCATAGATAAAATAAATGGGATATGGGCATACGATGGAGTTCACGTGACTTTAGGAGTCGTGAGGTTTAGGGGGGTTAAGGGAAGTTGCGATGTTACAGCCAGGGCAGAGTTTTGGCAGTTGATTCTATCTTACATAAAGCTTTACCCTCTGTTCTTAGCATATGCTAAAAAGAGGCTAGTGTTCCCCCATAATTATGCTAAATGCCAACCAGATCCATTTGCTTTCCCAAATAGACTCAAGCAGCCTCATCTGTACCTGGTTCCTGAGGAAATTATTTAATCTAAGCTCAGGGGGCTAGGATACCCCAGTAAACAGTTCCACCTGATGGATGTTGGCCTCCTGGACTTTGATCTCCTGTGGACTGGAGCGAGATGGATTCAGGAAGTAGCCATGATTTTCTACCACACCTGGAGTCTTTAATAAGCAGGAAATATTCAGAATTACTCCTAGCAAGGTTTTCTGGTACATCTGTCCATTGCTAGGATCCTTGGGCTGAATGTATTCTACAAAAACCTGTAAAGACAAACCTTACTTAGTGATCTGTTTGGTGTGATGAAGGTGAAGGCATCATAATAGTATTCTCAGAAAAGGGAAACCAAGTGTTAAATCTCCAGTGTAACTGCATTTGTAACACCTTCAAGACCTACCTTTGCCAAGTCCTTTTGCCTGGTGAAATAGAGGAGAATATCCAGATATGCATATAACAAGATCTGGCAGAGCTCAAGATCTTTTATTCGACCCAATAAAATATCAAATACGGGAATCATGACCTCTGGAAACGTTCGAACTTCTTCATCTGATATCAGGGCCTGAATGACCTCTTCCAGAAACTCGGTAACATCTTCAAAATCTAACCAAAGACAGAGCAGAGACAAAGGAGGTCATTGGGATTTTTGAAATGCTTGTATACACTGGCTTTTTACTTTTCTGGTGTATCTGATAAATCTCTTGGTATTTAAACCCAAGTGTAAAAGTGTGAGCCCTCTGTCCTAATTTAGACTGGAACTGTAATGATTCCAGACTTTCTAGTGCAATTAAAGGAATTTAAAATCTGAAAATCCAGAGGTAGAAACTCATGACTCTTTGTTCATTTACTCACGGGCTCCTTGGATGGCTTCCAACATCAACTCTACCAGTTGTTCATGGATGTTTTGGTCAACATAGATCTCTGGGGTAAGGAGAATTGTCCTGGTATTAGACACAGTGAGGTTCCTGCACTGCACTGCAAATGGCAGCAAATTCTCTGGGACTTTGGTGATCTGCAACAGCACAAGGAAGAGAGGAGAGTCCAGCTCTGTGACAACTGGGAGCAAGGGCAGACATAGTGCATACTGAGTTCCAAAGTAATACTGGGTTCTTGTGGCTCCATCAAAATCCATAGGGTTTACTCTTATGCCTAAGAATGTATCTGATAAAATTCCAATCCTGAAATTATCAAGCTTACCCTACTCTAACATTTACCATCCCCCACCCCATGAAAATGAAGTTGGGCTTTTTTTTAAAAGATGTGATTTTGAAAGAAGTTTGTAGAGAAAATAGGAGCCATTGGTTCATGTGGGAGAGGGCTGATTCCAAGCCACAGAGACTAAAGTTTCTAATTAGAAGACAAACTAAAAGCGCCTGTGATTTCCAGTTCCAGATAGAATATAATGTATATAAACTGATGCAACTGCCAACTCTGGCTTACACACTAAAGTTAACTCCAAGAGGATAATATAGCCTCCTATGAGATTATTTCTTTACCTCCTCCTTGGCTCTTTGGAAGCAGGAATACAGGTAACAGAATATATGTTTCTCCCCTGCATCTCGATCAGCAGATAGGTTTAACGTTGTAGAAGAAGTCATGTTAATCAAATGGTTGCCTGGATCTTGAAGTAGCAAGCGAGCAAAGATGGCCTATTAAAGAAAAGCATGCAAACAAAAAAAAAAACCTATTGTAATCTTAGAACATTAATTGTACAATTCTGACACAGGTTATTGCAAGAATAAGATCTGGGTGTAGAGTGAAGGGAAAACAGAGGACCCAATATTTTATTACTTCAGGAGACAGATGTAAAGCTATCCTAACTCAAGCTTCAATTACAAGGGACAGTGACAGGAAAAGACAGACACAGCCCACTCTTTCATCTCCTGGTCCCTTACGGTTACTTTAAGTGCATAATGTTAAACTGCAAGATGGTATGTGTTTTCCCTTCCGTGCTGTTATTCCTTTAGTTGTAATGATGCACCAGCAAGGAATAATGCACTTCTCTAAATTTTGAAAGGATATAAAGCTGAAAAGAGATGGGCTTTGCCCTAAGGAAACTCAAGAGGGCCTGGCACAGTAGCCTAGCTACTAAAATCCTTGCCTTGCATGCAATGGGGTCCCATATGGACAATGGTTTGTATCCTGGCTGCTGCACTTCCCATCTAGCTTCCTGTTTGTGGCCTGGGAACACAGTAGAGGACGGCCCAAAGCCTTGGGACCCTGCACCCGCGTGGGAGACCTAGAGGAAGCTCCTGACTTTGGATTAGCTCAGCTCTGGCTGTTGTGGTCACTTGGGGAGTGAGTCAGTGGATGGAGGATCTTCCTGTCTCTCCTTTTCTCTGTAAATTTGATTTTCCAATAAGTTAAAAACAAGCAAGCAAGCAAACAAACACACACACAAAAAAAAAACAAAGAAAGAAGTTCAAAAATGTAATAAAGCAGATGAGTCAGGTACATTAAAAAAAAAAAGCTAAAATATCAGACAGAAAATGACGATTCCTGTAATTACTGTAAGAACTTGCAGGTGGGAGTACCAACTTCTCCCTGCCAAAGCTTCGTACACAGATGGAACTTTAACTGGTTCTTAAAGGACAGATGACTTTAGACATGAGGTAGATGAGAAGACTACAAAAGAGGAACACCATACACACTGTGAGGGAAAGAGGTCAGCAAAACCACAGCTGAAGAGGGTGGGCAGTGTTCAGCCATCGGAGAGGGCTCATTTTTTGCTGAGGGCACAACACTAGAAACAGAAGATTGGCACCTGCTCAACATTGCTCATATCAAGCCAGTCTTGATCTTCCAGTTCTACTGCCATTTCTTCCAAATACACACAGCGGCTGGGGATACCATTCCCACTTTTCAAGCTTGGGTCACCTGGGAAATGATTATAATCAGGTAAGTTAAGGATAACATTCCTGTCTATATTATATAGAAAATGGATTTTATGAGAACCCCAATATTTTTGTTGAACTCCCAAGTTTGGCTGATGATACTGATATACAAAGTACTATGGAAAGGTAAGTATTTTCCCTTCAGTCACAGAGCATGGCTCTGACATCTTAACATTCAGAGCAAATCCTGGCCATTATTCTAACTTTGGGATTTAACTACACAGAGAGAGTACACAGGGAAAACACAGAAATCTCTCAAGGCTTCCATCAGAGAAGAAACTGGGTTTGACCACCGTTCACATTTCCCATTTAAGGTGGTAAAGCCAAGTAGCTACATGGCCCAGTCAGCATCAAAAGTCAGTCCTAAGCTTCACTGAAATACAAACCCTGTATTCCAGGGAGGGGCAAAATAGGCTTTTTTAACCATCAGATGCAACTTTTTTCTAAGAGCAAGTTTCCAGAACAAGTCCAAGTAGGAAAGGTAAAATGATAATCAGGTTAGTCCCAAGTCTAAACTTACTGTTGTCCAGAGTGATGAGGAAGATTCTTTGAATCATGTGATTGATGTTGAGTTGCTCACATATTTCTTGCTGTGACCGGAATGAGCGGCTGATCTCTGCCACAGAATAATCAAATTCATCCAGGCTCTCTGACACGCTATTATCTGAGTCATCTGGGCTACCTGGGAGTTCATCTGCAGAACATGTAAGCTGTTAAATCTTACATTCTTACAAAGAATCAAACATGTCACCAAAATGGATAAAAGTAACCAAGGGGAGGATAATTTCAATGTGAAACAAGTGAAACACCTAATTAGTGAACATCGTAAGTAAGGCCAGTTCAGTGTTTGATTGCAAAATCCATGACTATAATCTTACCATTCTTTATAAGGCAGAAGTTTTATTACTTCTAATTGTACTCCACACTGCCAAAACTAGCAAATTTTCTTCCAAACAGACAGCTAGTAAACAAAGAATTACTTAGCAGGTCAAAATCCTTAGCTTTCTCCTGGGTAGCACTTTTTTTTAAAAAAATTATTCTTTTATTTTGATAATCTTTACACAGTTGATTAGGGCACAAAGGGTCAACAGTTACAGGAAAGTGGGTAAGACCATTGTTTCCACGGTTTTTTTTGTGTGTGTATCTGGAGCACTTTTGTTTTAATAATTCCAAATTATAGGAAACTATAGTGCAGAAAGTTTCCTCTAACCAATTGCTTATAAGCAACACTTATTTTCTCGATGTTCCAGAATTTCTCCCCTCTTATTCCAGCGCTAACATTCATTGTTTTTAAAAAAGATTTATTTTATCTGTATTGGAAAGTCAGATATACAGAGAGGAGGAGAGACAGAGAGGAAGAGCTCCCACTCATTGATTCACTCCCCAAGTGGCTGCAATGGCAAAGCTCAGCCAATCTGAAGCCAGCAGCCAGGAGCTTCTTCCAGGTCTCCCACGTGGGTGCAAGGTCCCAATGGGCCATTCTTTACTGCATTCCTAGGCCAAAACAGGGAGCTAGCTGGATGGGAAGTGCGGCTGTTGGTAACTAAACCAGTACGCATGCAAGGCAAGGACTTTAGCCACTAAGCTACTGCACTGAGCTCCATTACTTGACTTTTAATGTTTTTTTTTTTTTAAAAAAACAATATCTATTTTTATCTGAAAGGCAGATTTAAAGAGAAGGGACAGAGATTCTCCATCCATTGGTTCATTCCCCAAATGGCCACAATAGCTAGAGCTGAGTGGATCCGAAGTCAAGAGCCAGGAGCTAGATGGGAAGTGAAATAGCCAGGACATGAACTGCCACCCATATGGGATCACCTCTAGGTGAGGATTTAGCTATTGAGTAATCACACCACTGTGCCTGCTCCACTTCTGATCCAACTCCCTGCTAATGCGCCTGGGAAAGCAGCAGAAGATAGCCCAAAGCCTTGGGACTCTGTACCCACTGACTGAATTTCTGTAGTTTCTTTCAGAACAGAACTCACATAATGACTACAAATATGCTATTATGCACTGTAAGTCACACGAGGCTACCTGCATTTCTCTATTGATAAGGTGATTATTTTGAAAGTCCAAATAATAGCCAGAACAAAGTGTTGCTTCCTGTGGTGAGTTTGGTAAAAGTAAAGCTCAGTATAGGAGGCCAAAGGTTTTGGCAGAGGACTAACTGCTAAAGGCAAACAGGTTGGACCTGGTGTCCTGCTAAACTCAGGGTAAACAAGCTAAGGCAGTGAGGTGCCAAAATAGAAACAGAAGGGCATGTTCCTGCTGCTTGCAACTCTCCCAGCACTAGCCAAGCTTAGATCTGTTTACAGTCAATTAAAAAGTCAGCACTGTGTTTATTCTGTCTTAGCTCTGTCACCCTATTTAATTTTAGCCAGAAAGCAAGATTACAACTCAGCAATGCATTTAAAAAATACATATACCTTTTAAAACGAAAACATAAACACTTTTCTATTTCTCAAAGACAAACTCCTCTCCTCTCTCTTGGACACAGGAGGAAGGGTGCAATGTTTAGTTTTCAGCATTGTGAATGTCCTGGGGTCTGTATATTGGAATTCTTCTAGCCTATGTGTTTCCTGATTGGAGGAAGCGGGACTTGTCTTAAACTTGGTTCCACATAAAGACAATCGTTTTTCTGATCAATGAAATATTACTCTTTTTTCACATTAAGGCTAATAAGGGGCAGACTTTTCCAGAAGTTGATTTAAACATCAGTTTGCTGCAGAAGAAGCCACTGAGAAGGAACTTTACTGGCGAGAGCCTCTTAAGCTCTGAGCTTAACAAGAACAAATTCCATTTGTCTTCAGGTCAAAAGCTCTCGTAATCTTCCTTTAACACATGCTTTCTAAAGCCGCCTAAGACTTGCTTTCCATATCCTCACTTACCTCTTCAATTTACTATGTTAAAAATATTTACTTATGTGTCTTTTGCTCAGTGATTTTTTTCCCCTCTTTTAAAAATGAAATGGCTCGACAGCTTTGAGGGCCCAACTGACAGTCATTCCTATGGAACCACCCACTATCCAGTCTCTTCATACACAGAAGCCTACGTTAAAAATCACCAACAGAAACAATTTCCCCAAATGACCAAAAGCAATTTTTTTTCTCACACTTAGATTCCAATTGCAATTAAGAACCCAAGAAATACTTCATTTGGGAAGACCCCATTCCAGGTCAGCTCATCTGCTACTACTGGCTTTTATACTTACCAGATTGCTGCTTCAGCTGCTCTTTTTGGATTGCTGCAAACTGCTTGGCATCAGCCAGGGAGCCAAAAAGAGCAGCAAAGGGGTTACTTGAGATGTTGTTGTTATTCTCCTGGTCTGTCATTTCACTTTAAAGTATTCTCCATCCAGACCTAGGGTGAGGGGCTATACAAGGGACAGGTATCAAATACAGAAGGGCAAACAGAAAACAGCTATGAGGCACCCACACCTATTTCTTTCCCCATTTCTCAGACATAAAACATGTCACAAGGCTTTGGGTTAATACTTCACAAATTTTGCTTCAAAGCTTAACACAATTTTTTGGCACAATCAATATAAACCTACCAAGTAGACACAAGGACCTAATTTGGACACAGTAAAACACCAAAAAACCTAAAAAGAGCATTTAGTTGGAATACATTTATCTGTTGCCATGTTTCTTTTCTCCCTAATATATTCTATGGCTATTCCTTCAAGAATGCAAGTTAAGCATAAAGAACCCACTAACTGTCACAACAATGTGGCACTTAGAAAAACCTATGCATCTCCTGTAAGATTCTCAGCTGGCACACTTGCTTTTACTCACTGTGCAGAGGGAAAAGTGGCATCTGCTCAGACTCTTATGACCTAGGATTAGAGCTCAGACTTCCTCAGCTTCATAAAGATGAACTGTAATTCCACTGTTTAGGTTTAGAACTGTTAGAGGCAACCAAGATGTTAAAAGGTCTACATATTAGAAGTGGGTTGAGTAAGTCAAAAGCAACTTGAATTTAAAGTAAAAAGAAGTTTCTACAAATAACTTGGGCCCCACTCCCAGGCTTAGGCTGTAAGGGTCAGTGGGTCTTTTGCAGGCACTGATAAGAATAAGAGCCCATTGTCCACTGCACCCAGGCTCAGAATGCAAGTAAGGGTCAGTGACCTTGATAAGGGTAAAATAGCCCCATGGTCTGTATTTCACAGATATGTTACCTATTGCTTTGCATCTGTAACCCCTTAGAACAGTTTTGTCTTGTCATGATGAATAGAGACTTGAGGCATTTCGCGGGCTTTTAGTTGATTGGAGTGTTTCATATTTGCTTTAAAATGATTGGAGTGCTTTTCGCAGGCGCGGGCCTTGCTGTAACGGCCAAAGTGGCCTATAAGAATCTGGCTTGTTCCTACCTCGGGGTCTTGCTTCATCTACTGGTCCTGTGTGTCCGTGTGAGGAGCTTGACCCTGGCTAGCCAGCTCAATAAACTCTGCATGCTGATTGCATCCACGTCTGGTTCTTTGCTATTCAACGGAGGGGCGATTTTGGACCCTTACAGAACAGCAAACCACAACCAGAACCAGAGTAGCTATATGGTATGTATCTTTTTTTTTTTTTTAAAGATTTATTTTTATTATTTTTTCATTGGAAAGGCGGATATACAGAGAGGAGAGACAGAGAGGAAGATCTTCCGTCCGATGATTCACTCCCCAAGTGAGCGCAACGGGCCGATACTATGCCGATCCGAAGCCAGGAGCCTCTTCCGGGTCTCCCACGCGGGTGCAGGTTCCCAAAGCTTTGGGCTGTCCTCGACTGCTTTCCCAGGCCACAAGCAGGGAGCTGGAAGGGAAGCGGGGCTGCCGGGATTAGAACCGGCGCCCATATGGGATCCCGGGCGTGCAAGGCGAGGACCTTTAACCACTTGTGCCACCGCGCCGGGCCCAATGGTATGTATCTTTAACATATATTAAGTAGGGCCCAGCACAATGGCTTAATGACTAAATCGTCACCTTGCACATGTTGGGATCCCATATGGGAGCCGGTTCATATCCCAGCTGCTCCATTTCCCATTCAGCTCCCTGCTTGTGGCCTGGGAAAGCAGTTGAAGACAGCCCAAATCTTGGGACTCTCCACTCCCATGGAGACCTGGAAGAAGCTCCAGGCTCCTGGCTTTGAATCAGCTCAGCTCCAGCCATTGTGGCCACTTGGGGAGTGAATCAACGAATGGAAGATTTCTCTGCGTCTCTCTTCTCTGTAAATCTGTCTTTCCAGTAAAAATAAGTATATCTTAAAAAAAAAAGACTCTAAAAAAATCTACATTAAATAATCTATCTCTATTTACGGGCTTAAAACTATTGACACTTTTTGAAGTAAGATGAAGTGCTCCCAGTTGTAGGCAACTGTCTAGGCTGCCTCATAATTAGGCAAGTTATTATACTGCTGGGAGATAAGTAGCTAATAGTTGGTGGACATCCTGTGCCTGGGTATAGTTAATGCCAAATTTGTGTTAACTATACCAATGTGCCAGCTTATTCTATTTTTTTTTTAAAGACATGTGGGGAAAGCAGGGATTGCAGGGCCAGGATACACCACCCTGGTCTCCAGGTAGGGGGTTGTAGATTGCCTGGGGAAGGGGAGTACTAGGTAGGAGCACTTGAGGGCATATCTGACAGGGGAGAAATGACTTTTAGGGTCTTCCAAGGATCACTGTACTTGCAGGTAGGAGAGGGAGCTGAGACAGATTAGTTTAGAGGGGGCAACTAGAGGGCATTCTTGCTCAGGCCAAGGCATCGACCCACGTGGGAGACCTGGGCTGGGTTAAGTAGCATCACCAAACACCTCCTGGCACTCACAAAAGCTGAGCCTGGGAGGCATGCCCAGCTGGGCTAGGCCACAGTATGTGCCCATGAGTATATGAACAGGAGGTGGGCCATGTCAGGCTGGGCCATAGCACTCACTAGAACATGAGAAAACCAGATCTGGGGGAAGATTCCTTAGGGGACTTACAGGATTATCTCTGTGGAACTGTAGGATCTGCCAGTTTGCATGGTGAGCTAGGGGGCGGTGAGGAGCCAGGTTATACCATGGAACTCAACTGACACTTGCAGGAGTCAGGGCTGGAAGAGGGCCAGGCTGTGCCAGGCTGCAGTGCCCACCAGCACATGCAAAGGCCAGGACTGAGGGCAGACTGTATTAAGCAGGACTGTCACACCAGTCAGAATGCCTGAGATCTGGGGCTGGAAGTAGGCCTGGTAGGGGAACCTCAGAGACTCCCTTCCTGGATGCTGCTGCTTCCATTGGTAAGTATGAGAACTGGGACTGGGGGAGGGCTGCTCTGGGGCAGGCCAGGTTATGCTAGGATGCCGTACCTGGTGGCGTGCAGAGAGCCAGAATGGGTATTGTGCAGCAGGGCTAGGACATAGCACATTCTAGCAAGTGTTGGGACTGGATGTAAGTCATGTCAGGCTGGAATGCAGCATCCCCTGGCAAGGGCAAAATCCAGATCAGGGTAGCATGGTAGGAGAACTGTGGGCACTCCTCTGGTGGGTTGCAGTTCTCTCTGGTGAGCATGTGAGCCAGGAATGTGGGCAGGTCAGGCTGAGCTAAGTCATGTAATCCATCGTTGCACATGAGAGCTAGATGGGATGTAGGACAGATTGGGTTGGACTGCAGTACCTGCAAAAACCAGGGCTGGGGGAGGCTAATGGGGGTTTCTCTGATTAGCTTGTGGCACCCACTGGTGTTCATGAAGACAAGGCCTATGGCAGGCTGGGCTAGGCTAGGCTGCAACACCTATCAGTTCATTTGAGAGATAGGATTGAAACTGGCCAGGCAGCTGCATCCACCAGTATGTATGCTGGGCTGGTGCAGGTGATGGACCAAACCTGACCCTTTACTGGCGGGCACATGCAAGTCAAGTCTGGGATTCCCCCAGATGAGAGGTTTCTTGGGGTAATTCTCAACTAGACCACTGAACTTAATCTCTGGCCACAGAGAAAATCACAATACGTGGTATGACCTTAGAGTGCATGTGTCAGGACTTAGCCTCTTCAGTTGCTGATGCCTGTGCAGTGGACAGCATGCCCATTCACAAGGGGGACATGACAACAAGCTCATCTAGGATGTCAAGTGACTCATCAGATGATGGCAAGAACAGATTGGACAACTCTTCTGGCCAAGCTCTGAAGCAAGCATTTAGGTCTGTGGATGTGCTAAGGTGGACTTGGTCAGCCAATAGGTCTCGGAAAGTTATTCTCAACCCAGGAGCAATGAAGCCAATAACAGAACTATCAAAACTACTCCAGCAACACCCTCAGAATACTCATCCTATATTGGGGTCTCTAAGGTGTTATCAAAGGACTATTCCCTGTGCCCTAATGCTCATATAACTTGACAGCAAGGAGTGGCACCCTTCTCTTACTCACTGTAGACACAGTAGAAAAAAGCAATGAAAACATTTGTCCCAGGCCCAGTGGCGTGGCCGAGCGGCTAAAGTCCTCGCCTTGGGCACGCCGGGATCCCATACGGGCACCGGTTCTATCCCGGAAGCCACACTTCCCATCCAGCTCCGTGCTTGTGGCCTGGGAAAGCAGTCGAGTATGGCCCAAAGCTTTGGGACCCTGCACCTGCGTGGGATACCCACAAGAGGTTCCTGGGTCCCGGCTTCGGATCGGCGCAGCACTGGCCGTTGTACTCACTTGGGGAGTGAATCATCAGACAGAGGATCTTCTTCTCTGTCTCTTCTCTCTGTCTGACTTTGTAATAAAAATAAATAATTTTTTTTAAAGTATATTAGGTTTAAAAAAAAACAAAAACAAACAAAAAAACCCCACATTTGTCCCACCTAACCTTCATCCATACCTGGACCCTCCCCACCCCTAATCAAGACCCACATGGGCCTGTATCTCTCTGAACTATGTAAATAATATTAAAAATAAAAAAATAAAAAAAAAACAAAAACATAGTGACTTTTGCTTAATTCTAATTGAAATTTCATCAAGTCTCGGATTTTTCCTTTTCATTTTTTAAAATAATACTGTAGAAACAAATTCTGCCAGACCCAAAATGTTCACATAAAACAAATAAATAGGGTCTGGCACGGCTAAAATCCTCGCCTTGAATGTGCCGGGATCCCATATGGGCACTGGTTCTAATCCTGGCAGTGCCGCTTCCTATCCAGTTCCCTGCTTGTGTCCTGGGAAAGCAATCAAGGATGGCCCAAAGCCTTGGGATCCTGCACCTGCATGGGAGACCTGGAAGAGCTCCAGGCTCCCGGCTTCGGATCGGTGCAGTACTGGCCGTTGCAGTCACTTGGGGAGTGAATCATTGGATGGAAGAGATTTCTCTCTGTGTCTCCTTCTCTCTGTATATCTGACTTTGCAATAAAAATAAAAAATAAAAACAAAAACAACCACAAAAAAATAAAACAAATAAATAGCTCCAAGGTATTTAGTGGAGCTGACTGAGCCTGCATTTACATTCTTGTGGCTCCAGTGCTGTTTTTCAAAGCTAACCAGACTCAGTGGTACAACAAGAAAAACGCAGCTCCCTAAAGGCCATTCTCCCCTTTCAGAGGTTTTTAAAGCCACTGCATAAAAACAGTAGAGGCATACAAAAGAAGAAAAACAAACAAGAAAACAATCTACCTTACAGAGTATTAATAAAACCAAGTGCAAGCAGGAAAAGCTAAAGAGACAAGAACATTTCTTAATAAATCTGAGGCATCTGCACCAGTTATTTCACACTCCTCTACTATATTTTCTGGTTAAAAATCAATAGTTCCAATGTCTTGGGCAGAGCATCTGGTCTCCTCTCAGTGTGGTGTAACACTTTACTGCTTCAAGGAATAGAAATCCTTTGAGCAACTTATTTATTTCTTGTTTTATCTGAAAGATGGGAAAGGGGAGAGAGAGAGAGAGACTTCCACCTGTATTGGCTAACTCCTCACTTACAATATCCAGGGCTGAGCCAGGCTGAAGCCACAAGCCTCGAATGCCACCCAGGTTTCTCCTGAGGATGGCAGAGTTCCAAATACTTGAACCATCATCTGCTGCCCTCAGGATGCCATCAGCAGGAAGCTGGATTCCATGCAGAGTAGCCAGGATATGAGCCAGACTCTCCAATGTAACATGTGGGCAGCCATGGCATACTGTCTTAACTACTGTACCAAAGACTAATCCTAGCAATTGGACTCTTAGATGGTATTTTTATTTTTTGCTATATATTAGATTTTCACAACTGAATGGACAACATGCATTAAGAAAAAAACACAAAAATTTTAAAAATACTTTGCACAAAAATAACATCTTTTAATTCAATTTCCATGAACCTATTGATCTATCATATATTTGGATTTAATACTGCATAAAAAGGAAAGCATTTTATTTGGTGTTAGAATTAATAGCAATTGAGCCTGGTGCGATTGCTTAGTGACTGAAGTAATAGCCTTACATGCACTGGGATCCCATGTGGATACTGGATCATGTCCTGGCTGCTCCACTTCCCTTCCAGCTCCCTGCTTGTGGCCTGGGAAAGCAATTGAGGATGGTCCAAAGCTTTGGGACCCTGCACCCATGTGGGAAACCCAGAAGAAGCTCCAGGCTTCTGGCTTTGGACGGGCTCAGATCTGGCCATTGCAGCCACCTAGGGAGTGAATCAGCAGATGGAAGATCTTTCTCTCTGTAAATCTTACTTTCCAATAAAAATAAAAAATAAATCTTAAAAAAAATTAACAATAATCCTTGAGAGGGCTTTCCCCCATGTAACTATTGTATCAGCTTAACTAATGGCCCCTAACTCACTTAGAGGCAGCAACAAGTGTCTCCTTGTCAGGTGATCACCACCCAACCTTTATCATAAGGTGTTCTGAATCCAAGGAATGCAGAATGTGCAGTGACTATTGCTCTGTTTTGAAACACCATCATGCTATTTCAACATGACACCCTACATTTTCCTTTGCATATCTACTCCTCTGAGATCACATGTACAGAAGGGGTGATCTCACTCACTAGATCCAGGAATGGGCAAATGATTCTGTCCTGATCAGAAAGTGTATAGCATTTTCTGGCTGAAGCAACTAAACCAGGATGGGGCAAAAGACCCTACTGAGGCCTTTGAGACTTAATGCACAAAGACTTCAAGGCTTTGGTTGGATCCAAAGAAAAAAAACTCTAGAGGCCAGATTATGGTGTTGTCTGCTCCACTTCTAATCCGGTTACCTGTTAGCAGGCTGCGGAAACAGTGAAAGGTGGCTCATGTCCTTGGAACCCTGCACTCCCATGAGATACTTAGATGACGTTCCTGGCTCCCGGCTTTGTTTTGATCCAGCTCTGGCCAATGCAACCATTTGAGGACTGAACCAGTGAATGGAAGATCTTTCTTTCTTTTTTTTTTTTTTTTAAGATTTATTTCTTTTTATTGGAAAGGCAGATATACAAGGAAGAGGAAAGACAGAGAGGATGATCCTCTGTTTAATGGTTCACTTCCCAAATGGTCGCAATGGCTAGAGCTGAGCCAACTCGAAGCCAGGAGCCTCTTCCAGGTCTCCCAAATGGGTGCAGGGTCCCAGAGCCTTGGGCCATCCCTGACTGCCCTCCCAGACCACAGGCAGGGAGCTGGATTGGAAGCGGATCCCGGGCATCCAAGGCAATCCATTACACGAGACCCTGGAAGACCTTTCTGTCTCTCTCCCCCTCCTTTCTGTAACTCTGCCTTTCAAGTAAATAAATAAAGCTCAAAAGAAGAAGAAAAAATAATAACAGAGAAAGAAAGAAAACAAAATTTGTTTTCCGGCTTAGACTGCTTAGCTGGCAAGATACAAACCTAGACTTGCCATCCTCACAGCCTTGAAGAAACACCTAACCCAAAACTAAGTCAACGTTAAAAAAAATATATTACGACATAGAGAACATCTTTTGGACTTTTCAGTTATAAATCAATAAAACTCCCTTAAGTGCAGAAGCCAGTTTTTTTTTTTTTAAGATTTATTCTATTCTATCTTTTCCTATAATCTGAGAGAGAGAGAAAGAGATTCCAAGATTAGAAGATTCCATCTGCCACTTCACTTTCCAAATGACAGGAATGGCCAGAGCCTGGCCCATCCAAACCCAGGAGCCAGAAGCCTCCTCCAGGTTTTTTTTCTTTATCATCAGGATAATCTTTTTCATATTCACTTCACATCTGCACACAAATTCTTTTCATAGAAAAGGCTAAGGTCTAGCACAGTGGCATAACAAGTAGTATCAACCCATGGCACTGGCAATCAATTGCTATGCTTCCAACCCAGTTTCCTGCTAATGGCCTGGGAAGCAGTGGGCATGAATCTGTGCATCCACATAGGACATATGGAAGAAGCTCCTGGCTCCTGACAGGCCCAGCTGTGGTCCCTCTGACCATTTGAAGAGTGAACTAGCAGATGGAAGATCTCTATCACTCTGACTTTCAAATAAAAAATAAACTCTTCAAAAAAAAAGAAGAAGAAGAAGAAGAAAGAAAGAATAGAAAAGAGAAAGCTCAGACTCAGGCCAGTGCTGTGGTGTAATGGGTAAAGCTGCTACCAGCAGAGCTGGCATGCCACATGGTCACTGGTTTGAAAATCCACTGCTCCACTTTCAGCTCCCTGCTAATGTGCCTGGGAAAGCAGCAGAGGACAGCTCAAGCTGGATCTGTGCACCTACATGGGAGACCTGTACAAAGCTTCGGGCTCCTGGTTTCCTATCAACCCAGCTGTGGCCATCTGCAGAGTGAACCAGTGCAAGGAAGATCTGTCTTTCCATACAGAGAGAGTTTCCTTCTCTTTCTATAATTCTGTCTTTAAAATTAATACATAAATCCTTTAAAAAGTATTAAATAACAAATGGAAAAAGTTACAAAAATAAATATATTAGGAAGAGCTAAAACTGTACACTCATAAAAAAGTTACAGGAACAAAGAGGGTTGATCACTTGATGAAAACGTTTGTGGAGCAGCCAGGTTAGTTTTTTTTATTTTAATATTTATGTTTTTAGTGGAAAGACATACAGAGAATGGGAGATACAGAAAGATATTCCATCCACTGGTTCACTTCCCAAGTGGCCACAACAGCCGGAGCCGAGCCGGTCCCAAGCCAAGAGCCAGGAGCTTCTTCCAGGTCTCCCACGCGAGTGCAGGGTCCCAAGGCTTTGGACCATCCTCTACTGCTTTCCCAGGTCATAGACACGGAACTGCAAGGGAAGTGGAACAACCAGGATATGAACCGGCGCCCATATGGGATCCCGATGCTTGCAAAGTGAGGATTTAGCCATTGAGTCTTCGCTCCAGATCCCAGACAGAGTGTCTTTCAAACCCAAGAGAAGAGGAAGCTGACTACCACGAGCTTTGCGTGGGGAAGCCACTGCTCACCTTAAGAAACGTGTACACAAACACATGCATCCAGTTGCCTGACTACCATGTCTGGTGCTCAACTGTATCTTTCTGGCGTTTACCGATTTGTCGTCTACCTCCTACACTGTATCTTTCTAGGTCCCAGAAGGGATTCATGGGAAAGGGGGAGGCACACCAGCCAGGCGCAGGTTCCAGGAAAGTGCAAAGATCAAGCAATGCAGTATCCTTGCCTTTCCAGGAGGGTACACAGCACAGAGCAGGGGAGGGAAGCGAGGACCCCAGAAGCTGGAGTCATCTCAGGGGTTCCTAATGAGGCAGGTGGAAGTTTAGAAGGTAGGTGCCAGGCTGGGAAAGCATAAAGAATCTGGAGGAAGGACGGCAGCACACGCCTGCACGGCACAGGAGAAAAACCCCACTGCAGACTTAACAACCCCTCCCGTCCAGCTGCCTTCTCTCTTACCAGAGCCTGAGGGCCAGCAGCGACACGACAGTCTCTAGGGCCAAAAGGTTCCCACTTCCGACTCCGCACGGCAACCGGAGCTGACGTCACCGCTCAGCGCCGGGGATTGGGAAATCTCACTTCCGCGCCGGAACACGTAGTCTCCGCCCGTGCTGCCCTCACGGCGCACGCGCCAGCTGGCTGGAAGCCGACTTGGGGTTGGCCAAGCAGGGGCGGAAGTGCCCGGAACGGGGCTGGGGAATCCTATTGGGGCGGCTTTGGGGTTGTGGGTTGGAACTTGTGGGAGTGCGACTTCCGATATCACGTTGTGAGCTCGGCGTGTGATCGCAGTCTCTGGATTTCTGCTTTCTATTTTCCCATGGGTCTTGTACTTGTTCAAGCCGCTTCTGTTACTCTTCACATTGATAATGATTGCAAGCATGGTTGAATTTTGGTATTCTATTCTGCAAGTCAGTAGACATTTTACAAAGTTATTCCCAGCGATACAAAGGTGACTGGAAGAGGCCTGCTTTTACAGAATTAAAAGCGGTGCACATGTAAGACAATTCATTGCATAACAGAAATACTGGCATGTCATCTGTTTGATAAAGGATTGATACCCGGAGTATAGAAAGAACTCCCGTAATGTAACAATAAAGAAACCAAACCGAGAACAGGCACAGGGGGCCAAGCCTTGTGGCCCAGTGGTTACTAGTTGCTTGGGTCACCTGGGTCCCTGTGGCTGAAGGCCTCGTGGAATCCTGCTGCGCTTGTAGAGTTCCAGCTTCCAGCTCATGCATTGCCTGGTAGAGAACAATTTGGGACTCAAGTACTAGGGTTTGCGGCCACCCGCTTGGGAGACCTGTATGGAGTGATGGGCTCTTGGCTTTTGTAGGATTTGGGTAGCGGTATGTGTGTTTGAAGGATGGGGCCAGGGCTTCTGTCCTTGTGTCCCAAATTAAAAAAAAAAAAAGGGCCCGGCGGCGTGGCCTAGCTGCTAAAGTCATCACCTTGAACACCCCAGGGTCCCATATGGGTGCCAGTTCTAATCCTGGTAGCTCCATTTCCCATCCAGCTCCCTGCTTGTGGCCTGGGAAAGCAGTCGAGGACGGCCCATAGCCTTGGGACCCTGCACCCCTATGGGAGACCCGGAAGAAGTTCCTGGATCCTGGCTTTGGATCGGCATCATCGGATGGAAGATCTTCCTCTCTTTCTCTCCTCCTCTCTGTATATCTGACTTTCCGATAAATAAATAAATCTTTTAAAAAAATTGTAAAAATCAGACATGACTTCACACTTACTATATTGGCTATTTCAAGCAAAAGGAAAGTGATTTCTTGAAGATGTGGGGAAAACTGATGAACCTTAAGGCTTTCGTGATGGAATATCAAATCATGTAGCCACTTTGGACAAAACAGTTTGGCAGTTCCTCTGAAACAGAAGCACAGTATCAAATGGTGATCCAGCAGTTCTGCTTGGTGGCAGATAATCGAAAGAACTGAAAACAGCAATTCACAGACACTACTGGATCAATATCCACAGGGCCTACTCACTTTCGCCAAAACTTAGACAACTCGGATGTTCATCAGCAGATGAGTGGATAAACAACATATGGTATGTAAGTGCAGTTGGCTATTCTCCAGCCTTTAAAAAGGGAATGATGTTCTATGGGAAAAACAAAAACATGAGAAAGGATTGAAAAGAATAGCATGGAATGTCCTTGAAAATGTGGCACCAAGTTACACAGGCGTAGTAGCTAATGTATAGGTGCCTGTATGTTTGGTATCTGGAATAGACAAGGCTAAGGAGAAAGCTAGTACAATGGTTGGGGGTAATGGAAAAGGTACAGGGTTTAATGGGTGCAGAGTCTCTGTGTAGGAAGATGGAGAAGTTTTGGAAATAGTGGTGATGGCTACCCAACAGTGTGGATTACTTAATACACTAAATAGTGCATTTTAAATAGCTCAAGTAGTCAGTAATATGTTGCAGAAAATTTGCAATCCACATATGCAAATGCACTGTGCTGTTTTTGAGTCTGTGTCACTGTTCTGACTCTAACATACCATAGTGAAAAGTCAGGTCTTCCTGCCTGCAACTTATAATGGGGGGAGAATGATGCGATAACATGGCATCTAAAATTAATGGGCCCAAGGTGGGTCATTAAGTAAATATTTCCTAAATAAATAGATAACTATCTGGTTTAAATTTGGTGAAATATGTTAGATATTGAATTAATAACATTAATTCAAACATTTGAATGTTCAAAACAACAAAATGCTAAAAGATTTAATGGAAGACCTTTTTAAAAAGACTAATCTTTGGGGCTGGCACCATGGTTTAGTAAGCTAATCTTCTGCCTGTGGCACCAATATCCCATTTGGGGGCCACTTCGTGTCCTGGCTGCTCAACTTCTGATCTAGCTCCCTGCAGCAGGAATGGCTAAATCTTTGGGCCCCTGTACCTACATGGGAGATTGGAAGATGCTCCTGGCTTCAGATTGGTTCAGCTCTGTCTTTCCTTCTTAGTAAAATCTGTCTTTTAAATAAAAATAAATAAATCTTTTAAAAAAGGATAATCCTTAAAAAAAGTAATTACCTTAAAAGAAGATTTATTTTACCTGAAAGTCAGAGTTAGGGAGATATTCCATCCATTGTTTCACTTCAGAAATGGCTATAATGGGTAGAGCCTAGTTAGTCCAAAGCTGGGAACCAGGAACTTCTTCTGGCTGTCTCAGGTGGTACAGGGGCTCAGGACCTTTAGCCATTTTTCACTGCTCTCCCAGGCCATCAGCAGGGAGCTGGACTGGAAGTGAAACAGCTGGGACTGTAACTGGTAGCTGTATAGGATGCCAATGCCACAGACTGAGGCTTAGCTTGCTGTGCAACTATGCCAACCAAAAGGAACCATCTTAAAATGGGATAAAACCATTCTAAATATGAAACATAATCTAGAAGCTACAGAAGACCAATTTATTCTACTATATGCAGACTTGTAAAATGTAAAACATAAAAACAAACATAAGTAAAAAAAATCTATATAACCAAATTTAAAGTAATATCACAAAAGGTCTAGGTTTCCAAATATTTAAGTAGCTGGTGCAAATCAATAAAATAAAAATATGACCAAAGGAGAGCAGCTTGTATTTCATGAAAAAGGGAAAACAAATGGCTCACTCTCATGTTTAATAAAAAAGTAAACAAAATCATGCCAAATTGTCTTTTTAAAAACATTTATTTTTATTTGAAAGACAGATTTATAGAGAGATGGAGAGATACCATTCTTTGTTTCACTCCCCAGATGGCTTCAACACCTGGAGCTGAGCTGATCCAAAGCCAGAAGCCAGGAACTTCTGAATCTCCCACATGGGTGCAGGGACCCAAGGTCTTGAGGTCTTGAGCCATCCTCTGCTGCTTTTCTAGGCCACAAACAGGTGGCTGGGTTGAAAATGGAGCAGCTGAGACTCAAATGAATATCCAATGGATGCTAGTGACAAAGGTGGAGGCTTAAGCCTACCTTGCCATAGTATAAACCCTGAGATGCCATTTAATTTAATTACTTAATTCTTATTTTATTTTTAAAAAGATTTTCTTTTTCTTTCTTTTTTTTTTTTAAAGTCAGATTTACAGAGAGAAGGAGACACAGAAAGATCTTCCTTCTGCTGATTCACTTCCCCATGTGGCCACAATGGCTAGAGCTGAGCTGATCTGAAGCCTGGAGACAGGAGCCAAGAGCTTCCGCTGGGTCTCCCACATGGGTGTTGAATCTTAAGGCTTTGGGCCATCATTTGCTGCTTTCCCCAGGCCATAAGCAAGGAGCTGGATAGGAAGTGGAACAGCCAGGAAATGAACTGACTCCCATATGGGATCCCAGTGGATGCAAGGTGAAGATTTAGTTACTGAGCCATTGCACCAGGTCCTCTGAGATGCCATTTTAAACTTAGATTGATACAGTTTGGGCCTGGCAGCATGGCCTAGTGGCTAAAATAAATCTTTTAAAAAATAAATCTTTAAAAATCTTAAAATAAAAAGATTGGTACAGTTAGAAAGTTTGGGTTGGGCATGTGGCACTGAGGTTAACTTGCCACTTACAGTGTCTGCAGTCTACATAGAAATACCTAATTCAACTGTTGGCTACTCTGTTTCTGATCCAGCTTCCCATTAATTAACAGCCTGGAAAGCAGCAGATGATGGCGCAAGTACTTGGGTCCCTGTCACTCACATAGGCTCTTTGCGTGGGCCTTGCCTAGCTCTACTTGACTGTTGCAGGCATATGGAAAGTAAACCAAGAGATTTCTCTCTCATTGCCTTTCAAGTAAAATAAAAATTTTTAAAAGATTTATTTTATTTTTATTGGAAAGTCAGATATACAGATAGGAGGGGAGACAGAGAGAAAGATCTTCCGTCCGATGATTCACTCCCTTCCCCAAGTGAGCGCAACAATCGATGCTATGCTATGCCGATCCAAAGCCAGGAGACTCTTCCGGGTCTCCTACACGGGTGCAGGGTCCCAAAGTTTTGGGCCATCCTCGACTGCTCTCCAGGGCCACAGGCAGGGAACTGGAAGGGAAGTGGGGCTGCCGGGATAGAACCAGCGCCCATATGGGATCCCGGTGGTGCAAGGCGAGGACCTTAACCACTTGCGCCACTGCGCCGGGCCCCTGAATGTGTATTTTGTATGTTCATACAAAGACATTGAAAGTCTGTGATAAAATGGAATTAAAAGGTAAGTTGATATTCGTATACAAATTTTTGAAATCATATATAAAGTGATTTTTGGAAAGTTCATGGACAGGGTCTGTTGTTGAGATGCAGTGAATTAAGCTACTGCCTGCAACACCAGTATCCTGTGTGGGTGTTCATTTGAGTGTCGGCTGCTCCACTTTTTTTTTTCAAGATTTGTTTATTTTTATTTCAATGAAGATTTTACAGAGGGAAGGAGAGATACAGAGAGGGTCTTACATCTGCTGGTTCACTGCCTAAATGGCCAGATCTGAGCTGATCCAAAACCAGGAACCAGGAGATTCTTCCAGGTCTCCCATGTGGGTGCAGGAGCCCAAGGCCTTGGGTCTTCCTCTACTGCCCTCCCAGTATATAGGCAGGGAGCTGGATAGGAAGTGGAACAGCCAGGACACAAACTGGTACCCATATGGGATGCTGGCAACACATAGTAGAGGATTAGTTTGCTGTGCCACTGTACCAGCCCCTGACTGCCCCACTTTAGATCCAGTTCCCTGCCACTGCACCAGGGATAGCAGCAGAAGATGGCCAAGTGCTTAGGTCCCGGTACCCATGTCAGAGGCCTGAATGGAGTTCCAGGCTCCTTGCTGTATCCTGACGCAGTCCTGGCTATTGTCAGCATTTGGGGAATGAATTGGTAGATTGAAGATCTCTGCGTTTTCTTTTTTCTTTTTCTTTTTCAACTAAATACTTCTTTAAAAAAAAGTTCATGGAAAATTTGTGTTACATAAAAACTGCATCAGTTTCAAAGTTTTTTGCATTAAACTTAGCTTTTGATTTTGCTTTTCCATGGACTTCATAAGAAAATATTTGTGTGAAAGTCAGAACATTAGAGGGGCAGGGCAGTGAGGGAAAGAGATTGATTTTCCATTGGTACATTCCTGTTGGTACATTCCCCAAATGGCTCTAACAGCTAGGGCTGGGCCAGGCTAATGCCAGACACTAATGACTCTCCCACGTGGTCAGCATAGATCCTAGTACTTGAGTCATTATCTGTGGCTGTCTCAGGTACTTCAACAGGAGGTTGGGGTGGGAGCAGAGTAACCAGGACTCAAACTGATGCTCTAACAGGGGGGTGCCAAACTTTTTTTAAGGGTTATTTTTACTTCAAAGTCAGAGTTAGAGAGGAAGGGAGGGACAGAGAGAAAGATCTTCCATCTGTTGGTTCATTTCTCAAATGATCGCCACGGGCAGAACTGGGTTGTCCTCTTTTGCTTCCCCAAGTGCATTAGCAGGAAGCTGGATTGGAAGTGGAGCAGCTGGGACTTGAATCATTGCCTGTGGGATGCTGGCTCCACAGGCTGAGGCTCTACCCACTATTTCACAGTGTCAACCCTATTGGGAATGTTCTAAAGCTAGATTCTATCACTGGGTAATTTGACTAAGAATTATGAAAAAGAGGTAAAATTTTTAAAATATGAATGAATGTTATGACATGCGACTTATATTTACTGCAATCATTTAAAATGTCTATACACTTATACAATGTCATTGTTACAGCAGAAGATTTAAATCACCATAAATTAGCATTAGTAGATAATGACTGGTGAATATGTTCAAGTGAGGGGCCTGTGTGACACAGTAAGTATGCAGCTGTGGGTTTAGTTTAAGTCCTAGTAACTCCACTTCTGATCCAGCTCCTTGCTAATGTACCTGGGAAAGTCTACATAGGAAAGTGAGGATGGTCCAAGTGCAAGCACCCATAGGAGTCTGCCACCTCCATCGGAGAGCGCTCTTCGCTTCAGTCTGACCCAGTTCCATTTGGGGGAGCTCCATTGAGGCCATTTGGAGAATGAAGTGATGGTATGGGACTGGTGCAGTGGTTGTAGCAAGCTAATCCTGCACCTGCAGCATGAGTCCCAGTTGCTGTACTTCCAGTTCAGGCTCTGTGCTTATGGCCTGGGAAGGCAGGATGGCTTGGATCTCTGCATTCACATGGGATACTTGGAAAAAGCTTGTTCCCAGCTTCAGACTGGCCCAACTCTGGCCTTCACAACTATTTGGGCAGTAATCCAGTGGATGGAAGATCTGTTTTTCCCTCTCTTTGTAACTTTCAAGTAAAATAAATATATACTAAAAATGGTGGTTAGAAGATCTCCTCTGTATCTTTCTGTCACTCTGCTGTGTCAATAAATACATATTTGTAATGTTCAAGTGGGTCTCTATAAAGTGATTGCTTAGAAAAGGAGTGGCTTATATACTTGTGTGAAGTAATTTTCAGGTTTTACTAAGGGAAAAAGTGTAAGATGGACAGTATGATATCATTTGTGAATATGCTCTTGAGAATTTGCTCAGATCTGTTGAAAATGCTTCCAGAAAGATATTTAAAAAAAAAAAAAAAAGAAGTTTGCCTCTGGAGAGGGCAGCTAGATTGCTGGAGAAGGAGGTGGAGGGTGCGTATTTAAACCATATGAACTGTGACCTATACCAAAATGGCAGAAAAATGGAAATAAAACAATCATTCTGACCTGGGCTATTGGATCCCTTCCTTTTTCATGTACAAACTCTCCCAATAGGTGGCGCTCCCAAAGCACTGTATTTGGTTTTGCTTCACTTTTGCTATAGGGAAAGCCCCAAATTTTCTCTGGTGGCCTTGCTTCTCCATTTGTTACCTCTGGGAACCTTGAGTTTAAATTTAGGGCTGAAGGTGTCTCTGCTAGGAGCTCTTTGGAATGCATTGCTTTGATTCTGTGAACTGGACTGAAGGGAGAACATCTAGATTGGGGAAAAGAAAATTGATTCAGAAAACCAAATCATACTTTCAGTACTTTCTGATTGAAATTTCCAATTGATTTATTGAACTAGAACTTCTGATTGATTATTTGTTAGTTAGTTTGAAAATTAATGTAGATCAATGGTTCTTTTTTCTTTTTTTTTAATTGGAAAGGCAGATATACAGAAGGGAGGAGAGACAGAAATATCTTCAGTCTGATGGTTCACTCCTCAAGTGGCCGCAATGGTTGGAGCTAAGCCAATCCAAAGCCAGGAGCCAGGAGCTTCTTCCAGGTCTCCCACATGGGCACAGGGTCTGAAAGCTTTGGGCCATTCTCAACTGCATTCCCAGGCCACAAGCAGGGAGCTGGATGGGAAGCGGGGCAGCCAGGATTAGACCCAGAGCCCATATGGGATCCTGGCGCGTTCAGAGTGAGGACTTTAGCCACTACACTATCGTGCTGGGCCCAGATCAGTGGTTATTAAGTGAAGATGCCTTTACTCCCTAAGGGGAACTTGGCAAGTCTGGACAGTTTTTTGGTTGTCACACCTGGCAACATGGTTAGACAGAAGGGAGAAATGCTGCTTCGACTCCTGTAATGCTTCATCATGAAGCATCAGTTAACCTAAAAAAGTACAGTGTGGATACTCAGAAACCCCAATACAGGTTAAGATTACTATTCAGTATCTCTAAGGCTGGCACACATATTCATACACACACATGCACGCACACACACAATGATTCCTGTAGCTGCTTGGGGAAGGCAGGTGGACTTGGCAGCAGCTTGGAGGGCAGGCGGTGCCTACAAGCTTTTTCAGGAGAGGTGCTGAAGAAACCATCTACTTGACACAAGCTTAGTGCTTCCTCATGTTGTTTGCTTGAAGGTGGCTGTATTGGTCATCTTCCCGATCCTTGAGGGGCTAAAAGCAACAGCATGGTCAAAAGCTCATTTTCCATTGTCTATTAATGAATTAATTAGATGATATTTATGGAATCTTTTTATAATGCAAGGTTTTAGCATGTGGACTTTTGGTGCCAGGGGTGGGAAGATGGCAACAATATGCATGCAGTCTCTGTATATAATTTCTTCCTGGGTTCCTCCCATTGGGCTCGTCACCTTTCTCTTACTTCATTCATTCTGCCCAAATGGCTAAACATCCCAGTTTCTCCTATGCTGTTAGTAATTTCTTACCTTTGACGTGTTTTTCAAACTATTTGTCCTCCCTCCCCCACCAATCCCAAACTTTTCTCCACTAATTGTAGCAAAATCTCCTTCAGGCCTCATTTTCTTACCTGGTAGAGCTGGTCATTGGGCAACAAAGTCTGCTTATCTGAAGCTGCACAAAAAAAGACAAAAAAAACACACATACACAAGAAAGAATGTAATACTTTGGGTTATAGGTACGTACTATAATACTAAATAGTAATAAGAATCATGTCCACACAAGAACATTGATGGGTCTTTCAAGCATATTGTTGAGAAGAAGCCATACAGAAGAATATTTGGTGCTTGTATCCTCTTACATGAAAAGTAAAAACAGCTCATTCTCTATTGTTTGAAGTCAGGAGAGTCAGGGGGTGGGTGGTGGCTGGAAGTGAGCACAGGTGAGGCTCCAAGGGGGCTGGAAATAGTTTCTGGACCTGCGAGCTGAATATGTGAGTGCATTTGCTTTGTTAAATTGTTTTTGGAACTTTGCTTGTGAGTCACCTTTCTGTACTTGGATTTGATGCAACAGTTTTCTTTATTTGAGGGGGATTGGGGAAATGAAGGGGGAAATCCTTGTATCTGTGGAACTGTATCATAAAAAACAATCAATTTTGTTTATTTGAGAGAGAGAGAGATTGAGAGAGAATCTTGCATCTCCTGATTTGCTGGTGCATTCTCCAAATGGCTACAATCACCAGAGTTGGCCTGATTCGAAGCCAGGAGCCAGAAGCTCCTTCCAGGTCTCTCATATGGATGCAGGGGCCCATACACTTGGGTCACCCTCTACTGCTTCTCCAGGCCATTATATGATGAAACTGGACTGGAAGTGGAACAGCTGCTTCTTAAACTGGTGTTCATATGGGGTGCCAGCACCTTAGCTGGCAGCTTTATCCTGTATATCACAGTGCTGGTCCCTCAACAGTTTTTAAAAATGCAGAGACACCTGGACATTGAGATGGGTAAATAAGCTGTGATCACATGTGCTTTTCCTTCTGCCCCACTTGAGGCAGAGCCTTATTCAACCATGCACAGTATCAGAACCTACCAACTCAGTCTCTTCTACCAGGACTGTTTCGATAGAAAGGAAGCTGAGGATCTCAAGTGGTCCCATTTGTCATCTAAGAACACTTTTTTTTTCTTTTTCTTTACCTCTTGACTGGCGAACTCCATCTTGTCCAGCAATGAAGTAGACCCCAACAGCCAGGAAGAAAATGCTAACGATTTCAGCGAAGAGAAAGCCCGAAAGAGTGCCTGCGTTTAGCTCGATGCAGTTCTGACACACTACAGGGAAAAGGAGAGATTACATCTCCTTCAGGGTGTGAATATTGAGTTTCCTGGATTTTTTTTCCCTCCTGCCTACCAGCAATAATACCTGTGTCTAAGGCAGCAGCTTCCTCTTTCTGTGGGCGGTATTGGCAAGAGAATATTGTTGGAAAGAGAACTCATGGCTTCTTTGATGTTCTCCCACCCTGCCCCAGTTGTCCTGGGGGAGCCCATGTGGTCTTATTATTAGAAACTTTGTGCATTAAAAGGAAGACCATATTCCCTTCTCTGTGCTCAACTGTCCTCTAGTCCTTACTGCTGCCCTCTTGCAATTTCCCCTACCTCTCTGCTCTACCCCCTGTACCTCCTGCTGCCCCAATTCAGTTCATAGTAGTTACAGAATTACTGCAATCCGAGGAACCCACCTGAAGGTAATTCAGGTTTTTATGGTACTGGCTATACTTTTTAAAGAAGCCATGGGATCTGTATTGCTATATTTTTTTTAAAAAGGGGGCAAACTGAGGTTAAGAGCACTTGGCTAAAACACTACTGTGTAGCTGGCATCTATTTCCGCCTTCACCTTGGACTGTAATCCCACAGATACTGCTTCATTTTGTAACAAACAAACCAAAGGTTATCACATACTTCTAAAATATACTTGAAGTGTTGCTGTGGCTTTCTGGGATCCTTGACATGAATATATCCCTCGAGGATCCTTGGTACTACTTCCCAGATTCCATGTATTTTTGTCTGGATTTAGGGAATTCAGTTCCTTCCCATCTTTTAACCAGAGAATATTTGTGCCTGGCAGTTTACAAGTCAGAAGTACTGAGCCATCGTCTCGCGTATCATTCACATCTATCAGAACACCTGAAAAAGGAAAAGCCATGGTTCTTTTTACAGATTTTGCCTCTGAGAGTTTCCCTGCCCCAAAGAGCCAAAAGAAGACACCAGCGCTTGTGGGGATCTTGTTAGCTTCCCAGATTCTGTTTAGCAGGTGTGGGGAGGGAAGATTCTACATTTCTGATGTGCTGTTGGGTGAAGCCCAAAATGTTGGTCCAGGACTCACACTTGAAGTGTATTGCTGTTAGGGTTCTACTTCTGCAAGGATGAGGCAGTGAGCTAAACAGGAAAACTGCCCACAGCAGGTCCTGGTGTTGTGGTCTAGTGTTTTTGCTAAATATTTATTATTTAGGTTTATGTCTCTTGCTTAAAAAGCATTTTAAGCACAGACACAGCTTAAGCTGTGGTAAAGTTTATGCAGAGGGTGGGGGATACAGACTTACGTGGGCCATGTTCAGAGAGCATGCCAGAAAGGGAAAGGATAAGGGAGAATGCTGCCTCTGACTCAGAGTCCATCCACAAGCAGCAAGAGAACAAGTAGGTACGAGGCATGTGACCGAGAGAGTCCCAGCCCTGCCCCCATCATGGACTTTTTATTGGGCTTGAGAGGGAAGTGGTTACACAACAATGCAGCACCATCCCCTTCAGGTTCCAGGTGATGATAGGTGAGCATCATTTGATTCACAGGTTGGCAGAAAGGATTACATAGGTGGGGAAGGTGTGGCTTCCAAATGTGACCCTGAACTAGCTGCTTGCCTAGACGATACTACTGGCAGGCCACTGCTTTGACCACAGGAACACCACCTATCACCCCATTTTCTCTGAACTGCTTGTTCTGATAGGACTAATTTTGTGGAAATTGTGTATTTCCGTAAATATCCTTGGGGCCCAAGGATTCAAAGAAGCCATTGTTCCTACCTTTGACTTGTATGGCCACAGTACCTGTAGAGACAGAAGAGACACAGAGGATCAGTTGGACCTGGAGTTGTTCAGAGACCTTGAAGGGCCTTCACAGTCACCTGAGACTAAAAGGTCAAGAGAAATCCTAGGGCCCAGTGTGATAGCATAATGGTTAAGGTCCTTGCCTTGAACACATCGGGATCCTATGTGGGCGCCGGTTCTAACCCCTGCAGCTTCACTTCCCATTCAGCTCCCAGCTTGTGACCTGGGAAAGCAGTGGAGGATGGCCCAAAGCCTTGGGACCCTGCACCTGTGTGGGAAACCCGGAAAGAAGTTCCTGGCTCCTGGCTTTGGATTGGTGCAACACCAGCTGTTGCGGCCACTTGGGGAGTGAACCATTGGTTGGAAGATCTTCCTTTCTGTCTCTCCTGCTCTGTGTACATCCGCCTTTCCAATAAAATAAATAAATCTTAGAAAAAAAGAAACTTTATATAAAAAAAGAGAAATGCTAGTCCATGGACCTGACAGTCTTTTTTTTTTAAAGATTTATTTTTATTATTTTTTCATTGGAAAGGCGGATATACAGAGAGGAGAGACAGAGAGGAAGATCTTCCGTCCGATGATTCACTCCCCAAGTGAGCGCAACGGGCCGATACTATGCCGATCCGAAGCCAGGAGCCTCTTCCAGGTCTCCCACGCGGGTGCAGGTTCCCAAAGCTTTGAGCCGTCCTGGACTGCTTTCCCAGGCCACAGGCAGGGAGCTGGAAGGGAAGCGGGGCTGCCGGGATTAGAACCGGCGCCCATATGGGATCCCAGGCGTGCAAGGCGAGGACCTTTAACCACTTGTGCCACCGCGCCGGGCCCGGACCTGACAGTCTTTATAGCACCTTCCTTAGTCTATACAGAATTTCTCTTGTGATAACAAAGGCTTTGTTTGGCCCTTTTCCTGGCTTCCTGGAAAGGAGTTTCTAAGCCATTAGAATTTCACAAGTGAGTGACTTTGTTAATCATGTGGATTGTTGGACTACCCCTAAGTGTGTACTAAGGAGATAGCTCAAGATGAGGTTGGTTAAAACCAAACATTGTGGCTAGAGGATCAGGGATTTGAAGTCAATATTAACAGCCTGGGGAGAAAGAAGTGAGGTTGGGCTTAGTCAAGCAGCCAATGTCCAATCAATCCTGCCAATGTAATGATACTTCAATAAAACTTTCATGGGGCTTCCTGGTTGGTGGACACATTAAGGTGCCGATTCCACAGGGAAGCTCTGTGTTCAGGACCCTCCCAGACCCTGCTTTATAGTTTGTCCTGATTTCATACTTTTTATTAAAAAAAATTTTTTTTTACAAAAGATTTACTTATTTATTTTAGAAGTCAGAGTTACAGAGAATGGGGAAGAGAGGGGGAGAGAAAGATCTTCCATCCACTGGTTCACTTCCCAGATGGCCAAAACATCCAGTTATGGGCTAGGCCAAATCCAGGAACTAGGAGCTTCCACCAGGTCTCCCATGTCAGTGGCAGGGACCCAAACGTTTCAGCCATCTTCTGCTGCTTTTTGTAGACCGTTAACAGGAAGGTAGATTGGAAACAGAGCAGCTAGGATATGAATCAGTGCCCATATGGGAGGCTGATATCTCAGGGAGCAGCTTTACCCAGGATGCCAATATACTAGACAACCCCCAAGTTTATTTTTCAAAGTAAAATTGTGATAGTAAAAATGTTTTCCTGAGGTTTTTGAGTCATTCTAGTAAAGTATCAAACATGAGAGGGTCATGAGAAGTGTAGTAATCTAGTGATGGCTGTTCTTGTGACTGGCATTTACAGTAAGGACAGTCTTGTTGGGGATCATGCCTTTCCCTGTGGGGTCTGACAACTCTGAAGGCTTCATTTTTCAGAATTACACTGCAGTATACATATGGGCATTGCCCACACAATCCAGAAATATTTGCTCTTTTAGCAGTTGAAGCTCCAGCAAGGAATGGGTATACTCCCACCAAAGCCTTTTACGCTTTTAAAAATCACTTATTTGAGGGGCTGACATTACAGTGGGTTAAGCTACTGCTTGCGATGCTAATATCCTATATTGAAGTGACAGTTCAAGTCTCAGCTGCTCTACTTCTGATCCAGCTTCTTGCTAATGTATTTGGGGAAAGTAGTGGAAGATGGTCCAAGCTCTTACTCTCCTGCTGACTCTGTGGGAAATCATGGTGTCTGGCTTTAACTTCAGCCTGGCCTGGATCTGACTGCTGTGGTCATTTGTGGAGGTGAACTATTTCTCTGTTGAACAATATTTTATGGAATATTTCTCTCCTTCAGTCATTATCTGCTGCCTTCCAGGATTGATTGATAGGAAGTCAAATAAAAAGAAGAGGCAGCATTCTCTCTCTTTTTTCTAAAGATTTATTTATTTATATTGGAAAGTCAAATTTACAGAGAAGGAAAGACAGAAAGAAAGATCTTCCATCTGTTGGTTCACTACCCAAGTGGCCGCAATGGCCGGAGCTGAGCTGATAGGAGGCCAGAAACCAAGAACTTTTTTTGGGTATCTCATGCAAGTGCAGGGTCCCAAGGCTTTGTTCCATCCTCTGTTGCTTTCCCAGGCCACAGGCAGGGAGCTGGAAAGGAAGTGGAACAGCCGGGACATGAACCTGCACCCATGTGGGATCCCAGCGGATGTAAGGCGAGGACTTTAGCCACTAAAGCTATTATACCAGGCCCGAGGAGGCAGCATTTTAACTGACACCCCAATGTAGGATGCAGAATTCCAGGTGGCAACTTAACTCTGTATCACAATGTCTGCCCTAAAGCCTGTTAGAGATTAGCTCCTTTCAAAATCTTCAGTGCTGGTCATCATTTTTTATAGAAACCCTGTAGGTCCCAGCAAGAGCTAGTTATTCAATCAATGCTCAAATTGGCCTCCAAACTCAAGAGTAGTAGAGTTGTGTAGTAAAAATACTATCTAGAGGGGCTGCAACTGTGGCTCAAGCTAATCTTCCACCTGCCAACACCAGTATGCCATATGGGTACTGGTTCATGTCCCAGCTGCTCCACTTCAGATCCAGCTCCCTGCTTGTGGCCTGGGAAGATAGAGGAGGATGGGTCAAATCCTCGAGTACCTGCACCCATGTAGGAGACCTGAAAGAGGCTTCTGGCTCCTAGCTTTAGATTGGTTCTGCTGTGGTAGTTCTGACCACTTGGGGTGTGAACTATAGTGGATGAAGATCTCTGTCTTTCATTCCCTGTAAACTTGCCTTTCAAACATAAAAAATACTACCTAGCACTGGAATTCAATTCAGTTGCACTTAGTCCCAACATTATTAAGCCCTGTTATGACCCATTGTGTGTGAGCATCCACTGTGGAATAAAGGGCTGGTGATGTGAAGAATGAGATGCTGTTGCTGAAGAGTTTATGACAAAGTGCCTGGGCCTTCAGGAAGAGTAGAAATTCACACAGAGTTGTTCTGAGCAGAATGAATAACCAAGCAGAGGGACATATTTGAGAAAGGACAAGGGAGGTAGTGTGGCTGTAGGTAAAGGATGTGGTAGGAGAGGCAGGCATGGGTCAAAGATGCAGGAAATGAAAGGGGTCAACTGTCTTAGAACTTTTGCAGTGTTCAACTTTTATGGATGGTAGCCAGAACATGGTAGGAGCTTCATACACATTATACACTTATACATTCATAATGTATGCACTTATACATTCATAATGAATGCATAAGTGAAGGAATGAGTAAATAAGGGTGAAGACCAAAACTGACAACAGTTAAAAGTATTTTTTTTTTCGATTTAGCTATTTTTTTTATTGGAAAGACAGATTTACAGATAGGAGAGGCAGAGAGATCTTTTATCTGTTGGGTTGTTCCCCAAAAGACTGCAATGGCCACAATTGAGCCAATCTGAAGCCAGGAGCCAAGAGTTTCTCCTGGGTCTCCCATGCAGGTCCCAAGGCTTTGTTCCATCTTCTGTTGCTTTCCCAGGCCACAAGCAGGGAGCTGAATGGGAAGTGGAGCAGCCGGGACACAAACTGGCACACATATGGGATCCCAGTGCTTGGAGCCAATCATGCCATTGTGCCAGGCCCCACAGTTAAATTTTTTTAGATGATGGACTTATGGCTAATTATGAAGGACTGTATTGTTGTGTTGATATGGGGAATATCAGTTGGGTAGTGGGAATTTGGGGAGGGGGTAGGGAAATCTCAGACCCTATGGAATTGTACCATAAAAATAAAAAATAAATTTAAAAAGTTTTAAAAATAAAAGGGGAATGGGAGGAGAGAGAGAAAGAGCTTTCATTTGCTGGTTTACTCCCCAAATGACCACAACAGTCATGTCTTGACCATGCTAAAGCCAGAAGCCAGGAACACTGAACTTCATGCTGGTTTCCCACTTGAGTGGCAGGGACTCAAGTATTTGAGCCGTCATCTGCTGTCTTCCCAGCCACATTAGCAGGAAAGCTGGTTTAGAAAAGTAGAGCAGCCAGGACTTGAACCAGCACTCCCCATATTGGATGCACAGGGTGACTTAACTTGCTGCCCACCCCTTACCCCATGTCGTAGGCATTGTAAAGTGAACCACCTGTTGGGAGTGCTGCCTTCTAGTCTATTTCTCTTCTTCTCAAAAAAGAAAAGAAAAGAAAAGAAAAAGTTGGTGTTCTTACAGTTCCACCCTCAGTCCCATCTTCCTCACATTCTACATAGTGCTTGCAGTATTTAAACGACTTCATAAGCTTAGCCTGACCTAGTATGTCCAGATTCCAGGCTTCAATCTGCCCCATCTACTTCCTGTTGAATATTTCCAACTGAGTATTCACCTTGTACTGTGCCCTACACTCAATCTGATGTCAAAACTAGTTTCTTCAATTAGACAGTGAGCTCATGAGAGCAGCAGCTTTTTATTTGCTTTTATATCCCCCTTGGCATATTAGGACTGTACCCACATCTACTGAGTCAATTAAGCCACTAGCCAAGCAAGTGAATGACCGTTTCAGAGTCTACTGTTAACCTTCAGCTCTGCAATAGGAACGCACACCTCTTTCTTCCAGTTTCCTGACTTCATGCCCTTTTAGGGCTTCATCAAAGCCCGAGATGGGGCAGCAGGCTCTTTGCTCTGGCTGAAGTCCTCTATTTTGATTTCTCTAGACAGCAGGACCTTATCTCCTCTATGAAACACCACTGTTCTCTGACTTGGCACAGTAAAAGCCTCCATTTTTGCCCTTGCTTGCTTGAACCCTAAGATGGCGGCTGAAGTAGCTCAAGGCTGAGGAGCCTGATATTTCTGGCCAGTGATGACTTTTTCCTTTCAGCGCGTCCCAGGCTGCCAGACCCTCCTCGCGGGTCCTTACCTTGAAGAAGAACAACAGTCACGATGAGGGCAGCTAGACCCTTCTGCTGCTCCATGTCAGCCTCGGCTCTTCTGCCCAAGTGCGGCACAGCCCTTAGCCGCCAGCCAGCCTGTGCAGCAGCTAGAGCAGCTCCACCCAGCCCCCTGCAGGTGGAGGCCTGTGTGTGAGGACAGGGCCCAGAGCCTCCACCCGCTGCTTCAAGTGTGGGCAGCAGGGGCCTCAGCCGGGCTGCAGGTGCAGATGTCTCTTGCTTTTCCGTTAACAAAGGCAGGTGGAGGTGGTGGGGAGGAAGCGGGAGGGTGCTGGATTCCTACTCAGAGACTTTGCTTGCATCAAGAGCAGCTTTGATGCAGAGAGAGAGAGAGAGCTGACCTTGGGCCTCTTCTGTTCATGACATTAACGCTCTACCTCCTGTTGTTGCTTACTGCTAGTGGTTCTAAACTAAGGCGTCCAGGCATTTGGGGTTAGAGCTCTGAAGGAAAACCCGCCCTAGTCCAGGCTTTCATCCAGGTTTATTATTATTATTATTATTATTATTATTATTATTATTATTATTTAAAGGACTAATTTAAAAGCAGAGCAACAGAATCAGAGAGAGACATAGGTCTTTGGTCCACTGATTTACTCCGCAGATGATTGCAATAGCTGGGGCTAGGCTACGTCAAAGTGAGAAGCCAGGAACTCCATTTGGGTCTCCCACATGGGTGCAGAGACTCAAGCATTTAGACCATCTTCTGCTGCTTTCCCAGGCACATTAGCAGGAACCTGTATAAGAAATTGATCAGTTGGGGCTGGTGCAATGATTCTTCAGGTTAATGCTCTACCTGCAAGTTCCAGCATCCCATATGGATACCAGTTTGTGTCCTGGCTGCTTCCACCTCCCAAGCTCCCTGCTTGTGACCTGGGAAAGCAGTCAAGGATGGCCCAAAGCTTTGGGACCCTACACTTGCATTGGAGACTTGGAAGAAGCTCATGGCCTCAGATGGGCTCAGCTCTGATTGTTATGGCCATTTGGGGAGTGAATCAACAGATGGAAGATCTTTCTGTTCCTCTTCTCTGTGAAATCTGACTTTCCAATGAAAATAAATAAATCTAAAAAATAAATAAATAAAACAAAACAATAAGCTGAGCAGCTGAACCTCCAAGCAGCACTCCAATATGGGTCCTGGTGTCACAAGTGGTGGCTTATCATATTGCACCACACTATCAGGATTTTTTTTTCACTGTTCTTTTGAGATCATCAAAGAGGTACCCTGTCTAGGAAGGGTATATCCCACAAGATAGGCCAGTGCATGTTTGAGGGCCAGGGTAGGATCCGGTCTTCAGATTCTTAGGTCTCCATTCTCTTTACTCTCTAGATAGTAAGGGCATACAAAGTAGCAGGATTCTTGCTATGCTGCAGGACAGACATGCTGTGTGCTCAGGGATGTCATACTCTAACTGTGTAACTCGAGGAGCTTGGGATCCCCAGTGCCCCCAGGAGGAAAATCATTGTTTTTTAGGAGAGGCACAAGTCTGCCTCTAAGTCTATAACACACACACACACAAACACACACACACACACACACACACACACATCAAAGAGTTGTTTGTTTCAAAGGCAGAATGAGAGTAAGTAAGAGATCTTTCCTTTGCTGGTTCACTCCCCAAATGCCCACAGCAGCAGGTAGGGAGTCAGATCAAAGCCAGGATCCAGAAACTCCATCCAGGTTTCCCTTGAAAGTGACCCAAGCACTGAACTGTTTTTTTTGCTGTCTCCCAGGATGCATTAGCAGAAAGTTGAATTGGAAGTGGGATAGCTGGGACTTGAATCAGGCACTCCAATATGAGATGTGGGCATGCCAAGTAGTGGGTTAACTGCCACAACACTTGTTCCAAAGTTATATTGTTAATGATAACTACATCAGTTTTTTTTTTTAAAAAAAAATTATTTATTTGAAAGATGGAGTTTCAGACAGAAAGGGAGAGAAAGTGAGAGAGAGGGGTCTTTCATCCACTGGTTCGCTCCCCAAATAGCTGCAACAGCTGTGGTTAGGCCAGATTAAAGCCAGGAGCTGAGGGCTTCATCTGAGCCTCTCATGTGATGTGTAGGCCCAGATGTTTGGTCTGTCTTCTCCTGCTTTTCCCAGGGTATTAGCAGGGAGCTATGTAGGAATTGGAGCAGCTAGGAATCAAATCAGTGCCCATGAGGAATGCCAGTGATCAGGCAGCAGCTCAACCCTGTTCTACCACCATGCTGGCCCAGCTAGCTCTTATTGAACACATACTCTGTGTTAGGCACCACTCAATTTGTTCAATTCCTTCTATTGATAGTGGGTGAATGAAGTTTTGAAAACTTCAACTGGCCCAAGTCTCTCAGCCGGAGAGTACTAAGGCCACTCTTCAACTCTCTGGCTAGAGACGGGAGGACACTAAAGCCTGGCCTCCTCCTGACCAGAACCTGCTAGAACTGGGGTCTCAGGTGGCTTAGTCAGGGGTCCTAACAAGGACTGGGAATAGGAGGAGGCACCCAGGAGTTACATGGTTCATGCAACAGGACTCACTGCTTCTTAGGAGAGATTGGATGGGAGGCCATTTTTTTTTTTAAAAGATTGACTTATTTTTATTGCAAAGTCAGATATACAGAGAGGAGGAAAGACAGAGTGGAAGATCTTCCATCCAATGATTCACTCTCCAAGTGACTGCAATGGCCAGAGCTGCACCGATCCGAAGCCAGGAGCCAACAGCCTCCTCTGGGTCTCTCATGTGGGTGCAGGGTCCCAAGGCTTTTGGGCCATTCTCTATTGCTTTTCCAGATCACAAGCAGGGAGCTGGATGGGAAGCGGGGCTACCACGATTAGAACCGGTGCCCGTATGGGATCCCGGTGCGTGCAAGATGAGGACTTTAGCTGCTAGGCCATGGCGCCAGGCCTGGTGGGTCATTTTTCAGGTGGTGAGCAAACGTCACATTGTAATTAGGGACTCAGAAATGCTTTCCAAAGATCCAAAATCCCTTTTCACTTCCAAAAAGTCCATAATCTCTGCTCTCCCTTCAGCTCCCTCCCTGCCAAACCCCCTGCTCAGAAAAAGAGCCACAGGCACCTGCTTCCTGCCTGCCCCGCCCTAGCCTACCCCTGCCTCACAGCCTCTATCACTGTGGCAGACAGCAGAGAGGCCGGCAGCTTCCAGTCCCTCCCCCACTGTCTTCTTGTTCGTCAGCCAGTCGGGGAGGGCAGCTCTCTGCCTGGCTGATGGTTCTGGGGCCTAGCTCGCTCTCTGCTGAATGAATTCCCCTGGAAGATGGATCATGGTGGGCTTCTGGCTGGCTTGGTACTCGTTGTCCTTCTTCCTCAAGGTACATAAGGCTTCTCCGGGGAAAGAATGAGAGGGGCAAAACCATGTGAAGTTGGTTTTTTAGCTCTAGCTGAAATTTAGCACGTACAACCTGAGGTGTTAGGAGAGCTAGGCTGGGATGTAGGGCAAGGTTGGGGAGACTGTTTAACTGATTCCATCTGGGAACATAAATTGAGTTTGTTACCTCTCCAAGACTTTAGGTCAGGAAGTTGAAGGAAAAGGTTCGCTGTGTGTGTGTGTGTGTGTGTGTGTGTGTGTGTGTGCGTGAGCTGAGGCCTGGACACGGAAGCAGAGCTCCATGCACTGCTCTGTGTAGGGCCCATGGCCTCTGGGTTGGAACTTTTGGCCATTGGAGCTATTGTTGTGTTGCCACTCAGAACCATGCGTCAGCGCTCAGGAATGGTTTAAAAGAAAAGTGATCATTAGGTGGAGTAGGAGGGAGGGTAGGTTATTGCATGGTCAGTAGGAAGCCAACTCATAGTAGTTTGCCTAACTTTAAAACTGGAAGTACTATGTCCCGGGAACCTCCTCAGCTCAGACAAATTAGGTCATATGATCACCCTAATAATCAGTTTCCCAGGACACACAGGTTCTCCACTGGAAACAGATCCCAAGGAAGCCATGGCTGCAGGGTGTGGGGACATTTGGTGTACTCAGAGGCTCCCTGGGTCTCCAGGTGTATACTTCCAAATGACTTCAGAGCCACAGGTGACAGCTGTTCTGGGTTTCTCTAGAGGAACCTCTTGCATTCAACCTAGCAATGATGCTTAGGGAAAAGGGGGACCGGAGGTGTTGAATCCAGCACCTCTGTGGGCTGTGCAGGTGTGCCCAGGCTGTGAAGGCAATTCAGTGGGTCTGGAAGGTGCTGTGCCTTTCGACTTGACTGTGTGTGAAGATTCAAGAATAGATTAAAAAAAAGAAGAAATAATTTTTCTTACCCTCTTCTTAAACAGGGTTAAGGCAACAAAAGTCCCTTCCTTGGATGTCCCAAACTCCTTCTAGAGCACTGGGCTGCTACTTCTTATAAGCTCTTTCCAACCCCCAAGCACCGCTGGCCCTGGAGGGGAGGCTCCAGTGCCAAGAGTGCAGCTTTGTTGGAAGTTGTTTGGTGCGATGAGGAGTGCAGGTGTTGCAGGTGGCTAGGAAGCAGAATCACGAGTTTTCTTGGGGAAAAATGTGGACATTTCCACTCAAGGAACATTCTTCTGCTTTTTCATATCTGTTGTTACTTCAACCATGTCTACTTTCCTTTTGCTTTTTAAAAAAAAATTAATTTATTTTGAAAGTTAGAATCACAGAGAGGAGAGGGGGAAGGAGAGAAAGAGAGATCTTCTGTCTTCTGGCTCACTCCCCAGATAGCCTTAATGGTCTTAATATCCAGTACTGGGCCACAGGCTAGGGCCAGGAACCAGGAGTTTCATCCAGGTCTCCCATGTGGGTGCAGAGGCCCAAGAACTGGGACCATTTTCTGTTGCTTATTTCCGGCCATTAGCAGGGAGCTGGATCGCAACTGGAGTAGCTGGGACATGGACTAGTGCCTGGAGGGGATGCCAGTGTCTCAGCAAGTGTCTTTATTTGCTGTGTCACAGTGCTGCCCCCACAACTTCTATTCAGTGGTCTGAACCCATTTTTAAAAAATTATTTATTTTTATTTGAAAGATTTCTTTTTTAAAAAAATATTTATTTTATTTTTATTACAAAGTCAGATATACAGAGAGGAGGAGAGATAGAGAGGAAGATCTTCCATCTGATGATTCATTCCCCAAGTGAGCGCAATGGCCGGTGCTGTGCCAATCTGAAGCCAGGAGCCAGGAACCTCCTCCAGGTCTCCCACAGGGGTGCAGGGTCCCAAGGCTTTGGGCCGTCTTCGACTGCTTTCCCAGGTCACAAGCAGGGAGCTGGGTGGGAAGTGGAGCTTCCAGGATTAGGTCCGGGGCCCATATGGGATCCCGGCGTGTTCAAGGCGAGGACTTTTAGCCACTAGACCATGCTGCCGGGCCCCTCTGAACCCATTTTCAAGAACATTCTTGGGTCAATCCAGTTTCATGGTTCTCTTTCTAAAAAGATTGATGTATTTTTATTGGAAAGTCAGATATACAGAGAGGAGGAGAGACAGAGAAGAAGGTCTTCCTTCTGCTGATTCACTCCCCAAGTGGCTGCAATGATTGGAGCTGAGCCGATCCGAAGTCAGGAGCATGGTGCTTCTTCTGGGTCTCACACACAGGTGCAGGGTCCCAAGGCTTTGGGTCGTCCTTGACTGCCTTCCCTGGCCACAAGCAGGGAGCTGGATGGGAAACGGGGCTGCTGGGACAAGAACCAGTGCCTATATGGGATGCTTGGTGCCTGCAAGATGAGGACTTTAGCTGCTAGGCTAGCATGCCAGGCCCTCTCTTTCTCTCTTAAACGTTTATTTATTTTTGGGCCTGGTACAGGCCAAATAAAATAAAATAGAAACCAATAAATCTTTAAAAAGATAAATCCAGTAAAAAAGAAATAAATCTTATAAAAAGACTTGAAAATGAATTTTGTAATTAATGGGGGAAGGAGAGACAAAGAAAGATTTTTTCATCTACTGATTCACTCCACAAATGGCTACAAGGGCCAGAGATGAACTGATCCAAAGGAGCTAGGAGCTTCCTCTGGGTCTTTCACATGAGTTCAGATTTCTAAGGACTTGGGCCATCCTTTGCTGCTTTCCCAGGCCGTAAGAAGGGACCTGGATAGAAAATTGGCCTGGTGTGATATCCTAGTGGCTAAAGTCCTTGTCTTGCATGTACTGGGATCCCATATAAGCACTGGTTTGTATCCCAGCCACTTCACTTCCTTTTTAGCTCTCTCCCTGTGGTCTGGGAAAGCAGTAAATGATGTCCTAAAGCCATGGGACCCTTTACCTATGTGGGAGATTCGGAAGAAGCTCCTGGTTCCTGATTGGATTGGCTCAGCTTTGGCCATTGCAGCCTCCTGGGGAGTGAACTAGCGGATAAAAGAGGTTTCTCTTTGTCTCTCCTCCTCTCTGTAAATCTGGTTTTCCAATAAAAATAAATAAATAAATAAATAAATAAATAAATAAATAAATAAATCTATATATCTTAAAAAAGAAAGAAGGAAAGAAAAGAAAATGGACCACCTGGGACAAACTGGTGCTCTCACGGGCATGCTGGTGCCTGCAGTTGTAGGATTAGCCTGTTGAGTGACACTGTGGCCCCAGTGCTCTCTCTTTTGTGTCGGATCCCTCAAGACTCATTCTTTTCTTGCTGTGCATCCCGAGCAAAGCATGGGGAGCCTCCTGAAGCCTTTCTCTTGTAACTCTTGTCCCTCTGTCTCTCTGAAGCCATCAACTGTCGCAGGTTGGAAAAACGGTGCTTCTTAGCAGAAGCCTCAGCAGAATGGAGGTTTGGTGTGGACCTGAGACTCGTCTTCAACTCTGCTCTTTTCTTTCTTTCGTTGTTTTTTCTTTCCCTTAGTGTGTTCCTTCAAGATAAATGTTGAGGAAATGGAAGACAGTGTATCATTGCTTTGCAATACCACTATTAGTTGGATTGAGGGCACAGAGGGAACACTGATGGAAGACAATAAAAGACTGAATTTGGGAAAACGCATCTTGGACCCACGAGGACAATATTTATGTGGCAAACATGGTTCAGACAACGACGGCTATGTCTTGCAAGTGTATTACCGAAGTATGTGCCTCTGGGACCCTTTGGTTTAGAAAAGAAGGGGCAGCTGGATGTGGGAACTTTGTGACTGGAGTGGGCTTTGGTGAATCCACCTGCTCTGTTTGTAAACTGGGGTCCTTCTTGTAATAACATGATTTGGGTTTGGGGTGGTAGGGTTCAGATGACAGAAAGAGTAGGGGTCTTGGTTGGGATAGAGGTTTGTTCCACTGCCTCATTTAAGGTCCCACAAACTGAAGGGGGTCTCTTAGCTCTGCCCTGGTGGTCCTTGGATGACGCCTGGAAGTGGAATGAGCCAGGCTGTTAGCAGGCCTTTGTCCCATTTCTTACTGAAGGTTGGGTGTTGGCGTGAGAGATCCCAGGGCTGCCCTAGGATGCAGACGTGATTTCCCAACCTTGAAAAACCTCTGCATCTCCTCTCTCCCTATTTCCCTCACACCCCCGGCCACAGTGTGCCAGAACTGTGTGGAGCTGGACTCGGCCACCCTGGCTGGCATCATCATCACTGATATCATTGCCACCCTGCTTCTCGCTCTGGGAGTCTACTGCTTTTCTGGACATGAGACTGGAAGGATCTCTGGGAGTGAGTAGAGGGGCTGATTCTCTGTGCTTAAGCCAATGAGCTCACATTGGTCAAGGAAAGGGGTTGGTAGTAGAGTCAGTTTCACGTTGGAGTCACTTTGGCAATCCCCTAGAAATACCCCCGACTGGTTGTTGAAAGAATTCAAGTCCATGTTGCTCATGCAGGCTTCTCAGAGGGTAGGTTGGGTGGGTGGGTAGTTTGTGTGTGTGTGTGTGTGTGTGTGTGTGTGTGTGTGTGTGTGTGTGACAGTCACTGCCCCCCTGCTCTGTGCATTGTCCCAGCCTCCTATACCCTTGGTGACTCTTTATCCTTGGTTCTTCCAGCTACAGACACTCAAACTCTATTGAGCAATGACCAGCTCTATCAGGTGAGCCCCAAGGGGAGGGAGGGAGGCAAGCCTGGGAGGAAGGGTGAGTGGGGAGAGTAGGCTGACACTGGGTGTGTTTTGTGTGTGTGCATGTGTGAAGGGTCCCAGTAAGGGCTTCGTTCCTGTGGGTGTTCTGAAGATCGGGTGTGAATGCTCACTCCTGTCATGTGCTGGGCTCTCCTTAGTAGAATTCTGAGCCTGTCTCTCTGTTTCCCCTTCATGTCTCTCAGCCCCTTCGAGATCGGGATGATGCTCAGTACAGCCGTATTGGAGGAAACTGGCCTCGGAACAAATGACTCCCAGATTGGTGCCTTTTGAAGATGTCATTTATCAACTTTTCCTCATTGCTCAGGCAATAAAGATGTCCTCTTTCATTCAGTGGCTGCATAGTGTTTTGAGGCTTCTGGGTAGGGGATGGGAATCATCCGGATGTGGCTTGGACCTTGTCTGCCTGCCCACCTATGCTCTTCCTTCACCTCTTCCTTTCCTGTGCCTCACGTGTACCACTGTGATGGGCGGCAGTGACTGGTCTGCCTCACCACTTTTTGCTGCTTGTTAACTCCAGCTCCTAGCCACGGCCCTAGTAGCTGAGGATGGGCTGCTGTGTTCTGGAGCTCAGCCACACAGAACTTTCCATGACATCATGAGTGGGGGTGGCAGAGACATGAAGGAGCCCTGGGGCTGACTTCTCAGCAAACTTCAGAGGGGAGGATGTGTATAATAGAGTCCTCTGCTAAGGGACTGCCTTAGCTTGTGACCCCAGTGTTGTTGCATAATTATCACCAGCTGTGTGTGTGTGGGTGTCTCAGCCTCAGTCCCCTCAGTATCTCTTTTCCTCTGTGAAGAGGCTATCATTTGGGCTGGTACTATGGCACAGCAAGTTAAGCCTTTGTCTATTGTGCCAGCATCCCATATGAACACCAGTTTGGGTCCTGACTGCTCTACTTCTGATCCAGCTCCCTGGTAACATGTTGGGAGATCAATGGAAATTGGCCCAAATGCTTGGACCCTTGCCAACCACATGGGAGACATGGATGGCATTCCAGACTCCCAGCTTCAGCTTGGCACAGCCCTGGGCATTGCAGCCATTTGGGGTGTGAACCAGCCAATGGAAGATCTCTCTCTTTTTGGTTCTCTTTTACTCTAAAATTTGTTGCAAGTTGACCAAATCTATCCCAGAAATGAGTTGGAAGCAGACTCTTAGAAGCTCAGGAGTCTTCATTCACTGGACAGCTCTGACTGGTGGACTGTCCTATTGCATCACACAAGGAAGAGGGTTGCAGCTCCATTCAGCTGTGTTCAGGGGGTCTTAGGCAATGATCAGCTAGCTAAGAGAGTACTGGCATATGATGGGGACCATTCGATCAACCAAGCTTACATTAGTGCACAACACAAATGATCCAAGCTTACATCAGTGCACAACACAAATGATCCTAGCATCATGCACTTTTAAACTATCCAGCCAGAAAAAGTCACATCCCACAAGAGAATCAGGTAATACTACTTATAGAGAACAAATTGGAGCAATCAGTTCATTGCTTGAGCTATAAAAGAAAAGCAAGAACTCATTCTGGAATGAGATACCATCTTGTGATAAGCACTGTTTTATCACTGTGCTTTCCAAGAACCCAAGGTTATGGCAATGGTCAGGTTATGGTAATGTCCCCGAAGTGTTTCAATGTTTCAACCTAGCCTTACTGATGCCATTTTCTTTTTAAAGATTTATTCTTTTATTTTTATTGGAAACGAAGATATACAGAGAGGAGATACAGAGAGGAAGATCTTCCGTCCGATGATTCACTCCCCAAGTGAGCGCAACGGCCGATGCTATGCTGATCAGAAGCCAGGAGCCTCTTCTGGGTCTCCCACACGGGCGCAGGGCCCCAAAGCTTTGGGCCGTCCTCGACTGCTTTCCCGGGCCACAGGCAGAGAGCTGGAAGGGAAGCGGGGCCTCTGGGATTAGAACCCGCGCCCATATGGGATCCTGGGCGTGCAAGGCGAGGACCCCAACCACTGCGCCACCACGCTGGGCCCCTGATGCCATTTTCTATGATCTGGGCTAACACATAACACTTCCTTTCAAATCAGTGAATCAACAAATCTTTAAAAAGAAGGTACAAGTTAATCTTTTTTCCCTGGCACTCAAGTCCAGGGAAAGTCCATGTCCCTGCGTGTTGTATGAAAATCTGGAATCAGAAATCCTTCTGTGATTAAAACCCATTGCCCTTTACCACCTGTTTAGAAAGCTGGAGCACAAGACTTGGAGGTGAGGGCGTGATCTGATAGGTATCATCTCCAGCCAGTGGGTTGATGGTGGGTCTGCCTTTGGGAGTCTGAGAGATGTATTAAAAATATAGATATCCATGAGGTCTGGTGCAGAATTCTCTCCTCTTCTGAGCACCTTGGTCTTGTTTTCTCTTAAGATCTTCAATTGATGGAAACCCACTCACATTAAGGAGGGTTATCTGACTCAGAGTCTACTGATTTAGGCCCACAATCCCATATGGGTGCTAGTTTGTGTCCTGCCTGCTCCGCTTCCCATCCAGGCTCCCTGCTTGTGGCCTAGAAAGCAGTAGAGGATGGCCTAAAGCCTTGGGATCCTGCACCCATGTGGTAGACTCAAAAGAAGCACCTGTCAACTCTGGCCCTTGCATCCATTTGGACAGTGAATCAGTGGATGGAAGATCTTCTGTATCTCTTTCCCTCTATAACTCTAGCAAATAAAAATAAGTAAATCTTTTTTTTTAAGTCCACTGATTTGAATATTTATCTCATCTGGAGCCCAGATGAGATTAGTATGATGGTTCAATAGGCTAATCCTCTGCTTTGCAATGCCAGCATCCTATAGGGGCACCATTTTGTGTCCTGGCAGCTCCACTTCAAACCCAGTTCCCTGATTATCGCCTGGGAAAGCAGTAGAGGTTTTCCATCTGCTGGTTTGTTGCCCAATTTTCTGCAATGACCAGGAGTGGACCAGACTGAAGCCAGGAGCCTGGAAGTCCATCTGGGTATTCCAAGTGAATTGCAGGCAACCAAGCACTTAAGTCAATTTCCCTAGGCCTTAGCAGGTTGCTGGATGGAAAGGGAAGAGGAAGCATTAGCAAGTTGCTGGATGGAAAGGGGAGACGCTGGTACTCAAACCAGTGCTCTCATATGGGATCTGGGCATCCTAGGCTGGGGATACACTTACTTCCTCACAGCATCAGCCCCTCCTGATGCTCCTTGAGCCAGGAGGTCATAGGGATTCTTTCTAACATTGTGTGAAAGCCACACTTTCTCCCCTCTAGTTCTTTCAGGTAATCTCTCCTTTGGCCTCCTGCACTTTGTCAAGCAGATACAATCACTGTTAAGATTTGGGGGGGAGGGGGTGGGCCCGGCGTGGTGGCGCAGTGGTTAAGGTCCTCATCTTGCACGCCCGGGATCCCATATGGGCGCTGGTTCTATCCCGGAGGCCCCGCTTCTCTTCCAGCTCCCTGCCTGTGGCCCTGCCTGTGGCCTGGGAAAACAGTCGAGGACGGCCCAAAGCTTTGGGACCCTGCACCCGTGTGGGAGACCCGGAAGAGTCTCCTGGCTTCGGATCGGCATAGCATAGCATTGATTGTTGCGCTCACTTGGGGAAGGGAGTGAATCATCGGATGGAAGATCTTCCTCTCTGTATCTCCTCTCTGTATATCTGCCTTTCCAATAAAAAAAATAATAATAATAATAAAAATAAATCTTAAAAAAAAAGATTTGGGGGGTTCAATCTGAAGTCCTTTTCAGATATCTGGAGTTTTCTCTGTGTGCATATCTCACCTCTCTCATACTTTATCTTATAAACTTCAGAAACTGTGCCCTTCTTGCATGTGAGCTAGATCAGGGAAAGGCCAGGCTCGGTTGATTGTCCCTACTGGTGCAAGCATGAATCAGAATGGGTGAGGGTTGGTCGGGCTTTGCCACAGCATCAGATGACAGATGCTGGCACTGGGGGCTAATTCTGACAAGTTAAGCTGCAGAACCACCTGGAAAATGCATGATCCAGGAGTGGGCCCAGGAGGGAAATAGTGGGCAACCCCCTCTTGGGTTATGACTCCTACTGGAGAGCATGAAAACCAGGACTGGGGCAGACCTGGCTGGACAGAACAGCACCCACCAGCATGTGCGTGGGCTGGATAGTGGGCCTGGTTGGGTTGAACTAGGCTTCATTGCCCGTTGACATGTAGGAGAGCTGAATGGGATGTGGGACAGACTGGATCTGTCTGCTGTACATACTGGAAAGCATGGGAACTATTGCAGGGGGTGAGTCTGGTGGGGTTTATAGCGGGTCACTCTGACTAGGCTGGAGCTCCCACTGATTTGTGTGAGGGCTGAGTGTGTACTGGGCAGAATCAGGCTGGACTACAACATGCGTTGGTTCGTGAGGAAGACAGGGCTGGAAACAGAACTGACCTAGCAATTGCAACCACCACCTGATTGGGATGACAGACTGTGCCGTACCCTGTACTGGTAAGCACACAAGAATCAGGTCTGGGATCACTTCAGACAGTTTGTTTGGGGGTCTCCCCAGCTGAACTGCCAGACTCAGAACCCCAAGCATGAAGAGAAGTGCAGGTTCCATCATCTGACCATGGAATGCTAGTGTCAGAGCTGAGCCTGCTCAGAGGCTCAGATGGAGCAGTGGACAGCACATCCAGGTGCACATGGAGTATATAGCAGCCCATCAGAACCTGCAGAGGACACCTGGTACCACAACAGAGGATAAAGGACAGAGCAAATCAATTAACTACCCCAGCTGTTGCCAGCCATATCTGTATGTACTGGCTACATGCCGTACCCAAAATGGCGCCGGCCAGAGAAGCCACATCTTGGTGTTTGGTGCAGAGTCACGTAGCCTTCGCAGTACTGCGCAGGCGCCTAGCGCATGCGCAGTGAGCTGCGGCGCGGCAGGCACGTAAACACTGGGACTGACGAATCCAGTCGCCCAGAACCCTGCGTAATCATGACGCCGACCTATCATCGGCGGAGGCGGGGCCAGACAGCACATAAGAGTAGAAAGCCTGCCGGGATCCGAGCCTCTTTCCGCTTCATGTTGCTGTGCACAATAAATTTTACCGCAGAAGGCTTCGCTCGCGTCTGCGTCTTATTGCTGGGCGGTAAGACACGTGGGCGCGACACCCAGCCATGTATTGGTGGTGAAAATCTGGGCAAACGGAGACTCTAAGGTAAACTATGTCAACCAGTGGATTCTGAAGCAATTTCATCATGCTTGGAATGGCAAGATAGGCAGCAATTCAAATCTGTTGAATTATCAAAACCACTTGAGCCGGACCCTTGGCGTATGCCCCACACTGGGGACCTAGGATGGATGGGAGGCTGGGTGGGTCTTCCCCCTTTATCTCCTCCTTTACCCCAGATACAGGAAAAAAAAAATGGAAACAATAGTCATACCCATTTTCCTATAGCCCTTGACCCTTTGTGCCCTAATCTACTATGTAAAGATTGTCAAAATAAAGTAGTTAAAAAAAAAGAAAAAACAAACTGTGCCCTTCCATCTCTGTTTCTTCCCCTCCTACAGGTATTAGGTTCCCCTCTATACACTATGGCCTGAAACTTCTTCCTAGGTAGTAAGTTGGAGCTAACTGGCTCAGTTCCCTTGCTTTTGTCCTATTTTTCATTTTTGTCTGGTATCCAAAATCTTAAGAACTGTTGTTTGAACCTATTTTACATCTTGCTTTGATTCCTTGTAGCAGGGTTTATGGAGCAGGTGTGAGCTAATATATGGGCAGGGTGGTGGTGGGAGCTCCCAGGAGGGGTGAGAAGGAACAGTGAGAGAAGTGAGGAGGAGGAAGAGGTGGTGTCATGGAAATGAACTGCCAGCCTTCCTCGTATCCTCAAGAGGTCTATTTTTGCGAGGCTCAGGCGGTACCTTCTGGAACCAGTGAGAAGGAGAGTGCTGGGGCCTGTGTGGAATTTTCTGGAAGGGTGGAGAAGGAAGCCAGAATATGAAGGACTGAACTTGGAAGGGAAGGGAGGAAGTTGACCTAGTTAGCAAAGGCTTCTCTAGCTGGAAAGGACAGAGAGAGCTGTAGAAGTATCTGGGCAGGGATGGCAGCTCATTTGGTACTGTAGCAGAGGAAGGAAAAAGCAGAATTGGACAACTACCCCTGCCAAACAATGACAGCAAAAAATCTCAGTGAATTGAGACTTGAGATTGACTATGTCAGCCAGTGGACACTGGGAGGGCTGCATCATTCTTGGATTGGTGAAATCAATAGCATTTCTGAACTATCCAAACCACTTGGGCCAAACCCTCGGAATATGCACATATCAGGACCCTGGGTTAAAATCAGGTGGTGATTCCTCATCCTTGGGTACTGGGACATTTGGAAAGTCAAGTGTGGCTTCCCCCTTTGTTTCTCTCCTTCCCCCAGAAACTAGAAGAAGAAATAGAAAATTAGGAAACAATGAGTTCATTAACTTTCCCTAAACCTTGTTCCTTCCCATCCTGATCAACCATGTAATCATTATAAAAATAAAAGAATTATTTAAAAAGAAAGAGAAGTACCCAGGCAGGAGGCTAGCAGGGTCACAGGAGAGAGTTTTTGTTACCACAGGATGGAAGCAGTGATGGTCAAGGATGGAGACAAAAGATACAATCCTGGGGCTGGCACAGTGGCTCAGTAAGATAATCCTCCACCTACAAATGTCAGCATCACATATTCATGCCAGTTCGTGTCCCGGCTGCTCCACTTCCTCTCCAGTTCCCTGCTTATGGCTGGGAAAGCAGTGGAGGATGGCCCAAGGCCTTGGGCCATGCACCTGTGTGGGAGACCCAGAAGAAGTCCCTTGATTGAAGCCAGGATCAGCTCAGTTCTGGCCATTGTGGCCATTTGGGGAGTGAACCAGTGGATAGAAGATTTCTCTCTGTCTCGCCTCCTCTCTGTAAATCTGCATTTCAAATAAAATAAAAACATAAATGTTAAAAAAAAAAGGTGTGGGGGGGAACAAACCTGGGGGATGAGAATGGTGAACCCATGAGACCCTGGAACATGTGAGCAGGGTCGCAGGAAGATTGGGGTTTGAGGTAATGTCCAATTTTTGGACTGGAAGAGAAGATGAGAAAGCAGGTGAAAGGCTGGCCATGTGCCCTAGGGTAGCTCTTGTTCTCTGTGAAGCTGGAATGACCTTCATGTGCTTGGGGCATATAAGGCAGGGACTGGATGGACGCCCGGGAAAAGCCGGGGAGATGTAGCACAGCCACACAGGAGGATGGAAGAGACAGCTGAACTGGGATGGAGAAGAGGATGGCCAGCCTCTGTGTTGGTGTGGCTGGGCACTGCCAAGGACCTGCAAGGTCTGAGTCTGCAGTTTGTAAACCTTCTGTGCTCACAGTATCTCAACAAGGCAAAAGTGGACATTTGTGGAGAAGGCAAATTGAAGGACTCGAGTTTGGATTCCAGAAGCATCACTTCCTTATATTGTTGCAAGTCAGTGTGGATCTGCTACATGGCTCAGTGGTGCACCAGGAACTGAGTGGCTAGGGAAGGAAAGTACAGGCCTGCAGAGAGCAGGAACTCGGCAAGAGCCAGTTCCCTTCTTCCCTGCAGTGGATTGACTGTTCCACTGGAGTTGCTTGCCTGCCTTCAGAGCTTTGCTCACACCCTTATCTCCAGTTGTCCTTTTCTCCTTCCCCTTTAAGTTGTCTCCCTTTCCCCTGCAAGCTCTAGCTCAAATCTCTCCCGGTGGGCTTCCCCCACCTTCTTAAGTCCCCCTGTATCTGGAGTACTCCCCTGCATCTGAATCACATCACTATTCTTGTCTATGTGGCCCTGCTAGTAATTACAAGCCCCTTGTAGCCTTTTAGCCTTGAACCTTGTGTTATTTGCCACATGAATAATAAGGAAAGCACCTCTTTTAAAAGATTTATTTATTCTTATCAGAAAGGCAGATTTTACAGAGAGACAAGGAGAAAAGAGAGAGATGTCTTTCATCTGCTGGTTGACTCTGCAAGTAACCACAATGGCCAGAGTTTGAGCCAGTCCAAAGCTGGAAACCAGGAGCTTCTTCCGAGTCTTCCATGTGGATGCAGGGCTCAGGGACTTGGGCCGTCCTCTGCTGCTTTCCCAGGCCACAAGCAGAGAGCTGAATTGGAAATGGAGCAGCCAGAACTAGAACCGGCGTCCATATGGGATGCTGGTGCTTATAGGTTCAGATGGAGGCTTAGCTCGCTCTGCTACTGCCTGGGTTACCCAAGGAGAGCACTCTTTAAAGGAGTACTGAGGTAATTAATTAATTACAACCTTTTAAGTTAGAACAATGAAATGCACAGTTTGTGATCCTGGTCACTGCCAGATAGCTGCAGTCGGACAGCCTTGGCCCCTCACTATGTGTGCTGTGGGCAAATGACTTACCTTGCATGAACCTCTTGACCTTATCTGTAAGATGGGATGACAACATCCATCTTGTGGAGTCATCGTAAAAAGCATGTCAAGTGCTAAATGTGATTTCCAGGGCATAGTAAACATCCAATAAATGTTAGCTATTTTATCCGTGTCCCACTGAGTCAGGTCTCCCCTTGACTGGATGCAATCAAATTATACCCAGAACAAAAACTGCCATCCCATGCCAATCTGCTGATGATGAGTGGCATCACTGCCTCTCTTGGGCAGGTGTGTTGAGATGCTTAGAGGGAGAGAAGGGGGCACTTCAACAGGGACCAGCCAACAGAAGCTGGGGCTCCAAAGCCAAAGCCAAGCAAGTGTGTGTTGCATGCGGACGGAACCAGTCACAGGTGGGTTTTTCATGGTGGTCACACAGAAATAGCCCTGTGGTCTTCAGGCAGGGTTCTGAGCACAGAGAGGGAGGGAAGGGAGCTCGCTGTTGCAAGCTGGGCTAAAAGAACCTCTGGGTTGTCTGGGTTCCTGTGGCCTGCAGTCTTGACAACTGGGTGTGCACTGTGGGAGGCTGAGAAGCAAACTCTCTCACATTGGTCCCTGGTTACTGCCGCCCTCTCCCTCCCAATTCACAACCCACATCCTGTGTTGCCTAACCGCAGCCCTGTCTCTGGCTGCAGGCAGCTGCCTCCCAGGGTGCAGAGCGTGGGCTGTCCCAGAGCACTTTTTTCCCACACTTCCTGCCAGCCCAACTTAGGAGGGACCCAGCGCCCTTTGCTGGCAGTTTCCTGAAAGCTGTGTCCCATCCTCAACCCATCTACACCCCTACCTTTCCCTTCTGGTATCTTCACTTGCCTTTCATGGCTTCAGTTTGTCCTAGCCATCCATTTTCTGATTTGATCACCCCATTAGGGACCTAGCATTTTCTGCCATCGTTGCTGTTTTCCTCTAAGAGAAAATAACATTCTTTCTTTCTGTCTCTCTGTCTCTCTCTCTCTCCCTCCTGACTCCAAATTCTCCAAACAAAATTTCACATATTCACATCAGCTGTAAACAGCTAGTGCTTGCACTGGATGCACAGCCATGATTGTAATCAAAGGTAGCAAGGATCTGAGCTGTGTTAGAAAGCAAGGTAGACTTGGAGACCTTCCAGAAAAGAGGGACAGCAACTCTTTGAGCCAAAGACACTTTATTTTTCTTTTGCTCAGAGGAGTCAGGGCACCAGTGACCATGACAGGAAGGTTGACTAGGGCTGGCCATGGACAAGGAGCTTTGGATGCGGCAGGACTGTGGCCCATGTTTACTCAGGCCATCCCAGGGAGAGTTGCAAAAAGAAAGCTGAAAAAATAGGAAGAGAGATGGAATAGTTAGGGGTAGAGGGCAACTCATACACAGCAGAAGGAGGGAGCAGAAGGCAGATGCAACATGGGAGGGGGAGGGAGAGTGAGTAACAGAAATGAAAGAACCGATGGCAGGCCAGGTGCAGAGGGCATGGCTAGTGGTGATGTCTCCAAGGACAAGGAAGCAGCAAATCCCCAGGATCAGACACCAGTAAGAAGGTGGGCAGTGGGCAGCTGGGCACTAGGCCGCAGGACTTCATCAACAGGTTGAGGAACAGTTTTCTTGGGGGCTCTGAGACTTGCCAAGGCCAGGACTAGCAGGGGAGTCAGCAATTCCTGGAGCTGTCAGATGCCTCTCTGGTTTAAGCCAGCATACAGGTCCCGCTGGCCTTTCCGGATGGGCTGGAGGTGGAATAGAAAGGGATTGGTCAGTAGGGTTTGAGAGGAAGTCATTCTGAAGAAAGAAAAGGCACTAAAGATCCGTGGAAAGAACTTTGGAGTTGGCAGGTAGACTCAAGTTCTAACTTGGCATGGTATGAAAGAAACTCGAGTTGGTTACCTCCTTTTGCCAACCTTGGCTTTCCTATCTCAAAAAATGGGACTTTAAATACCCACCTGTTACATTTAAACGTGTCCATTTAAGTGAAAGTAAACACCACCTGTTTGGCTGGTGCTCTGTAAATATTTGTTGAGTTTATGCAGGTGTGATATTCAAAATATTCAACAACAGCTAGAGCACACACTCCAACCAACCAGAACAACCCCCAGTGGTACACCCCCATGCCAGGCATTAACTCTACTTAGCAGAGCAAGAGGCAGTTGGTGGGGGAAGGGTTGGATCCTGTGACAGAAGGTGGGGTCAGGAGAAACTTGAGGCTGTTTACCAGGGAAAGATTTTCATATTTTAGGAACTGGTTTTTCTGTACAAGTGCATGCTGGTGGAATATCAGCATGGAACTGATTCACACTGATGGTATTCCTTGTGGCTGAATTCAGGTCAATGAGTAAGACAAAGAAAGAAGAGTGTGTCTCTCCTTTAACTTCTGCTGCCCCAACCCTTTGCACTCCCTTCCCACAAGGCTGCAGAACCCAGCAGGCTTTCCCCCCTGTGCAGAGATGGTGCAGGCTGTGCTGTCCGGTTTCCTTTTGCCTTAGAGAAGCCTTCCCACCCCTGTGCCCCTCCTCCACCTTCTCTCAACCCTCTCCCTCCCCTGTTACCTCATAGTCTGGGTTGGGAACCGGGGGTGGCCGCTCCTTGTTTTGTCCTGCAGAAGAGGGAGGAAGAGAACATGCATTTCCATGGGGCGGGGGAGGGAACGGAACCTGCTGCACTGCCCAGGACTCAGGGTCACAACCCGTCTGCTCTTTCCTCTAGTTCTCCCTCTGCCCACCCAGCTGTCCTTCCTCGCTCCTTTCTTCCATCCCCTCTTTAAGGATGCCCGCATAATTCACACCACTTGGTGACTTTCCTCTGCCTGAAATCCTGCTGCTTCTTTCCAATGAAAAAGGGACAGGAAAAGGCAGAAAGACACTACCTTCTCTCTTCTCACAGCTTGGAAATAGAATCAAATCCGTTTATTTATTAATTAAAAAAAATTCAATTTGAAAGTAGAGGGACAGACATGAACAGGGGGTTTCTATCTGTTGTTTCACTCCCCAGATGCCTACAATGGGTAGGAATTTAATTTTTAAAAAAAGATATTTAAAAAACAGAGAGACAGAGACAGAGGGTGACAGAGACACTGGCAGATTATTTTCCAAATGCCTGAAACAACCCAAAGCTAGGAGCCAGATACTTACTTGTGGCTCTACCACAAGGCTGGCAGGGACCTATGGTAGTCAAGGATGTACATTAGGAAGCTGAATCAGAAGCAGAGCTGAGGGACCAGTTTGATGACTCAAGTAGCTAATGTTCCACATTCAAGTGCAACTACTCTATATAAACAACTATTCTATAGAAGCTGTTTGAGCTTAGCCATGGACTCACTGCCCATCAGTGCCCTATGCTGGATGTACTTCCTGGTAAGAATTTCTTCCAACCCAACCCTATAAGGTCTCACCTCTGGGCCTGCCACCAGCAGCTGCTCCTCGTGTCACAGGCTTGGCCTTGGCCTTCCTGTTCTTGCTCCAGTAATAGACCAGCACCAGCAAGCCAAGAGTGACACAGACATCAACTACGACAACTGAGGCCACTGTCATGAGATCCAGCTCCATGCAGTTCTCACACACTGTGCAGGGAGAAGGGCAGAAAGAGGAGAAGAAATTACAGGAAAGCAAAGCCCCAGTACTCTGGAGATGAGAGAGAACGAACGTAGATGATTCTCCTCCTCAACACTGACATGCTTGCCACATTTTGACTCTCTCCATTACAATAATCAGAACAAGAAGCAATGGAGTGGTTACGGATAGATGCACTGGACTCCAACCGTCCTAGGTTCAAGTCCTAGCTCTGTTACTCACTAGCTCTAAGAATTATGAGATATGTTTTTACTTCCATTTCCTCATCTACAAAGCTTGCAAAGCAAATAGTGTTTCACTGGTGTTTGGGGAAAGGAATACATGAAAAAACAAACTCCCTGTCAAGTGTTTCGTACCAGTGCTTGACAATTCAACTCTCAATAAACATAATCTAGCATCATTATATGTATGCCTTAGATTCTGACATCCTATTGTAGTGGGTTGGCATCTCTTTTGCAAGTTCGCCAGAGGAATAGATCTCAGGATCAAACACAATATAAACCCTCTGTTGGTGCCCCGTGATTCTGGATGTGACATCCTGCAATTTTGGAAGTTGCTATGTGTGAGATCAACTGTTGCCTGAATTCACACAGACAGCTCTGTATGGTTATTAAGTCTGTGTTCCAGAAAATGTTGATGCCATATGGCACAAGTTGGATTAAAGGAATCCCTTAGGAAGCCTTTTGGAAGTGGTCCTCCTTAGAGGATGTACGTTACCTCGTGCTCTCAGGTAGAGATGAAAGCTCTTCTCCTGTGTAGCGCAGGTGTACAAACCGCTATCCTCCATTTCTGAAAAGTTATCCATTAAGAATTCTAGGCCTTCAGATGATTTTTTCTCATCATTCTTTTTCCATTCTATGGTGCCAGTGTCAGGCTCCAGAGGGCATGTCAGTACCACTCTGCTTCCGGAGATGGAGACTTTAAATGCTGGGCAGTGTGAGAGAAGATAAAAGGAATGGGTGCGAGAAACCAGGCAGATCAGGCAAATTAGTGACAAAAAGACCAACCAAATACAGAAAGTCACCTGTCATCCCAATTTTGGATTTCCTCAACAGATGGGGTTCTACTGGCTGGAGGGGGTGGAAAAGGGAAGCCAGGAACCTTTGGGGAGGAGGCTTCAGGGTTTAACCACCATCGGGAAGAGATGGATGGTGGTGAGAAACAAAACAAAACAAAGACTGCAGTGGAAATCTATTATTAGGAACACTTCAGTTCTTTCTCTACTACCTACCAACCTGTATCCCCAGAGAGTGCATCAAGAAAAAACCAATGAACTCACGTTTTATTGCCAAAGAACCTGAAAATGAGAAGAGGAAACACGGATGAGAAAATAAAGCTGGTTTTTGTGTATCTTATTTTTTTAAAATAAAATGTATTTACTCTATTTGAAAGAGGTACAGAGAGAGGTGGGAAGAGACAGAGAGGGAGAGAGATCTTGGATCCACTGGTTCACTCCCCAAGTGACCAGGGCAGAGCCAGGCTGAGGTCAGGAAACAGGAATGTTGGCATCAAAGGCAGTGGCTTAAAATTCTTTGTCACAGTGCCAGACCCTCCAGAAATGTTTGAGTCTAGTATTTTACATTAGGCAAAATGATATTCTGGGTAGATACAAAGTGATGCAATGATAAAGAGCCCCACATCTTCTAAAGGTTTTATTTGCAAGGGAGAGAGTGAGAGCAAGAAAGAGAGAAAGATCCTATCCCATGGTTCCTTTCCAAATGCCTGCAACAGCTGGAACTGGGCCAGCTGAAGTCAGGAACTGGTAACTTCATCCACCTGGGTGGCACAAACCCCGTCCTTGAGCCATCACTGTTGCCTGTCTTGGGTCTGCATTAACGAGAATGCCAAAGTTAGGGGCCAGAGTTCAGGTACTCAAGTTAAGGACATACATATATGGTGGGATAAGTTAGAATTTCAGTGTCATCTCTGTTCATTCTTATGTAGACCTTTCCATTGTCAGGTTATACTTCATATGTCAGAATTTCACATTCTGGAAAAGATGTCTTATTCTGTGGAAAGATGTGCCAATCCTTCTTATTTTATCTTCCTTCTTAAGTCGTTCTAGCAGTGCCCTGTATTTTTGTACGTATAGATTTAAATGGTGTGAAGCCATCTCAATAACATGCGTTTAACAGACAGAAGGAATTCAAGTGCACTGAAGTCAGTGACTAAGTAGTTGATAACTTCTGCAGCCTGGGAAGAATTAGCTTCGTTATATGACTTTTGGCATTGTTCATTCTTTAATTAATAGCACTTGCTGAGTTGGGGTAGTCATCCTTACTGTGCTATGTGTATAATTAAAGGAAAATATGAGGAAACTTCTAAGAGTTCATGGAAAAATGCATCTATAAGACAAAATCATTCTGGTACAAAATACATAGCTTTCTCACAGTACACATTTTCATGAAACTTTTGAAGTCTCCTGAATTGCATGGATGTCCTTTTTCTTTTTGCACCAAAATAAACTTCTCCCCAACTGCCATTTTCCACAAAGGAGCCCCAAATGCTAATAAAAGAAAGAATGCTCTTGATTTTTTTTAATTTCCTTTGCAATGTTTCAAAAATTTAGCAGTAATTGTACATATTTACAGCCCTTTCAATACACAAATGACATGGGTGCTGATCAACACTTTTATGGCTAGAGCCTTGAAGCGTCTTTCATTCATACAATATATACCAGGTTATTGTGGGCTGTCATCTCCCCCAATGTGCTGTTAACATGGAGAACTGGGACACAGGTACCTTAGCCAGTGTCCTGTTAGTTAAGTGTCCTCCTGAAAAAGCAGTTTTGATTCCTGGTTTACCTAGTTCTCATGAATCGGAAATTCTTTTCGACATCAGAGTCCTTTTTAACAGATCAAGCATCTTCCTTCTTATTTCATACACGTTTCCTTGTTAGCAATTAGAAGTTGAGCATAATAACAATACACAGTTGATATTATTTTGACTTTTACATAGTTTTTAAATCCTGATGTTTCTTAGAAATGCAACATAAATTTGACATCATCAATAAAACCCAAGTAAGAAGACCTACTCTACTTGTATGCTTGTTTGAAAAGAAAATGAAGAGAGAATTGCTACAGGATGAACTCAGTAGCAGAGCTGAGACACACTGATTCAAGAGCCTACGGGTTTATGCTTAGCACAGGTGGGCTCATGGAGATGCTATCCACAGCTAAAGACAGCATCTTGCAATGGTTAAGAACACAAACTTCAGTCTCCCATCAATCTATATATCTCTGTGGTGACAGGCTTTATTTTCTTTCTTTTTTCTTTTTTTTTTTTTTTAAAGATTTACTTATTTTTATTGGAAAGTCAAATATACAGAGAGGAAGATCTCTGTCTGCTGAATCACTCCTCAAGTGGCCACAATGGCTGGAGCTGAGCTGATCCAAAGCCAGGAGCCCGAGGGGTTTCTTCCGGGTCTCCCAAGTGGGTGCAGGATCCCAAGGCTTTGGGCCGTCCTTGACTGCTTTCTCAGGCCACAAGCAGGGAGCTGGATGGGAAGTGGGGCTGCTGGGATTAGAACTGGTGCCTATATGGGATTGTGGCTTGTGCAAGGCGAGGACTTTAGCCACTAGGCCACTGCGCTGGGCCTGGATTTTATTTTCTAAGTCTTGGTTTCTCTCTGTAGAATAGGAATATCAGAAACATTAAAGAAGGGTTTTCAAATAAAATATTTAGGACAAAGATGCCCTTCCTAGCAGTTAAAATGCCTGTGTTCCACTTTGGAGTACTGGGTTCAAGTCCCAGCTCTGGTTCTTGATTCCATTTCTCTGTTGATGTAGACTCTGGGAAGCAGTGGTGATTGCTTGGGTACATGGGTTTCTGCCAACCACATGGGAGATTTGGTTTGAGTTCCTGATTTCCAGCTTCAGGCTTGATGCGACCCCTGTTGTTGTGGGCATTTGGGGAGTGAACCAGTGGAAGGAGTTTGTACTTGTTCACTCTCTGCCTCTAATAAATAAATAAATATCCTCTCTTAATATAATTTCTCTCTATATTAGAAAAATATATAAAACATATATGTAGGGCAACACCTAGAACAGAGATGCCCAATAAACTTTAATGCTCATTATCTATAATCAATGTGCTTTCCATATAATGATAGCTAGATTTCACCAGTGCTTTGTTACTTGTTCAGGTCCCAGAACAACCATACACCTCAGACACCATTATAATTTCCACTTTACACATGGTGATGCTATGGCACAGCGATGTCCAACTAGAAATGCCAAGAAGTAGGGAGGTGAGCCAAGATTCAAGCATGCCCACCTAATGTCAGAGACAGTGAATCTCACATTATGTAGCTTTATCTCCCGGGCCTAAAATAGTCTTCTTCCCTAAAATACAAGCTCATCCTTTTTTTTTTTTTTTAAAGATCTTCATTTATCTTACTTGAAAGTTAGCATGAGAGTAAGAGAGAGAAAGAGAGGCAGAGACAGAGAGAAAGATCTTCCATCTGCTGGTTCACTCCCCAGATGGCCATAATAGCTAGACCTGGGTCATTCCAAATCTGAAAACCAGGATCTTCTGAGTCTCCCATATGGGTGCAGGGGTCCAAGAGCTTGGGTCAGCCTCTGCTGCCTTCCCAGGCCACCAGCAGGGAGCTGGATCAGAAGTGGAGCAGATACATCCATTTCTTCATGTGAAATATATTCACTGAGGAAGTCAGCATTATGGTACAGTGAGTTAGGTTATTGCCTGCAGGTGACGGCATCCCATATAGGTGGGGGTTCAAATTGTGGCTACTCCATTCTATCCAGCTCTTTGCTAACATGCCTGGTAAAGCAATAAAGATGTCCGGGGCCAAGGCACCCATGTAGGAGACCTGGGTAAAGCTCCTGGCTGCTGGCTTAGGTTTGGCCCAGCCCTGGCTGTTGTGCTCATCTGGGGAGTGGATGATCTCCTCCCTCTCTGTCAGTCTGTGTCAAATAAATAAGTCTTTAAAAAAGATTGATTAATGTGCAGGATACAGTGCCAAGTAAATAAGACACTGTCTTCCAGGATCTCATTTTTTAAAATGTGTATGATAGGAACTGATATTGTGGTGCAGCAGTGTAAGCTACTGCTTGGGGTGTCTGCATTTGTATTAAAGGGCCTAGTTGGAGTCTGAATGCTCTGCTTCCAATCCAGCTTCCTCTAATGTCCCTGGGAAGCAGATGGTGGCTCAAGTACTTGGATTCCTAGATGGAGTTCTTGGTTCCCAGCTTTGGCCTGGACCAGCCTTGACTATTATGACCAACTGGGAAGTGAATCAATGAGTGGAAGATCTCTTTCTTTGTTATTTCTCTGTCACTCTGCCTTCATATATATATATATATGTGTGTGTATATATAGTAATTTGATACATATTTTTTATTTGAAAGGAAGAGAGAGAGAGAGAGAGAGAGAGAGAGAGAGAGAGAGAGAGATCTTTCACTTGCTGGTTCACTTCCCAAATGGGGCTGGGCTAGACCAAAGCCAGGAAACAGGAATTTTATCTGAGTCTTCCATGTGGATGCATGGACTAAGGCCTTGGGCCATCCTCTGATGCTGTCCCAGGTGCAACAGCAGGGAACTAGTCAGAAGTGGAGCAGCCAGGACTGGTACTCAAATGGAATGCTGACACTGCAGATAATGGCTTAACCCAGTACACCACAGTGCTGGCCCCTGTCACTCTGTCTTTAAATAAATAATTCAATAAACCTTTAAAAAGTACTTGGTAGCTCCAACCCACACGCACGCTCCTGTTCTTACCTGACATCACACTCAGGGATACATGCATGCATAGCAACAATCAAATGTGACAGTTAGCAACAGATGCAGGCACATCTCATGTATGAAATTGCTTTCCTTCTAGCAGTTCTGTTCTCCATGTTCTTTGACTGTAATTATCCTCTATTACTTTTGTTCCACATTTGCAAAGTGATTGTATGGAGTGAAAATGCTCTTACCACCAGCGTCTTCATCGCCTAAAAAGGAAATGATAGGAAGCCATTAGTGATGCTCCTCTTGGTGGCCAGCATCACACCTTGCCCCCACCACTTGCAGCTTTTCCCTCAAATGTCAAAAAAATATGGATCTTCGAGTCCCCAAGTCGTGTCAGGTCTTACATCTCACGTTAATTATCAGATGGTTACTTACAAACATAGCTCTTATGGACAGATCAAATTAGCCAGTGCCACTGACTCAGACGTTCAGTGGTTGTATATTTTCTTTCTTTCTTTTTTAGACTTATTTATTTTTATTGGAAAGGCAGATTTTACAGAGAGGAGAGACAGAGAGAAAGATCTTCCATCCACTGGTTCACTCCCCCAAATGGCCGTAACAGTCAGAACTGAGTTCATCCGAAGCCAGGAGCCAGGAGGTTTTTTCCAGGTCTCCTACTTTGGTGAAGGCTCCCAAGGACTTGGGCCATTTCCTTTCTCAGGCCACAGTCAGGGAGTTGGGTGGGAAATGGAGCAGCTGGGACAGGAGCTGGCACTCATATAGGATGCTGGCGCTTAGAGGTGGAGAATTAGCAAGTTGAGCCAATGCGCCGGCCCTGTGGTTATCTTTAATACAACACTGGTTGTCTTAGTTTAGAAGAGCTGGTTGAATAGACAGATTTCCATTACTGGGATACTCCTGACACTCCTATGATTGATAATGGCTGAGGGGCTGGCATTCTGCCACAGAAGGTCAAGCAACTGCCTACAATGCTGGCATCCCAGATGAGCTCTGATTCAAGTCCTGGCTGCTCCACCTTTCATCCAGGTCCCCTACTAATGTGCTCAGGAAAGCAGCGGAGGATGGCTCAACTGCTTAGTACCCTGGTACCCATGTGGGAGATCCAGTGCAGTTTCTGGCTTTGGCCTGGATCATTCCCGGATGATATGGCCATTTGGGGAATGAAGCATTAGATGGGAGCTCTCTTTCTCTCTCACTCTCTGTCTCTACCTGTCTATATAACTCTGCTTTTCAGTAAAATAAATATTTTTTAAGTAAGAAAGTGAGTCCAGGCAAGGCAGATGTCTTTCTGTGCATGTGCCTGTACATAGACAAGCATGAGTACACACATTCAGACCATTCAGACAGATGATGCTGAATGCTGCCCCAGGCTTATTCCACATAACCTTGCACATATATGTTGGCCTCACATTCTCTCACAAAATCTTGTATCCACTATTAACATGCCAGCAAGTGAAAACTTGGCACTTTCTATCTGATGAACAGTCTTTTCTCGTGAATCACAGTTTCCTGGGATCTCTGTATTTCCCTCTTCTGAGCAGAGCCATCTGTAGACTCACGCAGGGCAGGCAAAAGAGGAGATGATGGAAACCATTTTTACAGATCTTGGTGGGGGGCCCAGAGAAAGCTCCAATCAGAAATACTGGGAAACGTGGTGGATGTTATAATGAAAATGGAAAGCATTACTCACCTTCCGATCCCCACACAGCAACTAGAAAACAAATAATAGACAAAGTCAGTAAATGGCATGAGTGTTTGCAATTCCAAACAGGAAAAGGGCTGCAGTGCAAAATGTCCATTTAGGAACATCTGCAGTCTTTCTCCTTATCATCACCCTGCTTCCCCACTACCCACTGGGGCTGGATCAGTCTTTCCTACACCCCAGAGACAGATTACAAACAGCTGGATATCAATCAGGGGGTTCCTGGTCAGTTACGGACGAGGCAGAGCAATGAAGCTTCCAGGAGCATGAGACTTGAACATTTAACAAAAGTAGGGGCTGTTTGGCAGCCAACTGAGGAAAAGCAAAATAATTTGGCAACTTAATTGTTCTCTAATAGTGAAAGAGAACCAAGTCCTCTGCTGGGTACAAATGTTGAGATTCCTGTTCCATCTCTGGCTGCTGCTCAGCGGATGGTTCAGTTTTTCCATTGTTTTCAGCTTGATATCAAGGTGGAACCACTTGAAACCATGATTATTCATCAGCTGGAGCCTGTGTGTTGACTGGCCTGACCACAGCTCCTCTGGGACCTTTGGGAATCTCCCCATTTGGCAAGAATTTGGACTTGCCCAGTCCTCCAGGCAGTGCCTGAAAGGTCTCTCTACATTTGGACCACAGTTTCCCCAACAGCTTTTATGTGGAGCAAGACACTCCCGGGCTCCAAAACACATTGGACAACATTCTCCTGATATTGATATTCCCAGGGGTACTTGGGGCTTTGATGTTTCTCTTTCTCCTCCTCATTCTGCTTAAAGAAAGCAGTTTATACCGCAGGCATGGGAAAAAATGGCCACTTCCTGCTGGGGTCCTATCCTGCCTCCTTGTACTCGGTGTGCTCCCTGAACCAGTAGCTGATAAACAGACCTCAGAGTTAGTAGGAACGTGCCCTTTGGTCCTTTCTCCAGGACTCCTAGAGCAGAGGTTGCATGTAAGCCAGGGACCCAGATGAGCAATGTGCAAGCTGGAGGGGTCCAAGCTGTGGCTCAGAGCTACAAGTTCCCAGTTGTGGTAGTACTCCCCAGACCTTGTCTGAGAACCCATTTTGAGCCATTTTGTCTCTGGTGCTGTTGCAGCCCTTTAGGCACTGAGCGGGAGTGTGGTCAGAGCCCCCTGCTTTCCCAGGTCACCTTTGGCACATAGTGTGTGGGTTCAAGTAAGCCACTGAGCTTTAAAGATCCGTTTCTACCTCTGCATCATAGGAACTAGGACATCTACCCTCCAAGATGGAGGTAAGGGTTAAATCGGGCTGTGCAAGTAAAGCATGATTTCTTCATGAATTTTTGCCCCTGTAGTAAATGAGACATATTTAGTGAAAAACTTGGTTTTATAATATCTCCTGGGAGACACATACGTGTTTTAGGGTATTTATCAATGTGTAACCCATCTTGCTTCAAAAAAAGGCTAAACTAATTGAAAGCCCTCATTCATTGTAAGTTTTTTTTAAAATTTTATTTTTTATTTATTATTATTATTTTTTTTATCAAAACTACTAATCCTGTGCAGAGTTTTGGTTCAATCGTCCGGTCTTTCCCAAAGTGTGGAGCTTAGTTCTCCAGTCTGTTTTGTGGTCATGGCAAAGGGGAAAAGAGAACTCTTTGTTCTCAAGAGATGTGATCAGCTCAGTTGCTTTCCTTGGGCTGCTCCCTGCATGGCCTCCCCAGAAACATGGGACGTATTTTTTTTTGTTGTTGTTGTTAGCAGCTATCACTAGCCCTAAACTCTCCCCACCACCCCTCGTAATGCAGCACAGATTCATCACATCTCTGGAAAACGAGGCTGTGAGCCTCCCAGCGCTTGGGAGAAAGTCCCCTTCCTCACCCCAGCCTGCTCACCTGCTAGGAGCCAGAGTCCCAGGACCTGCCGGCAAGTGTCTGGCCCCATCCTCCTCCCTGGACGCTCAGTGCACTAAGATGGCGTAGGTGCGATGGCTTCTTACTTCTGAAAAAGAAACCAGAGGACTCTTCTGCAGCGTTTGCTAGGGCTGAAGACCCCTGGGTCATCGCCCCCAAGTCAGGATGTGAAATGGGCTTGCTGTAGAGAGACTCACCATTTTCCGAAACAAGCCTCTGAGGCTGGGAGGGGAGGCGGGTTTCTGAACCCCACACAGGAAGCTGTTGGGGGCCTCTGGGCCTGTGGGTTCTACGTCACTTGGAAATGTTCAAGGTCAAGGCCTGCGTCTACCTGGGTTGGCTGAGGAATGTTGGGATCCACACCATCCCATAAGGATGAGAATGAGAACTCTGGTGAAATGAGAACACATCTGCTGTCCACCTGCCCAGGCTATGTGCCGTGCACCTGCACTCTGGGGCTACTTTCTTGGAACCTGCCTCCCCCTCCCCCGCCCCCAGTGAGCTGTGACAGGAAGAGAGAGTAGCACTGAGTGTTGGCTTTCTCTATGGTGTCCCCGACAAGGAGCAGTAAGTTGGCGTCATCTCAGAGACAAATATGTGCTGACTAAAAAGTCATGAGATGTCAGGTTTTTTCCCCCTATAATCATTACGCGAACATTTAAAAACTCAGTACTTAAAGTATTGTGATGAAAGGGTGATAGTCTCAAAACCTGCTGGTGTTGATTGCAAGTTGATACAGGCTTGCTTTATTTGTAAGCATATGTCAGTCCAGTACTCTAACCCAGCACTGTGCTGCAGGTTCTACCCACCTATACCCCAGTACTCTGACCTAGTACTCTAACCTAGTACTCTAACCCAGCACTGTGCTGCAGGTCCTACCAACCTAAACCCCAGTACTCTAACCTAGTACTTTAACCCAGCACTGTGCTGCAGGTCCTACCAACCTAAACCACAGTACTCTAACCTAGTACTCTAACCCAGCACTGTGCTGCAGGTTCTAACCAATTATCATTTGATCCTTGAAACAATCCTCCAAAGGTAGGTACTTAAAATTCTTAAGAATATCTATTTGAGAGGGGGAAAAAGAGAGACTGAGAGAGACAGAAAGCTGTTTTCTGCTAGTTCTCTCCCTAAGCGTCAGCAATGGCTGAGGTGATGCTGGGGACCAATTCAGGTGACCCAAGTGAATGACCCAATGCTGCTTCTCAGGGTGTGCATTAGCTGGAAACTGGAATCCAGAGCAGAGCCAGAACTCGTATTCAAATATATGAGACACATGAGATGTAGGCAAACAGCCTCCTGGCATCTTAGTCAGCAGGTCAAATGACTAGTCCTAAAGAAGGTATTATTTTTATTCCCATTTTATACTTGAGCAAAGTCAGGCCCAAACAGACTACATAACATGTACTCTAGAAACCATTGTTAAAAGAACCATGTGTTTAATATTGAGGTATTAAATTAAATCATAAATTACATATTAAAACATAAGTACATAATATTCAGTAATCATGTACTGGGTGCTAGTAACATAGCAGTCTCAAAGCTAGTCCTTGGACAGGAAGAAAGGAAAGGTGAATATTAGACAGACACCTGTAGGAGACTGATGCTAAGAAAGTAGGTGCTGAGGGATTGAGGGAGGAGGGCCAAAGATATCTAGCAGGTGTAACAGAGAGTCTAGGAGAAAATCAGGACAGGATATGTCAAGTGCTCCAGAGGGAACTGTGTGTGTGTGTGCAAGCCAAGAGACAAGGAAGAGAAATGGAAGGTCCAGAGTGACTTGAACATAGAGAGTGAGAAGATTTGTCAAGAAGGGAGCGGGTATCGTGGCATAGGGAATTAAGTTCCAGTCTGGGATGCTGGCATCCCATATAAATGTTGGTATGAGTCCTGACTGCATTTCTGATCCAGCTCTCTGATAATGCACCCGGGAAGGCAGCAGAAGTTGGTTGGAGTATCTGGGCACCTGCTCCCCACCAGGGTGCCCCAGATAGAATTCTAACTTCCTCGCTTCAGTCTGACTCTTTTCCTGCTGTTGCAGTTTTTTTGGAGGAGTGAACCAGTGGATTAAGATCTTTCTGTATCTCCTTTCTGTCTGGAACTTTGCCTTCTAAAAAATCTTTTTTTTTATTACTTAAAAATTTTTTTAAATTGGAAAGTCAGGTATACAGAAAGGAGGAGAGACAGAGAGAAAGATCTTCTGTCTGATGATTCACTCCCCAAGTGAGCACAATGGCTGGTGCTATGCTGATCCGAAGCCAGGAGCCAGGAACTTCTTCCAAGTCTCCCAAATGGATGCAGGGTCCCAAGGCATTGGGCCATCCTCGACTGCTTTCCCACGCCACAAGCAGGGAGCTGGATGGAAAGTTGGGCTGCTGGGATTAGAACCAGCACCCATATGGGATCTTGATGCGTTCAAGGCGAGGACTTTAGCCACTACACCACGCTGCCAGGCCCTTAAAAAAATCTTAACACACACACACACACACACACACACACACACACACACACACACACACGATAGAAAACCCAGCAGGTGCCAGTTGAGGAGGAATTTTCTAAAGGCCATAGAAAGCAACAGAATGATTTGAGACAGAATTCTTTCAATATTTTAGTAAGTGTTTTAGTTACAGAAGGGAACATATACATGTTAAAAACAACAAAAGTGGTGCTGGCACAATTGGTTAATCCTATACCTTGCAACACTAGGATCCCATTTGGGTGCCAGTTCTAGTTCTGGCTGCTTCACTTCCTGTCCAGCTCCTCGTTATGGCCTGGAAAAGCAGTGGAGGATGACCAAAGCCTTGGGACCCTGCACCTGTGTGGGAGACCTGAAAGAAGCTCCTTGGGCTCCTGATTGTGGATCAGCTCAGCTCTGGCCGTTGTGGCCATTTAGGGATTGCATCAGTGGATGGGTGATCTTTTTCTCTGTCTCTCCTCTCTGTAAATATGCATTTCCAATAAAAATAAATAAATCTTTTTAAAAAACCAACAAAAGGCACAGAAGGTCATATAACAATTCCCTACTCCACTTTGCTTCCCCCAGTTACACTCCCTGGAGAAAGCCACATTTAACCTTTCATATTGTTTTTCTGGTGTTCTGGTGGTCTCCTTCCTAATGCTGAACGTCCATGGGCATTAGCCCAGTTCCCTGGGAACAAACTCTGAAATGGTGACTTGTACTCATTGGTGCACAGAGGAGCAGGTGAGGGAGGCAGAATCCATCAAGAGAGAAGGCGGAGTACAAGTAGAGGCCTCCGCCAATGCCACTGCCACAGCGAGTTCTCAGGCTGGCGACGGGGAAAGGGGACACCCTTCTGTGCTTCCTGAACTGCAGCAAGAGGCACTTTCAGTTGGTAGTTGAATGTGAACCGTTCACAGCACCGGGGTGTGAACTTGAGTGAGGGAGTGAGGCAGCTGCTCCCTTGAGGGCCATGCCTGTGGAACAGCTCACCTGTGAGTCCTCAGGGGACAACAATCCCAGCAGCTGGGGAGTGGGGCGCTGGGGAGGACACCTGGATGGTGCCCAGCATCCCAGCAGTCTACCCCTCAACTGCTCAAATCCACTTGTTTCATATCAAAAATTTATCTCTTAGGTTTTGGCAGAATTCTGGTTGATGTCTTGTTTTGGAGAACACCCCCCACCCTTTTATGTCAATTGCAGCTGAACCAGTCTGAAACCAGCAGCTTGGAGATTCTTCTAGGTCTCCCACATGGATGCAGGGACCTAGGCACTTGAGCTGTCCTCTGCTGCTTTCCTAGGCCATTAGCAGGGAGACAGATGGGAAATGGGGTAGCCGGGACTTGAACCAGCGTCCATATGAGAGGCTGGTGCTGCAGGTGGAAGCTCAACTGATGATGCCATGGCACTGGTTCCTTGGGGACACAGTATTACATAGCCATTTAGGATGCATACCACGTCCTTAAGAATCCTGGTACTTGTCATCTCTGAGCTAATGTCTAAGCTATGTCTTTCAGAGGTGGTTCCACTGATCAGCAGACTGGTAGCTCTAGAATGAATAATATGACATATAGTGGGTCTGTGGTCATATAAGGGTACTTCCAAAAGTTCAAGGAAAATGCAATTTAAAAAATTATTTTATTTTAAGTTCTTTTTAAAATGAAATTTTAAAATAAGTTTATTTTGGTGCAGAAAAAATTGAAAGCTGTATGTAATACTCAGTCTATTTATTTGAGATGGAGAGAGAGAAAGAGAGAGGGACAGGCAGGTATCCTGTGTCTCCTGTTTCCCTTCCCAAATCCGGGGGTGGGCCAGACTGGAGTCAGGAGTGGGAGGCCTAATTTGGAACACAGTTCCAATTCAGCACAGTTCCCGGCAAGTCCAGGAAAGTATATTTTCCACCTGTGTGTGAATGTTCTCATGAATATAATACACTTGGAAGGCTGGTTCTATGGCATAGAGGGCTAATCCTTCACCTGGAGCATCAGCCTCCCATGTAGCTGCTGGTTTGTGTCCCGCTATTCCACTTCTAATCCAGCTCTGCTTATGGCCTGGGAAAACAGCAGAGAATGGCCCAAGCCTTGGCCCCCTGCACCCGCATGGGAGACCAGGAAGGAGCTCTTAGCTCTTGGCTTTAGATCAGCTCAACTCCGGCTATTGTGACCATTTGAGGAGTGGGCCAGTAGATGAAGATTTCTCTCTTCATCTCTCCCCTCCCTACCGTAACTTTGACTTCTGAGTAAAATAAATAAATCTTTTAAAAATTTACACTTGGAATAGCTGTTACTTAAGTTTTTGTTAATACATTATCATTCACAATGAGTCTCCTGTTTTTGGAAAGACAAAATCAGTGAACTAAATGTGGGATTTTATGAGATCATCATGTCTTAAGTCTCTGAAGTGACATTGATCTCTAACATTCTCTTTAGGATGACATTTAATGTTTCATTTATTATCTTGACTGGGAGATGTGGAAAGCGTCAAGGACCTCCAATGCCTTTTCTTATCTACAGATAAGGGCCCCATGCTGAGGTTCTGCCAAGGGTTGTGTCCACCCTTATGCTTTTGGGGGACTGGATAAATGAGTGGGTCAGTGAGAGCCACCTGGTCCAAGCCTCCATTTGTCATCTTATCTCACCTTATTCTCTGTTTCTCTTCCTCCCCTCTGCCATGGTCCTGAGGCATTTGGGGACCCTGATTAGAACCATCAACTTGACTCTATAGCCAACAACCCTGGAAAACATGAGTCAATGACCCTGGTGTTTGTGGGGAAGAAGCATGAGACTCACTACTGGACAGGATATGGCAATGGCCTTTCTGATGGAACC